CAACACACAAAGGCAACAACAAGGCAACAGTCAAAGAATAAAAGGGGGTAAAGTAGGTGGGGAGTCCGGGGCACCCTAAGGCAGGGTGCTGAACCCTGACAACGGTTTGAAACAGGCCGGACTCGAGTGGTACCGCACACTTCATGATTACCTAAAGTCGTTGGGATATAAACAATCAGGGTATGATCCTTGCCTATATCGCTGAAAGGACTCACATTTTGTCCTGGTCTATGTGGACGACCTACTCGTCATTGCCCCTAAGCACGACATCTCGAAAGTCAAGTCGGAAATCACCGAGCGCTACCAGATGCGTGACCTCAGCAAAGTCCATTGGTTTCTCGCGATGGAAATCACACATGATCGAATGGTGAGAACCATGACCATTAGCCAATGCCAGTACGTTGTAGGAGAAATAACGGTCACACTATGGAAACCCATTATGGAAATATGCCAGATAAATCACAAAACCCCATATGACAAGTAGATATGAGAAAATAGAAGGACCTAAATTTTAATGAATTTTTACGAATTTTTACGAATTATTATGACTATACGCAATAAATTGAAAGAAAGAACATTAGCAAAAATACTTCGAGCTTAGCATCAACAAGACGGAATTCTTGGGGGAATTTATACCAAATATTAAAGAAAGAATTAGGACAATCGACCAAGATTTGACTATAGAAACAATCAGAGAACCTCCACGGAAACTACTTTCCCACATCCGCACACATAGCCAAGGATGGAAGTACCACGGAACAAGGATTCCTCAGGAACTAATGCAAAATTCAAAGTCGTGTTTATAATAGGAAATGTAGATGTCCCCCAAATGGACCCAATGAAAGTAATTACAGGGAAAACTATCCATAAACGATGGAGATATGACTAAAACTCCTGCAAGACGAGGACAACGCTTAAAAAGCAAGCACGAAGAATAACCAGTAACGACCGAGACGAGCTTGATAGCCCATTAGAAAGGAAGGGATCTAATCTTAATCCACCCAAATTTTTATAATAAAAGGATCACGCATTAACGAGATATCCAATAACGGGAATAGCGACATCAAAAGTCCGAGCTCAGGGGAAAAACGATGTTTACGAAGGATCCATAATTAAAACATACAACGAAATTTACACGGAAATTATGAAAAATAAGAAACTATAGCTATGCAAATTTTCAGCCCAAACGGTCCAGCCGTTGTAAAGTTATACCAATGACGGGAATATAGAAATCCGCATCATGTTTAATGACATGTGAGGGTGGCAATGCGAAGGGAACCGGCCATCGGAACCGAGATCCGCACTTCGGCAGATCGCGAAGACCAATTTCCATCCAAATAAGGAAGAGCCCGGTCAAAACAAAGCACAGAAAGTGCAAAACAACCTTAGATCATGAGGGAAAAATCTGAAATAAATCACAGAAGCCCATATGAAACATATAAACACCTGCGCATATCATAAATCCCGAACAATTAAACAGAAACAGCGCCTGCATATGAACGACTATGGGAATGATGCACATGATTACCAAATGTGCACGCGAACTTTTGCTAACTCGACGAATACCAGGAAATAGAACACAACTTTAGTACCATTGGAAAGGTGGGAATAAATAAAAATTTATGATACCAAGAACGTGAGAAACCATCCAGAAATGAATGAGATACAAGGACATGAAGTTAGAAACCTGATAATGCACAGGAAGACAGCTTCAAGAGGTCCAGAGCCCTAAATAAAATACATAAAAATATGATATCTTCGAGGACGACCTACTATAACAACGAACAATACATATGGAGGATTAGGATGTGATAATACAAGGGGGAATCAGGGAAGATGAACAAAATCCATGAAAACCACTAAACTACGACGGACCATGGCGGGAATTTTAGGGAACGATATTCTAATGAAGTGGAGAGCTATAATACATTTGTTTGAGTAATTCTTGACTACTAGCAACTTTTTCTTTCGGTTTTAAACCTGAACAATTCACTCATTTACCATTTCAAGTCTCATTTTAACTAAATGTCACTGAATAAAAATGGAATAAATCAGCTGAAGGTCTCAGCGCAGCCACACGCATAGTAATGCGAAGTTTGAATTCAGAATCACCGAGTCATAGCAAATTTAATGGTAAATATGAGGAATTTGAAATAGGAAAACTGTGACAAATGCAGCGCAGTCAAGTTTTAATTAACCATTAAAATAGCTTAGGCGAGGAAGGACAATAAGGATTCTAGGCGCAGTCTGACCGCAGTAGAGCCGCAGTTCAGTGCAGTAAAGCGCAGTAGAACTATAGCGTGAAAATTTCATTTTTTATTCAGTTTGAGAAAAATACACTGTAAATAAATCCTGTAAATAGGAGGTAGAGCGTGAAAAAGGAAGGTGACCCAAGGAGTATAAAAGGGAGACCCTTTCTGCGACTTTTCGCCCCCCTCAGAGAAGTAAGAAAATAGAGTATTATTTTTCTCAAGCATTTCTGGTTGTCACTCCAGTGCGAAAAAGTGATATACAGTTAAGATTGCCACTGTAGTAAAAGGCAGCAATTAAGGAGAGAAATATTAAGTAGATGTTTCAACAGGAGAGCTGGTTAACACTCCAGATTTCAAAGTGTAAAGTTATTTTGCTACTGTTAAAACAAGCAATAAAATAAGACAAAAATAAAACAAACTCAAGGGACACTCCAGACACAATCCAAATCCATTAACTGAGTAGAATCTTTGAAACTTCACCAAGTAGAAGATTTAATTCAAGTTAAAATCCCAAATTAAACAACGCTACACAGAATTACACCTAAACAAATTAAGAAATTTCAATAAAGGAACAGCTCTGCAAGGCTCGGTTTATCTGTAAGTCAATTCCCAGAAACTTTAGACTAACCCATAAAAATAGAATTAGCCAAAACACTCGGATTGGTACTATATTTACAACAAATAATACTAGTACACTTCCCCATCCTAACTAAAGAACCAGGGAACAGCTTGGTGGTGGTCTCATTTGAACCTCCCAACTGACCTTCCTTCGTTCTCTCCTTCAACATGACTGAAATTCTCACGTGATTCAGACTAGAGACGGCTCGATCAATGAGCACTCCAATGTCTGCTAACTTGAAATTAAACAAAATAAATTCCCCTGAAGTCGACACTCACCTCTACCAATCTATGCTTGGCTCACTCATGTACGCCTCCATCAGCACTCATCCCGACATATCCTTCGCTGTGGGTCTACTTGCTCAGCACGCGATCGCTCCCGGAAAAGAACATCTCATGGCAATCAAACGAGTTTTTCGTTATCTCAATGGAACTCACAACTATGCTCTGGTCTTTGATGGGAAGAAGGTAAAGGAAGGACTAACTGGCTTCTCTGACGCCGACTGGGCTGGCGACTCGAGCACCCGACGCTCCATGTCTGGGTATTGTTTCATCTATGGTGGGGCTGCGGTTGCCTGGTCATCCAAGAAGCAACCCACGATTGCATTGTTGAGTACCGAGGCAGAGTATATGGCAACAACCCATGCCGGTAAGGAGGCAGTCTATTTGGATCATCTTTACGACTCCTCTGGAATTCCCGTTGATTCACCCATTACCATTTTTGTCGACAACCAATCCGCCATTGCCCTCGCTGAGAACCCCGTATTCCACGCCCAAACGAAGCACATCGACGTTTGCCACCACTGGATCCGAGAAAAGATTGAAAGCGGAACTTTGGAACTCCAATATGTCCCAACTGCCGATCAAGTGTCCGACATTTTCACGAAAGCTCTCCCCATTGTCAAGTTCGAGAAGTTCCGAGGAGAGCTGGGTTTGCATTGAGTCACCCATCGCTGAGTGGGTGTGTTGTAAGACAGCAACGGTTGGTTCAACGCTTAGCACAAGGATACCTGACCTACATTATCTCGGTGAGATGCCCGATGATTGATGTTAGGTTTATTTCTAGTCAGTCTCTACTGTCTTATCACTATATGTTTATTTAACATTTATCTTCCTTTATCTGACCTGTTGGTCGCTTCACTTTCCTTTATTTGTAATAACTTTCACTCCTGTTACATTCGAGTAATTGATGCTTAAAAGCTCGATGTTTACTTCGCTGATGCCCTCAGTTCTCATTGCATTCACAACTGCGAGACTGAGGTCGGTATACCTTTATTATTTACTTATTCTAAATCTTCACCTAGTGTTATTTCATTCTAGGTAGATATACCCAATTATTAGTTCTCATTGCATTCACAACCGCGAGACTGAGTGTTATTTCATTCTAGTTCACGTTATGGACTATGTACATAATCACCTGTATGGCAGTCTAAAATTGTGACCAGAAATTCCCACCTTGAGACTTACCTTGTCAGCCCCAAAATTAAGGACCCCTTTAGACAAACAGTAGTGGCACAGCACTCCCTTCTGAGTCACTAAGGCCAAGGTCCTCACACTTAAGTCTTGTCAGGGGACGACTCCCAGGTCCCCATGACCCTCCCCTATGGTCCACAACCTCTGGTGTAACCAGCCCTATCCAGGGCACAACCTACTGTGGGTAAGGAGATGAGAAGGAAGCTAACTTCTCATCTTCCCACAGTGGCCACAATATCAGGCAAACTTCTGGGGATACCCGGAAGTCACATGAGGGCAGGATCCAGGGCCAGATCATGCAGCGTGCGGAGCATGTGGCATGGGAAGTACGCATGGGAAGTGTAGTGGGTCCAGACACAAGTCCGGGTCCGGGCTAGTCAGGGTGTGTGCCCTGACAAGTCTCCTGTTCATTTCTGAATCCACCTTTCTAACAAGATGAAAGTTTGTCATCATTAAAGGAATATATGTACAGGCCTCCAATTATAGTACAATAAGGCAGTGACTAAAGGCAGGAATGCAATGACAGGTGTGGCATGCATGATTGTGATGTTATGCACATTAAAACCAGGCCCCAGGAGACATCATAACCCATAACACCAATTTTGTCCAGTATATGCTACATGAAGATCCCACCAAACTTATACCTAAAAGGGATGATTATAGGTATAATTCAGGTGACTGAAAGAGTGAAAATTCAGCCCACAATTTTGGAGGAAATTGAGGCCTACCATATGTATGAGCTGATCTAATCTCAATCCTGGGGTGGCCCCCTGATCAATCTCAATGATATATTTTCCAGTGGACATAAAAATTTGTAGCCATTCATATATTGGATGCATAGAACCCTCAGGGATTGAGTGGTTAACCAAAGGGTCAGGCTAAATAATGGCAATCTCAGCTTACCTGGGTTTCACTGAATTCTATCCATTTTGGCACTGGTGGATCTGCACCCTCAGCCCTCAGGAACTCAGTAAGGGCCTCCAAGCTCTCCAAACTAACAGCAGGACTGCCTGGAGAACAAATAAAAGAGTGCAGTGAGCTGAGAGGCCTCCAGTAGTTGAAGTATTGTATCCAATCCCCCCCCTAAGAGGCTCACCACTTGGGTGCTGGAGTATGCCTATTGTGAGATACATTTACAGCATAGAAGACAGACAATTCAACTTACATTCTCTAGAAAACCCTTTATCTGAATCAAGCCCTGCTTAGTGGCATCTGGCCCCATAGACACAAGAACCAGTAAGAATTGGAAAATTCCCCTTAGTTTGTTAGGACTTGGCTCATCAAGAACCTCCCTACTAGATGATGTGGAGGCAAGGGGCTGACTTGTATCAGGAAAGTCAATCTGGAAAATGAACACCAGGTAAAGTTAATATGAGCAGTACTTTCCATTTAGACTTACCTCATTCCCCCCTAGAGTGTCTAGGACCTCCATCTCCTCATCTTGAAAGTGCTGTGGACCATGGTCAAAGGTGGATGGCCCAGAAAGAAGAAATGGCAAAGAACCACCAATCTCCTCACTCCCCCTATCTCGTGGCATTGCAGCATCCTCCTCTGTTAGGTAGTTGTGCACCATGTCATTGGGAACATCATAAGTATAGAGATTCTGGGGGCCCTGGACTTGTGGCCTGGGTGGCAATTGTCTTGGCTGTTGTCTATTATCCTATCATTTACCTCGTAATCCTGCCAGTGTGGAAATATACTTACAGTGCCTGTTGGTCAATGCTGGGAGGTTGAGGGCATTTTGGAGGTGGTGGTGGGATTCTTTTTAAAATGTCCCCAATAACAGGGTTCAGCTTTGGAAGAATGGGTTGTCGAACGAGTGGTAATGGAGGTGCATAATTCCGGCTATCCAGCAATGGCAATTCATTGTGCCCAGCGCAATCAAAGATCCATTCAGGTGTCACAGGACAAGCCTTCCTGTACATCTCCAGGTGTAATTGTTCAAGTACAGTAATGGGTGTACAAAGAACAGCATAAGCGGCACCATGAAGAGAAGGCCATACTTCTCCACCATGATCCTACACAAAATTGATATATGCAAGACAACCTCTTTGCGGAGCATACCTTGATGCGCTTCCCCAATTTGGTTGTCTGCTTTTTGGACAGACGGGGAGATAGAAATATTTTGATAGGACACCCATGTTCATCAACAAACAGAGGTTTAAAGCTTATTGTGCAAGTCGAAGCCGCTTTCCGCATAGCAATCTAACTATAATTTGTCGAAACAATACAGCGGCAGTTGCCGCACAAACTGACCAATCTATCTCAACCGTAAGTTGACAATCCGCATTCCTCTACGGGCGCTGCAATGCTCACAGCAAAAATGCATCTTGTGTGCTACTAGATGCCTACTATTGAAGAAGTTCACTCCGACCACGACGACGTTGCTCTTGGATCTGACAATGAACTTGGAGCACTTGACAAGATTCAGTCCCGCTCCGAACGCAAAGCGCGCAAGGCGCTCGCAGGGCTTGGACTGAAAAAAGTGTCGGGCATTACTCGGGTGACTCTGCGACGCCCAAAAGGCGTGCGTCTAATTCCTGCTTGCATAGTCACTCACTCATCTATTTTACTTGTCCCCTGAACTCCTACTGAATTCTTTTTTTTTCTTTTCCCTTTTCTTACCTCCACAGCTCTTGTTCGTCATTGCGTCCCCAGAAGTTTACAAAAACCCCACAGGCGATTGCTATATTGTTTTCGGGGAGGCTAAGGGCGAGGACCCAAGTGCGCTGGCACACGCCGCTGCCACTCAACAGCGAGTTCCTGCCGCCAACGAGAAGCATCACGACCACGCTCATGACCACTCGCACGATCATGACGATGACTCAAAAGATGAGCCACCACCTTTGGAGGAGCTAGATGATGATGATTCTGACGAGATCGATGAGACTGGGGTGGACTCAAATGATGTTGAGGAAGTGATGAAGCAAGTGAGCTGCAGCCGTGCGAAGGCTGTTAAGGTTCTAAAAGAGAAGGATGGGGATGTAATCTCTGCTAGTACGTCCCTTCCAGTGCTCGCCGTTTCGTCAACATCCTAGCATGCTAAATGACCTGCATTTTTTCAATAGTAATGGCTGCTACATAGTAACTACCTCTCAATCCTTGTACTATGCTCCCTAAAAATCTTCAGTGACTTTGTTTCTGTTGAATCTCTGTGCCCTGGATGTTCTTCACACAGTAATCTCAACACACGTTCGGGAACAAGAATCGATTCGCACACTGATACACTCATCACTAACACAATAAGTATTGGCTACATACATCCCCACAGGGAATAACAGGGTGGTTACATGACGGAACAACCTCAATCGATTCACTCAGTACTCCACCAAGGGAAGTACCCTACCAACTCTAATAGGTCGATTCCTTCGATGGCGTTTACCGGCTTTCTCGATCTCCTCCTATATCGAAACATTGAAATGATCAGCATGTCTACTCTCGCCAGTTAACGCCTCTCCGATACTCACACTGTCGAAGAACGAATATCCACTCAACAACCCGCCTTCTTCCTCTTCCTCGGCGGCAGCCCCATCATCTTCACCTTCCTCTGGCAGTTCAACAGGCACCACGAGCGCAGAACCCGTTCGCGCATCGATCAAGTTCCCTGAATGATCCACAAATGCGCCTGACCGCTCGTTAGCCTGGCGATAGATCATATTGACTAATTTGTATACATCCGTCAAATACTGAGCGATGGTATCAAGGAAACGGCGCGTTTGGAGGTGCTTGGACGTGGCACAAATGGAAATGGCGTCATCTTTGATGATGTAACCGATTCCAAAACCGTCTGAAGCGACGGGTCCGAACCCGAAGAGCCGGAGTGCGGGGTTACCGCAGTTGGAAGTGGAAAGAATGCTCGTATTGATGAGATGCCAGCCCGGATCGGTGAATATGGCTGGGAGGAATTTCTTCGGTGGCTCCTCGCCAGATGTTGAAGAGGATTCGGAATCCCCGTCTTCACTGAGTGTTTGGCCTTCTATCTCACGCTGAAGGAGGCAGTAAAGCGCATAAAGGTGACTTATGGCGCAAATACCAACCATAAGTTAAGCGAATACAACAAGGTCCATATGACACACCGATCCTGGCCCAAACCCTTGCTGCACTCCTTCGTTAACCTGACATGGTTCTCGCATGCCTCGCGCAAAGCATTTATCTTTTCGTCTGGGGACGCATCTGAGAAGAATGTCTACACGAAACTGAAGTGAATAGTTTTGAGTAAAACTTGCAAACTCCTGACGAACCTTAGTAAACTTGACACTCTCAGGTTGCACCGTCCTGATCGCCTCCGTCCGTCCATGCAAGAATGCCTTTGTCATCGCCGGCTCATACGTACACTCGATGCGCCCATAGAGCCCGTAATAACCAGCTTGGAAAGCCATCTGTACGAACGCATCGGGACTGAAACCCCGTTTAGTGATCCATCTCTTTCCAAAACCCGTAAACTCTAAAGCTTGAGCGTCGTTTTGACAGATCATGTCGGACAGACGAGTCTCGGCGAAACGGATTCCGATGAGAACGTCAGGAGTGAGAGACCATTCGAGTTTATGCGGCGTGGTGACTAATTGCCGAACCTGAGGGTTGGACCCATTGGATGTAGACTGGGTAGATTGGTAGTTTTTGGAGGATTTGGAATACGGAGAGAGGGTGACCTTGAAGAGGGTCGGGGCAGAAGGGTTAATGCTTCGAGCCATCGAAAGCAAGTTGTCCGTATAGACATCCGCTGCGAAGCGGAGCACCGTGTGGCCTAGAGAAACATCCGGGAACAAAGATGTGAGGACGACGATCCGTGTGAAGTGAAGGTGAAGTGAATAACAACAACAAAGATCTGTCGATCCTCACCGTCAACTCCCGTGTGCTCAAAGTTGATCCCAGCCGCTCCATTCTGGCAAACGATGATCTGCAACTTATCGTACCATCGGTTGGTACACGTCCCAGTTTGAACACCCCCTTCAAGTCTATACGTCCCGCACAAGAAGTTCTTGCATAGCTCTGCGGTACTCTCCGGCGTGGCATCATCCAAACATACCATGAACAGCGCATAATCGATCACACCCAAACATTCCTTGTTACGCTTCGATGAATGCTGCAAGTTCTGTCGAAGTTGAGCCCAGTGTTTTCTGTTCTCGGTTGTGAGGACTCCAACGGCTGAAGTAGCAACTGCCGAAGGAGGCGTTTGATCTGCGTCAGTTACGATGGCATGGAGATTACGGAGGATATCACGTTCGGTAAGGACAGGTCGCGAGGCGGAGTCGAGGACGTCGAAGTAGTAGAATTGACCGCGACGGATGACGACGATGTGATTTGAGGTTGAGTTTGCACTCATCTTACATCCATTCTCAGTGGGTATCCTAGATGTGCCGAAAAGCTGCATGGGGTAACACCGATTCGGTTGTCAGAAAACAAAAAGACAGGAATGTTCAAGACTTACCCTAGAATACTGATCCATATCCAGAGGGATTCCTCGGGCCGTGTCAGGTTCAAGGAGGCCATTCCTCAAATCGTGAATGAATCCCAGTGCACTCACGATGAGGGACGCCGCGCGGGGGAGCTGGGAGCCTCGGGATGGTGTTGGATCATCCCTAACACGAACAGGAAAGGGATCAGAATCATCAAAAGGTAAAGGGAATAGGAGATCGCTTACTCAAGAACAAAGAAAGGGTTGAGACCTAATACAACAGGGTCACTGTGTCGGAGGTAACTGTCATACCTGTGCAGCAGTATGGGCCAGAGTGCGAAGAAATTCAATATGACATCGAGAATCGTCAATATAGGTGATCTGGGACTTGGAGTTTGTGGAAGATGGAACATACCAGAACTCCTCAATGTAACTATTCACATGCGCACACGGCCGGTGGAGTAACGTTTCAAGTGGAAAGAAGCATTGTCAGGAAACGTGGGTCCCGCCAAAATTTGAAAATACCCACCTAGCTTTATCCTTAGCATATCCCAGGAGCCTCTGCTGAACTTTCGGTCCCTCTCCCTTCAAAAACTCTGCCACAGCCTTCCTTGTACGATCGTATTCGTGTTTATCTTGAAGACCTTCAAGAGCACGGAGGTACTTCCGAACGGTGTCCTCCAGACAAGGTATCGGGAGACGTGGAAGAGAAGATTGGTATTTGAAAGTAACCCCATCTGATGGGGGGCGAAGATTAAAGGACCGTCCATCGCCTCATTTGAGGCGCTCGTCGTCGTCGTCGTTGTCGTCGTCGTCGCCTTTGCTGGAGCAGGCGACATGATGGCAAGCGATTCGATCAGTCAGGAGGGATCGAGTTGAAGGGAAATGAGCAGGTCCCTGCGTGATAGGCCCTGGTGCAAATAGGGGATACGAGCTAGTATTTCCCCTTCTATATCCAGTCCAGAATAGAGAAGGAGAGCAAATACGGGGAGCGGTGAAAGGGGACATGTGCTCCTTAAGAAGTTTCATTGAAGGTTACGTCGGGTACGGCGTGAGAACACCTGAACCATCACTTCCGACAACAACCGACTTGTTCGGCGATCGCGCCAGAAGGAATTACAAGTCGAAGTACATACTCTATTTGCACCCGCGTCTTCGATCGCTCTCGCCGCTACTACCCTTGCTGCCGTATCCCTGAAGTGCCCTCATAACCCGTCATACGCTGCCATAGGAGCGTTATTGCCTCACTATCTCATATCAGACTCCCGGCCCTGCCGCCCGCTGATGAGCCCTTTGCTCACACACCTATGAACAAATCTTAGTACCCGCTTTCTTCCGCCTGGCTCATTGTCGTGAACCATCGTTCCTCTGGACCAATGACCCGATAACAGTCGATTTCATTTCAACCTTCATATTGCCTATCTTCCACTCATTTATAATTTAGTGCTGCCACCTGTCCGGCTTTCCCCTGCAGCTATTTGCAGTGTTTCTGTTTGGCCTCTGTGTCCCATTTAGGCTGGATCAGCGTTGTGTGGAGTCCTGGACAAAGACGCGAGAACTGGGATTGCGTGGCCACAGCTAGAATCGAACGCTGATATGACTTTGGATCAAACTATTATCACTGTGGGAAGTTATGAGCGATAGAATGAAGCGACCGTACTACGCGGGTATTTGAACTGTATGTCATGGTGGCTTTCGCTGCCATTCTAATTACAGGAGGCGCTGCGGACGCACTATCCTCCAACGCGATTCATGCATACGCCGAAGGCGCTTCAGGTTTGGCAAGTCGGTTTGAGGGGAACCCCAGCCCAAAAGTAGCTGGAGAGGCGTCAGAGAGACGGGGAAGAACGGAGGACTAGCCTCCATTTCAGAGCCTTTTCTTCGAGTTAGTAACCTCGACAAGCTTAAAGATAGGGGTATTCCGCGATTGCTGCATAACTCGTACCTCAGTCCACACTCGATCGCACTCTCGCCCCACCCTTCGCATCACGAATCAGTTGGTCAACAGTATTAGATCAAGATGTCCCACCTTAATCCCAACCCTGAAGTGAAGCTCAACCGAATCGCATTCGGAGATCATGCATCTATGTGGTTCGTTCCGTCCAGCGTTACGGCGCTGGATACTCGAGATGGATCCCGATTGTTCTATACTCTGTTACACTTCAAGAGCCAAAGTGAGGCCTGCGGACTCACTGCTTTGTTAATTGTGAGGATTATTCCTATGCGAGCGATGATTCTGTCGAAGATGAGCCCACCATTTCCTGTTCTCGGTCGTGGGGTCTCCAAGGGCTGCGTCAGTTACTATCGCTTGGGGTTACGGAGGATGTCGCGTTCGTGAGGCGGAATCAAGTAGTGGAATTGACCGCGACAGATGACGACATCGGATTCAGTTGTCAGAAAGAAAACATTGGAATGTTCAAAGGACTCGCCCTACGATACTAATTCATATCCAAAGGGATTCCTTGGGCCGTATCGGGCCTCGAGGGGCCATTCCTCAAATCATGAATGAGAACGCTCACGATGAGCGACGCCGCGAGGTCTGGGGGCGTCTGGATGGTGTTGGATCATCCCTAACATGAACAGGAAAGGGATCGGAATTACCAAAAAAGGTAAAGGGAATAGGAGATCGCTTGCCCAAGAACAAAGAAAGGATTGAGACCTAATACAGCAGGGTCGCTATGTCGGAGGTAACTATCATACCTGTGCAAACACGCAGCAGGGTGGCGAAGATATCGAACATTCAAATCGTCAATATGGATGATCTGGAGCTTAGAGTTTGTGGAGGGTGATGTGCTAGAACTCCCCAATGTGCCTATCCACAGCCGGTGAGGTAACGTTTCAAGTGGAAGTGAGCAATAATCAGGGAACGAGAGTCCCGCCAAACTTGAAAATACCCACCTGGCTCTATCCGTAGCATATTCCAGGAGCCTCTTCTGAATTTTCGGTCCCTAAAAACTCTGCCACAGCCTGCCTTAAGCGATTTTATTCGTGTCTGTCTTGAAGACCTTCAGAGCACGGAGGTACTTCCGAGGGGGTCCTCCAGACGAGGTATCGGGAGAGGTGGAACAGAAGATTGGTATTTGACCATCTGATAGGGGCACGAAGATTAAAGGACCGTTCGTCGCTTCATTTGAGGCGATCGTCGTCGTCATCGTCTTCGCTGGAGCTGGTGACATGATGGCACACAATTCGATCACCGGTAGGCTGGAGGGAAATGAGCAGATCTCTGCATGATGGGCCCTGGTGCAAGTGGGGGATACAAGAGGGATGAAAACCTAGTCCAGAATAGAGAGGGAGAGGAAATGCGAAGTCCATTGAATTGATTGTCTAAGTTTCGGCGTGAGAACACCCTGAACCAGCTGGACGCGCAAAATAATAGCTTTTTTACGCAAATGTTCTCACACTAGACCTGCTTCCGCGGGCAAGTTTCGGAGTAGGTGATCGGCTATGTGTTTAACTCCGTACCATGTGATCTGTTGTATTGAGTACAGAACGTGACTTTAATCGGAAGCAGGTCTAGTGTGAGAACATTTATTTACATTGCGTAAAAAGCTATTATTTTGCGCGTCCACGGAGCTCCTCCGACTGGTACGAGTCTGACCCTGAACCATCGGGGAAAACTACCTTGTACTCCCCTCCGACAACAACCTTAGGGCTCATTGGCTCCCAGGAAAGGATCCCTAGTTCGCCTACCATGGGTCGATCTGGTGGCGGCATGCAAGCCACCACGTGCACCTGAGCAGCAGCCAAAATCGGAACATCCGCTCTGCTAATCCCCTTTGAATAATCAAGCCATTTCCTCCGCACCTTTCGTATCTTATAGTAAAACCTCTGTCGCATGTCAGTCATCTAGAATGACGTTTCTCAGTGCAAAGAGTTTTTTAATATCCTCCGCAGTCACAACTAATTCCAAACCCGGAAGATCATATCCCACGCTGACTCGCCCTCTATAATGCAGCTTGAAGTCGCTCTGGAGCTGCTGTCTGATAAGCCCTAAAAACGCTTCACGAACTTCTCCGTCACAGGAAGGAAGATTAGGCCAGAACCACCCAGGGTAGGCTTTCCCATGAGAACCTTTGACAGCGATCCTTACCCCCGTAACATCATTGAAGGCCTGGATATAGTGGGTACACATAATGCAGGAAAGCTTAGAGACCCCAATGTAGGGTAAGACTCGCTGGAGTTCGCCCTTAAACATTGCTGTAATCATGGCTAGCTCGGCGTGGACCGTGGGTTCCCAGCGGGCCACCTCAGAACCCTCCAGCCCATTCCGAAGCCGCGCAATGAACGATTCGCGCCGCTCATCCCATTCCGCAGTACAGTATGTGGTTCCGGCCAACGCGGCGTCCAGAGCCACTCGTATGTTCTCTGAAGAAAGATTGCAGCGATACGGAGTCGTGGTCAGACGCGGGAGGGGTTGAATTGCGAATTTCCCTTTTATAATTTTGTGGAGGCGGCGCGACTGGGTCAAGGTTAAGAGCCTGTCGGCCGAGATCACGAGCGACATGATCTTCACCGCCCAACGCCGAAGCTGAAAACCTATGTTGTAATCTAAAAAAGGATGTGGATTCATGTGAGAGTGAGACCATGTAGGTGTCATATCACGCACTCTCAGCCAGCCACGTATCCGCGTAGTCAAGCAAAGGAGCCACATTGTCGGCCAGCCCATCTTTGGGAAGAAGGCCGTTGTGCGTCCAGAACAAATAGATTGCTAGAAGCATGCGCATATCAGCGGCAGAAAGTTGCTTCGTTGCTTGTGCATTGGCGACGACTTCGATAATCATCCCCACATGCTGAAGGAACAACAACAACGTGGAACGCTGGTTCGGGGTGAAACCATCCACATCCTGCTCAATGTACCTCCGAATGGTGGAAAGCTTGTGCTCACGCTTGTTAACGCGATACGCAAAAATGTCGAATGAGTAGTTGTGAATGGCTCTGCAGACTTCGGTTAAGCTCCCCTCTGGCTCCTTCGAGATGTCCTTCGGGGAGCTGTCTACTCCATGTGGCTTGTAGGGGACTTGGGAAAGCATATCAAAGACGGACCGTAGGTGATCAGAACAACTACTAGCTGCATCATCATCTTCGTGGTTGAAAGCGATGTATACTTGCGTTTCAAGAGTGCCTTTATTGTCCATTACGCTGGCCATCGTAGCGGAGACGTTTCCTCGTTTACGGAGTGAGATATCGGCGACTGCATCGAGAAGTGCCCGTAGGCGCTGGGAGAGTTGCTCATCGACACCCTGAATGTCTGAACAAAGTTTTTCATCGGACAGTGGGCGCCGATTTGGGATTCTGCAAGCAAGCTCTGCGTAATATTTCGGGTCCTCTGTACCGACGAGAGTGAGAGTGGACTGGTCGATCCTGGACATGGACTCGGAAAGTATGAAGAAAGGGGTGCTGAGATGGGGGGTACTGAGCTTCAGAAAGGCCAAGGTTTGGGTCTCACCGATCACTATATACCCGTCAAACCAGGTCACGCCAAATATTATATTAGTCACCTGATGGAGATCACTTGAAGACATACGCAACAAATGTAACACTTCATGGAGAGCACCTCAATAGTCAGTGATGCGACCGGTCATGTGCCAGAACACGTGAGTGTACTGCCTCTCATGTGGGGGCTCTGGGCAGAAATGCAAGAGCAGCCACTGCCTGGCCACCGCTAGAAAGGACGACTTTGGAATACAATGGGAGATACGCGGGTAATATTTGAACTACATGTCATGGTTGCGGAAGCCGCCTTTCCCAGCTGCTGAAAGTCCCAACACGTCCGCGCATTCGCCGATCTCCAACATAAATGGTCCGAGGATTTCAAATAAGTGGAGGGCGCCAACTGATTCAGGATCACTTTCTTCGTTGCGTGACCTCAACGAAGATAGGGGTATTCTGCGATTCGTACCTCCCCCACTCTTGGGTCTGATAGATCGCTCACACCGCGGAGCCACCCTAACGTTCACACCACTAATCAATTCGTAATCAGTATCAGATCAAGATGTCCCTCGATTCCAACCCTGAAACGGAGCTGAATCAAGTCGCGTTTGGAGATAAGGCTGCTGTGTGGCTCGTTCCGTCCGGCGTTGCATCGTTGGATACTCAAGATGGAACTGGGTTGTTTTCTGCCCTGTCGCACTTTAAGAGCCAAAGTGAGGCCCGTGGACTCATTGGCTTATTACTCGCGAAGATTGTTCCCCCTCTTTCAAACGAGCCTTCCCAGACAGCTGCTTGGGTTGCAGTCTGTTACAACGAAGAAACGACAACTCAAGACGTGGATGCGGTGCTAGAGAGGGCCAGCAGCGATAGATTGTACAATTTCAATTTAGTCAGTATGCCCGCAGAGCGCGCGGCACGCGTCTGCACCTTTGATGGACTACCCAATCAGTGGAAAACTTCCAATGTTTCTGGAATTTTTTTTGCACAAACGCCGAGCCGAAGGGTAAGTGTATCCACCATTTTTTTGGGTATTGCCCCCCCACAGTGGACGATTGTGTATTTCAGCGCATCCCCATCCAATTTACGAGCTTGCGTACTGTTGGTGAACTGAAAGACGCGATTCAAGACAAGGAAGGGATTCTGCCTGTCCATTACAAGATCATATTTAAAGGAGAACAGCTGGGAGATGCGAGACGTCTGGCTGATTATAGGATCTTCCCGGGTGATTATGTGCTCCTGGTCCCGCGATTGCCGTCCAAAAAGCCCTTACCGAAAATAAGAGTTCAACCCATGTTTTTTTTGTGAAACCGCCCACTAGGAAGGTAGGTGTATATACCAGTTTCTGTGTGCTGTGCCCCGTGACACCATTGTGCATTGTAGTACATCACCATCCAATTTACCGACTTGTGTACTGTTGAACAACTGAAAGATGTGATTCAAGACAAAGAAGGAATCCCTCCTGACCAACAAAGGCTCATGTTTAAAGGAGTTCAACTGGAAGACGCAGGATGTCTAGGTGATTATATGATCGGACCAGATGATACTGTGCACCTGCTCCCGCGATTGCGCGGAGGATCAGATGGTATGAAATTTGTCTCCGTTGAAAATGGGAGTTTAACCCGTGGTTTTAATGCATCTGTGAGCTTCTGTACACCGCACCATCTGGAGTTTCCTGATGCATAAGGTGGAAGGCACCTAGTTGGCGGGCTGTTGATTCTGGACTTAACTTGATGGGAAGATGTCAAAACAGTCAATGTGCAGCACACAATCGGTAAGCTTTTGACATACTTTTGTGATAAAACTGATGATAACTTGTCCAGGGTTATATGGGTTCCAAAGGGGATTGGCATTTTCAAGCTCCATACTCTTCAGCAGAGCCAGACAGGTGACAAACGCATCCTAGACAAGTGTCCTCGATGTAACTCGAGCGCCGAAATGATCGGGATGGGCTTCATGGAGTGTGTTTGGACTGCCTGGGGTGGGAAAGTGGGCGTGGATTCCTTACTTTCTCCTCCATTTTAACATCCGTGTGGATGTGTTAGATTTCGCCGACAGGATCGATCGACTTTTTTAGAAAGCAGGATCAAATAGTCAGGCCGGAGGACAAATTTCAGGTCTTCCATTTTATTTCCGATTTCACTATCACATCCCATACTTACTATGCGGTATTCAGCTCTTCGCTCCCCAGAAGTCAGGGGAAGAAACCTACAGCACCTTGACCATCAGGGCAGACGATCTGTCTGATGATGCAGTCTGCATTGTCTGTGATGAACCTTACACTAGCAGACAGAATACATTGCCCTGTGGCCATGGTCCAGCCTGCCCCAATTGTTTATCGAAGCAGCCTAATGACAGCTGTCCGCATTGTTTCCCACCACCTGCCTACACGCTGTTCCATGCAGCGGCGGATCGAAGACTCGACGATCAAGGGCTTCACAGTGAGCTCCGCGATCTCACTGTGCGACGATTATCAGACTGGGTGCGATCTTAGTCGGTTAACTAAAGACCCAAGCGCTTGAGAGAACTTATTTCCGAATGAAGTGCGGAATGTCACGCTCCAGCAGTCTAGTTTACAGGGTGGAGGGAAGGTTGAAGGACATTACTTGGCGTGTGGTAGAAGGGACATATGGAGGTAGCAGAGGAAGAGAAAGAGTAGTTGGGTTGGGGATGATGAAGTGATTTGATCCCACATTCCTTCAGGCCAGCCTCATATATGCGGACTATAATATACTCGCTTTCTCCCGCCTGCTCATTATCGAGTGGCGGCGGCACCACCTTGCCGCACACCCTCACAGTCCGAGTCCCCCCGGACGTTACAGACATATTTAGGGGTACGTCATGAAGGCTTAAGTCCACATCAGGTATTCGCTATTACTCAACTTGTTGTAAACGGTGTTCCGGATAAGGCAACCCGGTTCCAGCGGCTCACTCGTAGCACAGATGTAAGATAGAAGCGGGAATATAACTAGTGATTTGGGGATGATGTCCGTGCGTATATATATACAAAGGAATGAATAAAGAGGAAAATCTACGTAAGGCAACTCCTGTGCAGGCTGCGCGCTTAGTAAATCCTCCACATTATCCTCCACATGCCCCCGGATATCTCCGGTGACTCGCATTTCCAACACAACTCACATTCATCGTCGGAGCCTGGGTTGCAGGATTCTGATGCCGAGTATTGATCATGAACGCAAGCGTGACCGAGTTAGTTCAATAAATAAATGAATTGACCCGCCAACAAGCTCCTTGCATCTCACACTTTCCTTTCCTTCTGCGGGGGGCCTTCAAAGCCCAGCTATGCCAGACTTTCAACAACTGTTCCATTCCAGCCCGTTCAAACCCACTCCGGAAAGCATCCCACCAAAGCATGTTGTCTACCGGATGAACATGCCATCGCCTGTTCCTGCCCACATAACTCCTCTGGTACGATGTCCACACTGGTATATAAAGGACCAATTGAGCACCCATTCTGAGATGTCCTCTGCTAGAATCCGATCCATTTCTTGCTGAGAGCTGCTCTCATTTGCCCTGACAAACTCGCAATTGCTCATCCTGGCCCCCCAAACCCTGCATTTTACACGTTTGCCGACTGGTAGGACCCGTTGTATATACTGCGTCACTTCCCTATATTGTCATTACTCCTCTCATTACAGGGCCCAGCGCGTTCAAAATTTGGCGTATGCCCTCATTGAGGCCGGAATTCAACCAGGGGAACGGGTCGCCGTCATCGCCCCAAACACGCCGATGATTGCAGTGAGTAACAACATCCATTGTTCTTTTCGCCGTTTCCGACTTCTCCGCTCCCAGGACGCGCACCAAGGCATCCTTGCCGCGAGAGCTGTTATTTGCCCAATTAAGTCCGTGGAGCTCGGGACCATTCCTTATCCTATGCCCATTTATTCCGTTTTAGCATTCGCCTCACCAAAGACGTCGTCGACTATATCATTGAGCACAGTGGCTCAAAATTGATTCTCGTTGATCGTCAATTCGCTCATCTCGTTCAAGGCACTCCTGTTCCTACAATCGTCTGTCACGATACCGGACGCGCTGACGACCCATATGAGCGATTCCTTGGTACGACACATCGCTTTTTTTCTTCGTAACCCAGTTAACTCAACAGTAGTTGGTCAGCACGAGGACGACGATTTAGTCGGGAGCGCGGGTGGCAAGGGCTTGATCTGGAAATGAATGAGGATGCGAATGCCAGCTTATGCTATACGTATGTGATTCCTGCCTTTTTCCCCTTGCTCCAATTCTGAGGGCCATGTCTTGTAGCTCCGGGACGACTGGTCGAGTGAGCAATCTCTTCCCCATTATGGTCAACTCCCGATCCGACGTTTTCGCCACAGCCAAAGGGCGTGATCTCGACTCTTAGAGGTGGGACATCCTTTCCTGAATACTATACATTCATCGTCACTCAATTGTTGATAGGGTCATATCTTGCCGCTATCTCTAATGCTTACGAAACCAAGTAAGGCTTAAAACTATACCATTGCCAGCGGTTCCTCTAATCTTAGCGTTGACTAGGTTGGATCGTTCTTCCACATATCTATGGATTCTACCAATGTTCCATGCTTGCGGGTGGACATTTCCGTGGGCGTGTACGTTTGCATTCAGCACGCAAGTGAGTTGTCATTGTCACGTTCTGGTCGATCCGACCACGATTAAAGCGATGCATGTCAGTTGATTATCCGTGCTGTGGAGTACGATGTTATTTGGCACCACATTAACAACTCGAATGTCACCCATTATTGCGGGGCTCCTACAGTACAGGTGAGATCAATTGCAGCTATTGAGCAACGCGACTAAAACCCGGAGACATAGATAGGGATCGTCAACTCGCCTTATGCGCGGAAGCTAGACAGCGCCCGTTTCGTAACGGCCATCATCGCCGGCGCTGCACCTACCTCTCACCTCATATCCCAACTCGAGAGGTTAGGTATCAAAGTCACACATGTATACGGGCTGACGTGAGTGGAAGCGAGGATAACCGTTTGCTTTCCACTTCGAATCTGACGGGTTTCCAGAGAAACGTACGGTCCATTCACACGCAATTACTATCGGCCGTTGCATCCTATCGATGAGAAGGTTGGATTGCACGATGGGGATGCTCGAATCATGGCTCGACAGGGACATGCATTTGCAAATTCTGATGAAGCTCGCGTTGTCTACCGGCAACAAAATGGAGAACCTCTCGATGCCCCCCTCCGTGATGTTCCTGATGATGGAAACACGCTCGGTGAGATTGTCGTTCGAGGGAATATTGTCATGAAGGAAGTACGCACTTTCGTTCCTTTGATCTGAAGCACATCAAGATGTCAAGTTCACCCTTCGACCAGTACTTCCGTGATCCGGAGGCGACGAGAAAAGCTTTCCGTGGAGGTCACTTCAACACGGGAGACCTCGCTGTTAGAAATCCAGACGGCAGCCTTTCCATTCAAGACCGTAGCAAAGACTTGATTATCTCAGGAGGAGAGGTACGTTCGAGCGCCGCACTGTCAATCACGCATCGGTTACATTGATTCCTTCATCCTTGCAGAATGCTTCGTCCCTCGCCATTGAGCAAGGTGATTTATCACGCGCAATCAATCAGGAACTCGAATAACTCATTTTGACACCAGAACTCGCGAAGCATCCTGACGTACAGGAGGTCACCGTTGTCGCCAGGGCGCACCCTACGTGGGGTGAACGCGCCATGGCTTTCGTGATGCTGCACACTCATTCTTCCTTCAAATCGCGCGTTGAAGAATTCGAGAAGGAACTCAAAGCGTTTGCTGCAAAAGTCCTCCCAGGATTCGCCCGACCTGAGTGGGTTACTGTTGTGGATGAGCTGCCGAAGACGGGAACGGGTAAAGTCCTCAAGCATGTGCTGAGAAGTCGCGCAGCGAAGTTATAAGTAGAAGGACTCGTCCTCTTACTGGTGCTTCTTTCTATTGATCATCTCTTGCAAACCTGAATTCGTTCATACCATGCACCTCTCGCTGCTGCTGAGACATGCTTCCATGACGGGGAGCGTGTCAAGAAGGACGAGTTACATCCCTGAATGAACAAGGCAAAGTCGAGGTCACCCGAAAATTATATCATTCTGGAAAGCCCGAGATGAGGGCTAATGAAATAGAATGACACAGACACTCCGGGGTGTTCATAGCCAAAGATCGAGGCACAAGCCTGAGCACGTTACAACTGCCAATACTGTGGGACCGTCCCAGACTCGTACCCAGTCGGAGGAGCTCCGTGGACGCGCAAAATAATAGCTTTTTTACGCAATGTAAATAAACGTTCTCACACTGGTACTCGACTGCTTCCGATGCTAGTCACGTTCTGTACTCAATACAAAAGATCACATGGTACGGAGTTAAACAAATATCCGATCACCTACTCCGAAACTTAGCCCGCGACACTTCGCTCCTCCGACTGGGGCAAAATGTAGGTGGCGATGCATCGGAAACACCCGACTCTCACGCTAAGCCTGAATGAGTTGTACATAGAGGTTGCGCAATGTAATTGTTAGTGTTGACACATGCGGTCATTGTACCCAACCCAACCCATAGAGACTTGGGAGCACCTTGAGGGTTGTGAAATCGACAACCCGGGCATGTGCGGAAATTGACTCTTCATATAATACTTCTGTAGCAATTTGCAGTTGGTGCTTTGTAGTGAAGCGGTACAAGCGTGAGCTGGGGCTATGCAGCCTTTTTGGCTGCGGGTGTTCGATTCCCACTCAGTAAACCTTTTTTTTTTCCTTCTTTACTCCTTAGTGTAAATGGGATGTTACAATTATTCCTGAGACCATAAAAAAAGGTTTACTGAGTGGGAATCGAACACCCGCAGCCAAAAAGGCTGCATAGCCCCAGCTCACGCTTGTACCGCTTCACTACAAAGCACCAACTGCAAATTGCTACAGAAGTATTATATGAAGAGTCAATTTCCGCACATGCCCGGGTTGTCGATTTCACAACCCTCAAGGTGCTCCCAAGTCTCTATGGGTTGGGTTGGGTACAATGACCGCATGTGTCAACACTAACAATTACATTGCGCAACCTCTATGTACAACTCATTCAGGCTTAGCGTGAGAGTCGGGTGTTTCCGATGCATCGCCACCTACATTTTGCCCCAGTCGGAGGAGCGAAGTGTCGCGGGCTAAGTTTCGGAGTAGGTGATCGGATATTTGTTTAACTCCGTACCATGTGATCTTTTGTATTGAGTACAGAACGTGACTAGCATCGGAAGCAGTCGAGTACCAGTGTGAGAACGTTTATTTACATTGCGTAAAAAAGCTATTATTTTGCGCGTCCACGGAGCTCCTCCGACTGGGTACGAGTCTGGGACCGTCCAGGTAGCGCGGACAACAGGAAACTCGCGACTGCTTGTGCAAGCCAATTGCACCACAACTGCCCAAAGGATTCATGCTGGGAAGATCCAAGCTGAGACATCACAGAAATCTCAAAGACTTGACTTCGGTCTCTATTACACGGAACAGGAAAAACGCGAAGGGAATCTAGAACAGGGTCTCTTCGTCTCGGAGGTATTCACCTGCATCACTGTAAAGGAAACTCAGTACAGAACGAACACCACTGGAAACGTTCATACGCTTGATGGTACACTAATATTGAAGTAGGATCCAGTTTTCGGGTGTCAATTGTCGAACGTGCAGTGACACCGAAGCCCTAAGATATGATTAGCAAAGGCGTGACTAAGAAAGCGACGTCGATGACGCCTACTATGGGAATATCCTTCATGTTAAACACAACCACTCCTTGGTTTTCGGGAGTGTCCTCCGTTATTCGACCCAAGTGAGCCTTCAAAACGTGATTCCCGTACAGAAAGGGCATTTCGCCATTTGGTTTAACCCAGACCTAGAATAGAGGTCCAATCGTTATTCATCTTCTCTAGCAATAAGAACTCCAAGCGAAGAGAAAACTGACTTTGTACTTGGCATATTGGGCAAGGTAGTCCAATGCTGTGATGTGCAGCTTAAACTTCCTGGTCTTCGAGAACTTCCCCATACACGTCCCCAGACTAACAAGATGATCTCGAGACACAGTGGCAGCCAATCTCATCGAGGATTCCGAAACATAATATACACGGTCCTTGTGTAACCGGAAACAATAGGCTTCATCGCTGCGGTCAACCAAATGAACGATATTTTTACCCTAATAAATTTGAACTGGTCACAACATATCGAAGGAGAGCGTAGATATTAGAGCCGTACAATGTAGTTTGCAAGCTTAGCAAACAATGCTGTTTGTTCTTCTTCTGTTAGCGGTCTCATTTTCGGGCTGAAGACGAAAGTTTTACGGACACGTGATGAGAATGGCGCCTATATTTGAACAAATTGCGCGTCGAAATCAGACCCCCGGATCATAAATACTGAAAGTCAGGAGCCGCGAAGAAAAAAAAAGAACGAATCGGCTCGATGAGCTAAATTAGGACTACGAAAAAAAAAAGGGAGGAATGAGAAGGCAAAAGGTCCGTTGTCCATTGCGCAACAAGTTGGCCACCAGTAAATAGTATCATCATAATTCGAGGGGGAAACGAAAGGGATGGGCGGGGCGTGAATAACTCCTAAGGAATTGGCGGCACTGCACCGCGCGCGTCATCATGATAGCAATTGTATTTATCGAGCCCTAGACCGATCCGACCCAGCAAGCAGCGTCCCAAAAAATCCAGTAGCAGAAGTTTCACTTTTGAGTTGGATCATGTAAACGATCCCCGTTCGTTCCCCTTTATCGCTTAATTCGATCGCCACGCCAGTTTTCCCAACGCGTTCTACGGCATCCATCAGGACAATCGTCGAAATCAGTAACGTCTTCGATTTATTTGCAGCAGAAACGACTAGCTGCTTAGCGTTGGTAGGCCGCTGCTCATATAATAATAAATCAGCGGCACCAAGAGATTTCCATTGCTGATGACTCTGCTTGAGGAAAACCTTGCATTTCATTTGTGCTGTAATGATTGAGGTGGTGGGAATATCGTTCTTTTTATCTTCGTCAGGGGACGAAGGAGGACTGTCTTGATCCGCGACTTGGTTTTGGGAAACTCCAGTTTGAAGTAAAGAAGGTGGTGGTGGGGGGGCATGGGAGGACCTGAAACTTCTCTCTATTGACGTTCCAGGTAACATTGACGTGTCTGGTCTGCCGCCCAGATGCAACGACTGATTCGGCGGCATGGCAGGTAGCCAATTATTAAAATCATTATTTGGCTGTATACGAGGCAATGGAGGGACGGGGGTATCAAACGGAGTATTGCGCGCAGTGTGAAAAGAAGGTGTTGAAGGCGATTTTGATAAGCCACGGGGAGGCGGAACCAGAGGAGCCGACGCCAAAGGGGGTGGAGGTGGTGGGAAGTGGGACTGATCGCTGCTCTGGAAACTTGTTCTCCCAGTCCCTTGCGAGAACGTGCTCTGTAGGGAGGGATTTCGTTGTACGCCGGAGGCCCTTCCTTCTGCAGACTTGGGTCACCCGCAAAAGCAGAAGGGGGCACAGAAGGACGATGGTCGGAAGTGTTTGGTCGACTGGCACCGCGGGGGGTGGAAGGAAGGTTGGAGCCTCTCCAGGAGGTCGATGTGACATGGGATCCGTTATAGCACGAATCTGTCCACCACCTGGAAGATTTGGATCTGACCCCGCCGTAAGCCGCCCGAATTGAGGACGAGGAGGCTCTAAGGGTGGTGGAGGCATCGGGGAGTCCGAAGTTACTCGCAGAGGCCCTAGCATAGGGGGTGGTTGCATGTGTGGTGGCACCTGCCCATTGAATCCCACAGCACCGAAACTCCGAGTAGGGACGAGAGGAGCTGAGGGAGGAGGGCCTCTTGAGGGATCAAATGGTAATGGTCGGTCACCAACCGTGGCTAATCGAGGAGGTACGTCTAGGGCAGAAGCTTAACGGCAGAACGAAAGAAAACCTGTTTCATTGCTCACGCGAAAGAAGTTCCTCGCGAGCTTCACGCAGTTCCCGCAACATCATTTCCTTTGCTTGAGGAGACTCCGCCTGAATGAACAGTGTCTCCTTACGCATGATCTGTACCTCCACTGCCAAACCTGGCCACATGCCGTGAGCTACGAAGTGTTCAATGTAGTCAATGAGTCATACGCACCTGAAGGTGAAGGGTCGACTGCTGTAAGGTGCCTAGCAGATAGCGGCGGATAGGAAAGCCACATGTCGAAGCTATCATTTCCGGATGCATTGCGCTCTTCCTCAGTCATGCGGTCACATACCAAGAACAAATCGGTCAGAAGAAAGATATGAGCGTGTGGATGTACAACTTCCTTCCCCGTCGACCGAGGTACAAAGGAGACAACGACATTCACGGAAAACCGCAATCTTCGGGTAAAGGGCAGATTAGGCGAAGCCATTTGAAGTCGGCATTTCTGTTAGGAGTGGTTTACAACGATTCACATATTGGGTGCCCTTTGCAAACCTACCTTTGGGGTCATGGTGAATATGTCTATAACTCTATCGGTCGACAGACGTCTCTCCAAATCGATAATAGGTGATGTCAACGTTGAGGTGGAGGCACGAGCACTGGGTGGAGCAGACATATGCGACATCTTTGCAGACAATTGAGAATCCCTACCACCTGCCTCTCTTGACATTCGACCACTTGAACTACTTCCGGGAGTGCTCCCACGCTCAGAATATGAAACGCCATTGGGTAGTGTGCCTGAAAGAATTGGATTAACCGGGCTAATGACATCTGGACTCATCACTCTCTCAGGAGTGTGAGCAGGACTTGCATGATTTAGTGAGTCGAGCTGAGGGATGTCATGTGGAGGGGGAGGTGGCGGTAGTGGTGCTTCATTCTCTGAACCAACAATGAGTGAGGTCCGCGAGCTAAGCCGTTCGAGAAGTTGAACAAGCCTCTCATTCGCGTTCAAAAGCATCGTGTGATCCGATCGACCTGGCTGTGTGCTTTTGAGTAGCCTTGAATAAAGTTTCTTGTAATATTTCATTCGATTGGCAGGGGTCAAAAACAAAGCATCCAGAGTCCATGTGTCGTCGGCCGTTGTTGAGATGGATGAGGGAGGGACGGTAGAAGACACTTCGATAAGTACTGGATGAAGATTCGCGTTCGATTGTACGGGTTCCCATTCATCAAATCCAGTGACGAATCCATCGCAGTACTTAGTATATGGGACTTGGAGATCATCAATCTGGAAAGGAGTTCATTCCCGGTACGTCAATGAAACTGCTTCCAAGATCCGAAGTCAATACTCACCCATCGCATGAGCAAGTCGCCCAGCGCTTTAGGCGAGCTTGGATTTGGTCCAATTTCCTTCAATTTCTATGAAAACCAAATTGCCCTGATCAGCGCCCATGCGCGACCGCAACCCAATCATCCCAAAAAGAATATCCACGCACAGAAAGCAATCCCCGATTAGCACGATACACGCTTTCGACGGCGCGAAACATTGCGTCTAGTTGACGTGGAGGAAAGTTCGATCGTGACCATGCTGAAGCGACGCGGCGAATGACTGCGGCCAATAGGTCGACATAAACTTTCTCAGTCTCGATCAGATCCAGAAGAGGATTAAGTTTCTTCTTGGCAGGACGAATTTCCAACGACGCTGAGAAGACACCCCCATCACCATTGATGACGTTTTCCAAAAGGCTCGAACGGTCAAGACTTGTTGAGTCCGTTGGACTCTCAGTCGACATCGCGTCGCTTAAAACCTGAAACGGAAAAAGGAAGCTCCCTTAATGGCAACAATATGTTTGACAATAATGCAAGGGTTGCTCCGTGACGAGTACGAATGAGGTCGAAAGTCCCAACGAAGAAAAATTCCAGTCGATGATACCGCTGTGCGACGGGTAACAATCCTCCTAGCAGCCCGGCCAGGAACAATGGAATTGCGTAAAGGATCGCCGAAAATCGTTCCTAACCTCGAAAGGCGGCAAGGGGAAGACAGACAAGTATTTCAAGAAGGAAGAGAAGACGGTCTTTGACCTTCCTACGTTCCGAAATTGGACGCGCTTGTGTGTGAGCAAGAACCAGAATGACAGGGTAAACCAAGGCGGATTCAAATTTTAAATCAACTAAGCTTGATTAAGGAAACCATGTCATCGCAACCTGTGCACGTGCGCAGACACTCTGGCAACCGACAAACGTGATCGCTTCAAGTGCTTGGCATTAATATTCCGTCGTGGGGGAGCTGCTCGCCCTGAGACCAGAGCTGAACGAGTATCACGCTTGAGGGTGAGATGGACTATTCCTCTTAGACCATTCATAGCCAACAACTATTTCGGAGCCAGTGCATCAACGCAATTGATAGAGCAACAACATATATATGTATCGCACAACTAACTGGATAGTAAATACACATAGCCAGGTCAAAAGAGATTGGCAGGCTGACGGACTACAAATGTCGAGATATACAGACCACAAACGATATGAAACAGTTAATACCACAGAGAACCAAACGCCTTCATTCGATGACGAGAAGAAAACGAACAAATCGCCAAGGGAGTAAGTAACCAGAACATCAGAGAAGAATCGCACAAACTACGTGAATAAGTAACAACTGAGAATAAAAAAAAAAAACACGTAATACTTGAGCACTTCAGGCCTTCAGACCGATAGACATGGAGAACACGTACTGTAATCCGTTCAATAACGAAAAATTCCATTTACGGGATTCGAGTTTCACCGACTCGTCACCTTCGCCCCAAGACCCTTCATCCGTCTCATCAAACTGGCTTTCCGGTTCGGCGTGCCAACAGACATAGGACCAGGAGATGTTGAATGACCGTCATCCTCCTCCGTGCTCCCGCCGCTCCCATTTTGGTTGAAATAATCTTCAGGAGGAGGAGGCGGTAACTCCTTTTCCCTGGTTGAGACATACATAGGCGTCTGGCGACCTGGTCTGTAATCAGCTGTCCCAGCACGACGTTGGATACGAATATCCAGCGAACGACCACGTTCGGCATCACGGGAGGAAGAAGACTGGTACAGGTCTACATTCCCAGGTGTTTGACGATCAGCGTCGACGATCACAAAACTGTCGGCGATGGCGAGAATTTGTCCTCCGTAGGGGAGTCATCATACCGATACCCTAATCCAATTTAGTAATTCGATGTGTTAGTGGTTTGAAAGGGACCTCCCAACGCCGCCCCAAGATATAGAACATCGAACGTACCATTTGCAACCCCGGGCGGGGGATAGGGAGGATTTGGGGGAATGTTTGGATTGTCTCGTACACGCCTGAAACGATTTATGAGTGATTTATTGCGTTTCGGGCGGCCATCAGGTGTGAAGGGGTTTTCGTTTGGACTTGTAGGCCCGTCATAGCTGCGTGTGGGGGCAAATTCAGATCCAGGGAGAAAGATCGGTTGAGGAGGGGGTGCGATGCGGGCATTGCGTCTTGCGTTGCGGGCGGCTGGTCGATTACAAAAAAGGAGTGTGTATGCCACGAGCGAACCGCATGTACGCAGGGCAGTGAGTTGAACAGACCGGTGCCATCGGCTTGAGACAGGAATGACGTACCAAGTTCAAGGTCTTTTGCCCTCGATGCTGCATCATCGCCATTCATGATCCTGTTACTGATAGGTGCACCATTGCTGCCCGGGCCTATGTACCCACCGGCCGAAAATTCTTCAAAGGTTCTGGATCCGCCCTTCCCCACGCTTCGGCGAGCGTGTTCTTCGTGGCCGGACGGGTGTAGTAGCTGTCCAGTGGTATCGTGGGGCTGGGTTGACCACTGTAAGCCATGGATGCCAAGGCATATGGCGAATCACTATTTTTCCGCACATGCGTCAAGGACGAGGCTAGGTCTGGAGGGGCGGCCGCTGCAAGAATAGCTTCTTCTTCATTGAATGCGCGCATGGGCGCTTTCGCGATATTGTTCCGATTACGAGATGGGGCCAGGGCATCGAAGGGACCATCATGATGGAAAGCTGTGTTATGGAAGGAAATTGGAGTTTTCAGACATCAGAGAACCCCCAGATGAGTTTCACATCACAGGTAGGTGATGCGAAGAACTGTTCAGTACCCTGTCAGGAACAGTGCATATGTAGTTGAACACGTACTTCCTTGCCCAAGGCTGCTGTAATCAAGTTGATCAATCAAATCGACGTGATGACTTTTCTTGCGAACGGGTTTTGCAGGGCGATCTGTTGCTGGGGGAGTTGAAGCGCTCAAGTTTGCACTCTCCTTTTTAAATGGTCGTTCGAAGCTATCTGATGACATCGACCTTGAAGGTACATGACGTGGTCTGGTGGCGGACGGACTTGGTCTACGACGAGGAGACAATGCAGACCATGGAAGCGGATGTGGTGAGGGCTAGGGTTAAAAATCTCGGAATGTAACGATCAAGATCGGCCGGCCAACACACCCTGTTGTCGCACTCCGTGTTGGTCTCGTCCTGGTAAGACTACCATAGTTCATATTGGAGGAGGGAACCTGCTTGATTGTCACGACATCTTGGAGTGCGTCCATAATGGCTTTGTTGGAGGCAAATACAGGAGAGACAGAGCTCGCCGGTTCCGGGCTGAGATAAGAGGAAGTGGATCGGTAGTCTCTGGGTGGGGGTTTGGCGGTGGTTGAACGTGGATGTGGATCTTCAAACGAGTCTGTATATGAGCAAATAACCCACGCACGCACGAGTCGCATTGCATTGGGAGGCATTGATAAATCAATATGATGCTGTCGACACGCATCTGATTACTTGCCTCTTGGGTCTCTTTTTTCCATCGGCGTAGATGGTCGTCGCGAATGCTCTCTTGCTGGCATTTTCTATTGTGTTCAGGCGCTGGAGATGACGGACTAGCGGTAACAAGGACAGTCGTCTTACGTAAGCAAAGGAGGCGCTTGAGCAAAGGCACGTGCAGCCGGGTTCTATCCTCCACCCATTTGAATTCGGAACGCCAATACTTTTTGCGGAATTATTCCGTACAGGCCCGCACAGACTCGTAGAGGCTAGACACCTGGCTACTCGAGGACATAGGCCTGAAAGCCTCCTACTCCTGCCACTCCGGAAATAACGCGCCCAATCAGGGCTTAATTCTTGGCATCAGCACGTGCTCTCTCGGCGAGGACCGTAAGAGAAGTTGGTCACCTGCCTACTGCCTAAAACCGATTTTCGCCGAGTCGCTATAAGGACAGTTAGGGGGATCAAGAAGGCTTTCTGTGATACCTAATCAACAAGAGACAGTGGCACGCAGCAGGAGCCAAAGTTTGCTATATGCACTTCCCATCGTGAACGACTCTACTTCCATAAAGCATCGATAGCTTCAATATTGTTATCATAAACACGGCCAATCAAGGTCAGCAGCATAGCGAACCACGGTCGTTACATATATCGGGAAAATAGAAAACAAAGATGAAGAGAAGATGGTGAAGGCTCGAGCGGATCTAGCTTCGGATGATGATGAATCATGCATCCAGAAGCACGGATAATTGTTTAAACGCAATTTGTGTGCAGGGAATTGAGAGTTATTTAGGAATCGGCGAACACGGTGAATCCATCGGACGGAAGGAAGTTGCTCAGAAGAGGGTTTCATGGAAATCTCACTTGAGAATCAGAGCAGCGGCGTGCACGACAGGTTGACAACAGGGATCCACATATGCGAAAGAGAGTTAGCTCCGTAAACGAACAGCCTCTATACGGTACAACCGAAGCGCCCAAAGCCTTGTTAACATATATATCTTTGATGTCAATAAATCCGTCGGAAAAGTCTTTCCGTGACTATTCGTTAGACGCGCGCGGGCAAACCTTGATGCAAGAATGATCAGGTGATAGATCATGATCGGCTATGGCCGATTAAATGGAAGGCGGGGAAAGCCAATGACAGTTGACACCTCTTGTTCCGATTGGTGCTTATTCCTTTTTGCCATCCCGCCTCCAAAAGTTGAAACACGTCAACATCATAACCTTACTCGACGGCTCGGAGTGTATCAACGATAACTTGACCCGTCCAAGATTATTTCGGCAACATGGTCTCTGAAACCTCTGATGTCATTCATTTGTTTAGCCTTATATGTAACACAACACTTTGTTCAAGCAATTTCATCAGTGCTGCCCCTGTTACCTGGCGAATCCATTGCCATCCTGCGTCTTCCTCCCTCCAAATGGACCTGATCTGCGGCCCTGTGCTTGGGATAACGCGACATACACGGAGGTGGGTGGTTCATTCGGCCCGCCGGACTAACCATATAAAGTCATCCGAACATGTAACTTTCTGTCAGCAACCTACGTTGAAGCATCCGCTGATTGCATCACCAGGTGCGCGGAAACACTGCGAGTGGAGCATATTTTGGCAGACTTTTCTGGGTTGAAATTATCCCTCTGGTATCCCTGCATGCTTTCCTTAGTCTCTGCATAGATAAACTTCATCAGAATCGATGCTCTTCAACAATAGCTATTTTTGACGCCAAAATTAATCGGCAGTTTGTGCGTTCCTGAGTTTCACAGCCACAAGTTTCCTTCTCGAGAACCGTTGACATTTCTCAATTTCAAATCCTTCGCTTGATCTAATTTTGGCAACTTGCACTCTGACTAATGCCGCTTGCGATTGCGAGCACCAACCGGGTATTGCCCTGTACGGAAACCTGATGATAATTTTCCCCAGTTGGCATAAGAGCGGATGCTCCTCATCCCCCCTTCCATTCCTTTCCCTCCACTCCTTCCCCCCCCCCCTTTCCTAACGCGTTCACGTTTCGCGATGACCCACCATTCCTTAACAAAGTATTCGTACCTCGTGTTGGGGAGCCTGCTATTGCTTTGCTTCCTCACATTTCGTAGCTCGTCTTTTGCACCTGCATCGTTCTCCCTGGGCAAGACTGTAGATTCCCTGTTAGATGTAATCGGCTTTGAGCATCATGAAACGCGTGGAATCTACGAGGACTACCAGGACGACATTTGGACGCGTTCGTTGAACAGTCGTGCCAACACCATCCCTACGAACTGGACGTGCGTGAACCGTCTTTTCATTTTTGACAAATACGCATGACGCTATTTTCAAATCCCTTTTGGCTCTTAGTCAGAAGGGATGTTATAGTGATAGCACGTCCACCCGAACACTTCAGGGATACGCCACATCTTCATCCTCCAACACCCCTACCTGGTGTTTAAACCAGTGCTCATCCCGCGGATATGTTTACGGAGGCGTTGAATACGGTAAGCTTTTCATCACTCCCAGCCCGATCGGTACTTATCAATCTTCCTTCCTATCTAGGTCAAGAATGCTATTGCTCAAATTCGATGGTCGTCAGTTCGTCGACGGGACAGCCGGAGGCCCTTTCGGATTGTAGTACGACTTGCACTGGGGATTCATCTCAAACTTGTGGTAGTTCGTATAGGATCTTGATATACATCTATTCGCCACCCCTTCAGCCTGGGTGGAGGTAAGAGAATTCGCTTGTCTAATCTTGCGCCGCAATATTTATTTTTGGCTCTTTCTTTATACAGCGGCAAAGGATGCTATACAGACAGCACTTCTTCCAGGACCCTTTCTTCATACTCTACCTCTAGCTCCTCAAATACGCCGACATGGTGCATCGATACTTGCGCTTCGAGGGGGTATTCACTGGCGGGCGTGGAGTATTCATGGGAATGTTATTGTGCGAATAGCATGGTCGTCAGTACTACGACTGGCCAAGCGGCACCAGGCTCTGATTGCTCTTCGAATTGCGCCGGGGACCCAGCTCTCAACTGCGGGGGAAATAGTCGGATTTACATATATCAACTTTCTTCGTCTACTACCACTTCTACGACTTCGTCCGCTTCTCCAACGCTGAGTGCCAGTTATACCAGTTTGGGTTGTTACGTCGATTCTTCGACTCGGCTTCTGTCAGGTGCTTCGACGAATTTTCCCACCACTGACTCGCCATCTGTATGCGGAGCGTACTGTAATCAACGCTCATTCGCTTATTTCGGGGTTGAATATGGTTGCGTATTTTCTTTTTTGTCCGTTTGCGAAATTTTATGTTTGACGATTTTATGCCGCAGGGAGCGAATGCTACTGTGGAAACACGCTTACTGGATCGACCGCTCCATCGACAGACTGCAATTCGCCCTGTTCAGGCGACTCTACACAACAATGTGGCGGTACTTGGAGGATCAATGTTTATTCCATTAGCGGTAGTTCTACCACTTCCCAAACTACGACTCCTACAACTACCACCTCTTCGACACCTTCGCCAACGCAGTCAGCTCCGTATACGGGTCTCGGATGTTTCGTTGACTCGTCCACTCGAGTATTATCTGGTCCTGCAACTAACTTCCCCAACACGAACTCGCCTCGGTATGCGCGACTTATTGTAGCTCCTACGCATACTTTGGTGTGGAATATTGTGAGTACTATTCATCATCCACGAATATCAAACAGAATCTCAAGTCGTTCGACATCTGATAGCTTCTGAATGTTATTGCGGAAATGCACTGAGTGCACAGTCGGCGCCTTCATCGGATTGTAATTCCCCGTGTTCGGGGAATTCTGCAATCTCATGTGGTGGGACTTGGAGAATCAACATTTATTCTGTTGGTGGGAGCTCAACTACGACTACGACTACGACTCCAACAACGACCTCTACGACGACGACGACGTCCACTACTTCCTCGTCTGCTTCCCCTTCGCCCACAACGGGTTGGGTCAGTGTTGGATGTTATACCGACACGAGCAGTCCAAGAGCGCTTGGTGGCACGTCTACTACCTCGTCTTCCGACACTCCAGCTTGGTGTCAGTCGTACTGTTCCACACAAGGTTATTCGTACGCCGGGGTTGAATATGGTATGTTTTACCTCAACCCTCTTGTTTACGTGGTTGAATTTTTTATTTTTTATTCTGTTTCGTTGAATGACAGGTCATGAATGTTACTGTGCTAATTCTATCACTTCATCGACGAACGGTGGCCAGCCGGCTTCGTCGAGTGATTGTAACATGGCGTGTGCGGGCGATGCGTCTCAGACGTGTGGTAGCTCGTATCGTATTAATATTTATCAATACCTTGGCACTCCCCCAAATTCGAATGGGAAGGTTGTTGTGGCGCAGTACGTTCATCCATCGCGGAACGTTGCATTACCTTATCATATTTTTTTGCGTCGTGTATAGCGTGATCGTCGGCATAACCTATGTAAGTTGTTCGTTATTCGTATCGGAAAATTTTCATCATTGAAGGGACTGCTTTGTAGAGCTTCAGTCAAGGCACATGGGCTTCCCATATTGCAACAGCAATCTCTGGAGGAATGTACGCCACTCACCTCTTATTTTCTCCCTCTCTGCAATATCTAACATCCTTGTCCGCTACCGATAGTGACGGGTTTGCTTTGAATGTCGGCAGCTCCAGTTGGCAGCCAGGTCAGGTGGCGTCTGCTTACGCGGCAGCCGTAGGCACCAACTTCAAGCTCTTCTTGTCCTTTGATATGACGTATGTATTACATCCTTCCTGCTTTGGCTTTTTCTTGACCTTACGATGCTTCCTCTTTCTCTCTCTTCTCTCTCTCCCAGTGCCATTTCATGTGGAGATGCCGGAAGTGCAAACTTGCTCCGTCAATATATAAATAATTACGCCAACCATCCGAATCAGTTATATTATCAGGGGAAGCAAGTCGTGAGCACGTTCGCCGGTGACTCGTGTACGTTTGGGCAAGGGGATTTGAACAATGGATGGAACTATGCTGTGAAACAGGGTGTATCGAGCTCTGTGAGTAGCAGACTCTTTCTGACCGAGTGAATCAAGACATTGATGTGGCAATTGGTTCTTCTTAGGTCATGTTCATCCCGTCGTTCTTCTCAGACCCTTCGACGTTCTCATCTAATTGGGCCCAGGATGGTGACTTCAATGTACGTGTGTTTTTTTTTTTCAAGAGTGAATTTCGTCCTTTGCTGACTCCCGAGCGAAAATTTGAAAGTGGAATGGTGGCTGGCCGATGGTAAATTGTTTTTTTTTTTCATCATTGTGCTTCGTCCCCGGACAAGCCCCTAAATGCTCTTATATGACAGGGCGACTACGATGTCAATTTCTCGTCAGACCAGTCGCACATCAATGCCATAGGCGGCAAGAAGTTTATTGCTGCCCTGACTCCTATGTTCTACACTGTGAGTGACCCCCTCCTGTGTGCCAATCTGTGCGTGACTCGAATATCGCTAATGGTACCGTAGCATTACGGCCCAAATTCTTGGAACAAAAACTGGATTTACCGAAGGTGTGATGAACGTACATTGGAGCCTTTTCCCCTATGGCTTACGATTTGTACAGTGATGATTGGCTTTATAATAACCGATGGGAGATGCTCATACAAAATCGGGCGCAGATCGACATTGTTGAGGTCGGTGTTTGGGAATGCCTGTTTCACAGTCATGATCTAACGTAGAGCATCCTTATTTTTTCCTAGATCGTTTCATGGAATGGTAAGCACCTTGTACCCATCTGGAGGGACAAGCATTGATATCAATGAGCAGACTACGGGGAATCTCATTACGTAGGTTGGTATTTGTTTTGTAGTACACGGCGTATAAATATTGATTTCCATTTCAGGGCCCTGGGACCAGATCTGGCCGGTGCAGACGCTTGGGTGACAGGCTTTGATCACCAAGGTAAGCAGCCGTTCGTGCCAACCAGTTACAATTTCAAACTCATTGCTTGCACAGGCTTCCTCGTCATGAACAAATATTACGCCGATGCGTGGAGGACTGGAACGTACGCAACTATCACGAAGAATCAGGTCTTCCTCTTTGCTAGGCCACATCCCAAGGGTGCGGTGGCGAGCAATGATCCTGTGGGCCCACCGAATAACCGAGACTGGGCAAGCCACAATGATTGTCGTCTTCTAACGTTCTCCAATGACTTACATCCTTTCGTAGACCGATGACAATCTCTACGCCGTGGTCTTCGCTGCATCCAGCGCCAACGGCGGCTCTCTCCAGCTATCCATAGGATCCTTTAGCAACACGTTCTCGGTTTCCACGGGGGTGAACAAGTTCAAATTGTCGTTGAGTCCTGGTTCGCCAAGCGCTATCCTAAAGGATAGTGGTGGGGCGACCCTTATCACTTTCTCCCCATCCAATTTTAATTACGTCAACAACCCTACAACATACAACTTTAACTACTACATGGCAGCTTCGCCATGAACTTTCCAAGGCCAGGTTCTAAATTATTGCCTGGACCACCATGCTGTTTCCATAACGTCATTCCTTACCTCTGAACACTTTTGCATTCTTGTTGTTGTTGATAATCTCGTTGTATTTGCGATTTTTTTTTTTCTCCCTCCTTTTCGCCCCGACCAAACTCGCATATTACATTACAGCATACATACTCATCACAAGCGCCTTGAACAATTACCCCTGTTGCTGGAAGTCTGTATTGGAATATAAAAAAAATATTGTGCAGTTGGAGGTCATGAATGCAGAGTACCGAAACGTCGCAAGCGCCGTTAACATATGACGAGAAAACACAAGTCTAACCGGATAGAAACCCTGAGTCTATTGGGTGTTGGGCAATGCACTGGAAAAGAAATCCCACCTTTGTCGAAGGCGCATGACACATCGCAGCTTTCGCCCTGAGCCCAGCTTTCGCCCAAAGCCATGTTATGTTAAGCTCGAGTTGTGTCAGTCGCTCCCGCGCTCTCCGGACTGCCAGTCGTCATATAGGATTGTTGCGTAGTACTAACCGAGGTAGGGGATTGTGGAATGCCTAATCCGGATGTGGAATCGGACGGCAGTCGCGTCAACAAGGAGGGAGGCGCCGCGCATTCCTCCAACAGTTTTGCCAAGTTTATCGTGTCCAATTCAGATGGTCCGGAGATTCCTCCACCACCTTGAACCCTCCCTGAACTTCCACTACTGTCAAATCCATCTCCTGGGCTATATGTTGGTGGTGGGCCGCGGAATGCAGGCGGAAACGGAGTGAACAGTTCACTTTCACAGAGTTTGTTCACAGTTGCTTGAAGATGGGCGAGTGCATGCGCTGCTTGTTCTTCTGTGAAACGAGTGTGAGGAGGCGCTCTTCAAAGGAAGAGAAGGAGAGAGGGGGGGTTCTCTTGACATACGGGGATTCTCAACAATCGACGAGTCTGGACGAGTGATCTTGCTGAAACTTCGCCCAAATAATAATACATCTTCGTTTGCTCGCTCCTCCTGCGCCGTTGGTTGTTCAAGACGTAATATTTCCTCACAGATAGCTGACATGAACTCTCCATAATTCAATCCATGTTCCTTCATTTCTTCGACCACTCTCTCCAGATCGTCAACGGCTTCCCCAATTGGAGATGCTTGCACGCGGCTGACGAAAGATAGAGCATCTACTTCATTCACACTCTCTTGGAAGCTGTGATTTACTGAATCATCTGGGAGGGAAGCCATCGGTTGTCTAGTACCTGTCCTAGTTCTGGGACGGAGTCCAGCTGAAGCAAAGTTAATGGCAAGTTTGTTGTCATCTGTTGAAATCGAGGTTGCACTTTGAGTTGACTCCGGTGAAGCCTTAATTTTTTATTCGGGCGAGTCTGTTGTGACGTTGCGTGCATGTGGTTGGCGCCTAGAAGTACTGTTGTGGCAAAGGCAACTCAGCCTACCGCATGCCATCGCCCTAGAGCACACCTCACTATTTGGTTTCCAGTAGGCTCTCTGCGGGAAATGCTTCCATCTCAAATGCGTTTCATATTTGCCTCTATCTGTCGACAAACATCAGGATACCCTCAGGATATCTGTAATCTGAGGCACTAAGACATTATCCTCTCTCTTGAGCTAGATCACTGCTGAGGATGCCTCGAGGAAGTCATTGGGGCTTTCTATTTCGACGGGTGAGGGCCTCTTTGCTTGGCACGGTTCGTACTGTACTGAATCCGATGAATACAAAGAACGGTGTGCGGCCATTCTGTGTTGGTTCTGTGACCGTTACTCACTGGCCACCCGATGTCACTGATCAGTGTAATCGAAACAAGGTTTCCCCTCCATACACTATTGGGACAGAATCTCCGCCAGTTGTCGAGAAAAATCGGTGCAAAATAAAATCGTAAATAACAACTTATCGGTCGAAAAGGCAACCGAAAGATGTGCAAACCAATTCCTTAGTTCATGTTGTTGCTGAGATAAGAGATGGACCGTGCTTTTTTTGTGAACACTCCCTGAGCTTTCGCAATACGGACTGGGCGTACGAGAATTTAGAGGGGGAGAGAAGTTCTCTGGTGGTAGAGGGGAAATGCATTCCTGCACTTGGGCTCGATCGCCGTGACTTCGGAGGGTCGGGAATGCCCATGCACTAAAAGCCCCGGTGCTATTACTTAAGCCAATCCGCCGGGAGAACTCAATTCATCTAAGAGGTTGCCGCTTCCATGGACTAGTTTCTTGGGTGGGGCCTTGTTCCTCACGTTTGGCTCACGTTTGGAAGGCTAATGTCTAGTCTGAATTTGTCGTTCAGCGCTGTTTAGAAGGTCAGGAGGCCCGGCTTCGGTGGAGACCTCGTTCCGGTGGGGGAATGACTCTTTGGTGTCGCGCGCACTTCCATATTTGCCATGCCCTTTCGAGTGACTCCGGCGAGGACTTTTCCTTTGTTTTTGAGAACTTTGGTTAAGGGGGCGATCATGACGTGGGGCTATGTTGAGGTCGTCTGGCCACGGGATGTTCCTGCGTTCACACATGGTCTTGGTTTTGTCCCAGCCGGGCGATGGTTGTGGTGGCATTGGCATTCAAACAGGATGTGGTTTCTGATTTGTTGCGGGGTGACAGATATCATACCCTCGACTCATATTCAGAGGTCCGATTTTGAGGTCAGAGAGATGGACCTTTCTGCCGACAGTCACGCGACAAAAAATCAATTGATGAACATAGCAGTTGCTGCCAACCGGATCGTTACTACATGGTAAGGGACACTGGTTGGTAATTAATGTTGGGTTAGTGGAATCCTTGTCATGTCACGGGGGATTAGTATGGCATGTATCTTCACTCTTGTCTACCTCCACTTCCTTCCCACCTTCTCTTCGGTTCTTCCTACTTGTGCTACTGCGAATGTTCGAATCCTTTCTGGGCGGTCTGTATCCCCTTGTTTGTCACCGCAAAAAATCAATATTGTACTTGAGTACTAAATCAGGAATCCAGCACAGCCACGGTCCACCTGCCGCCAAAGCGTTTCTACCAGCGACAAAGCAACGTATATTTCATTCCCGAAGACCTTTCTTGAACATCGCAACAAAAACAGGCATTCTTTAGAGAAGTATACATCGTCGGAGCGGTATCAGGGCCGGAAGTGGACACGTGATATCCTTCGTTTTGCTGATCTTAGGAGTTCTGGTACTCACTGCCCAGCAATTCACCCTAAGACCTCCATTCTCAGCGTCCCAAACAATCACGGAATTTGATAGTGTGTTCTTGCACTTTTCAGCATACAAAGCGCTTTGCGCATTCCCCGTTAATCTGTTTCCACCATTCCGAACTTCAAACGTACACACTCTGATATGACGGGTTCCGACGACCCACCAATGGCGTCACACCCGTATTTATCCCACTTGGTCTCTCTATTATCTGCGTTTGAAACCCCCGCTGGAGACAGCCCTCCTCCGGAGTACACTGGACCCTCAGATTGGCTCATTGATGCCATCGAGAAAGGAGTCCGCGACCTGGCCAATCGAGCCGCCCGAGCAGAATACACCTTAAACGTTGCTATACGAGGATCTCATGGCTTTAACCTCCAACAAGCTTCTTCTCACTCCGCTAAAAATCGTGGCTTGGATGGCGCCCCTCTGGCCAAAAAGCGTGCCGTTCTGCCTGACGAGATCGTCCTTCCTGGCAATGGTCACATCGAAGATGGTATAATTCCTGGGGCCGGTGTTCTGGACAGATTAAGCCCAATGATAACTGACGATAGGGACCCACTCGATGCTCATGTTATGGGCTCGTCCGATTCTTCTCATGGTGCGATTCTTTCTACACCTGGCCTTCCCGGAGGTCTTCTTCCTATCGGAAGTACGTGCCCAGCGTGTGGCAAGTCAATCGACCTTGAAGCTGTTCTTACTGGCGGAACTTCCAACGAGACTGGTATGAGCGCTGTGGAGGAGCTCAAACTGCTAAAGGCCCAAGTGCAGGACGTTGCACGCGTTTGTCGAGCCGTAGCCGCTGGAGATTTATCGAAGAAGATCACCGTACCTGTGCAGGGCGTTGTCATGGTTCAACTCAAAGACGTCATCAATACTATGGTCGAGCGGCTTGGTCAATTCGCACGCGAAGTTACCCGCGTCTCGCTCGAGGTCGGTACAGAGGGGAAACTCGGGGGTCAGGCCGTCGTAGCCGATGTTGAGGGTACATGGCGAGAATTGACGGCAGTCGTGAACAAGCTTGCCGAGAACCTTACCATTCAGGTGCGAAGCATCGCGGAGGTTACCATGGCGGTCGCTCGTGGAGATCTTAGTCGTGAGATCGTAGTTGAGGCCAAGGGTGAGATACTAGAGCTGAAGACGACCGTCAACAACATGGTGAGCAAGCCCCGTATTGCTGATAAGAAATTTTTTTGATTCTTTGTCGTTGTGCAGGTTGTTCAACTTCGGGAGTTCGCTGCAGAGGTCACCCGTGTGGCGCTTGAAGTCGGAACAGAAGGCAAACTTGGTGGTGTGGCGATAGTCAGGGACGTGGAAGGTGTTTGGAATGAACTTACTACTAATGTTTGTTTCTCGTTCTCATTTTGGATTGCATGCATTGACCTTTGCTTATTTTTGCAGGTCAACAAAATGTGCCAGAACCTTACCTTACAAGTACGGTCTATTGCTCAAGTTACAACCGCCGTCGCCAACGTGAGTCATCTCCGCGTTCACAATTTAATTAAGCCGTGGATTGAGGCTGGATCCATTTAAGGGGGATCTTACTCGACGAATCGAGATACCTGTCGAAGGCGAGATGGCCCGACTAAAGACAACCGTAAGCTCCAATTGGTTCGATGTGATCTCGATGGTTGGGTTGATGTCATCCATAGGTCAACTCCATGGTGGATCAGCTCAGTAACTTTGCGTCAGAAGTCACGCGTGTCGCCCTTGAAGGTATGAAGCAATGATGAATTAGATGATTAGCATCTAATCCGTTCTTTCAGTCGGTACAAAGGGTGTTCTAGGTGGGCAAGCAAGAGTGCAGGGCGTCAGAGGTACTTGGGATGACCTCACACGGAATGTGAACGTAAGTGGGTGTAACAATGTATTCACTAGCTTCTCTTCCCTTCATCATTTAGAATATGGCAGCAAATCTTACGTCGCAGGTGCGATCCATTGCTAAAGTAACAACGGCTGTAGCTGCCGGGAATCTGTCAACTTTCATCGAGGTCGATGCTCAGGGAGAGATACTACAGCTGAAAAACACTGTGAACAACATGGTGGCACAACTGTTCACACTTGCTAACGAGGTCACCCGGGTCAGTCTTGAGGTCGGTACGAAAGGTATACTTGGCGGACAGGCGAAGGTCACAAATGTCGAGGGGATGTGGAAAGTTCTGACAGACAATGTCAGTACTCAAATCCTGTGTCCGAAGATGGATATTTTCATAGATGATCTGATCTATTTGCCTTAGGTTAATTTAATGGTGAGGACTTTTCGCCCATGAAACCCCGCCAGTGCCAATCACCTTCTACACAGGCTCAAAATCTCACGTTACAAGTGCGGGAAATCGCTTCGGTGACGACGGCTGTCGCTCGCGGCGATCTCACCAAGCGCATAACTGTCGATGTCGATGGCGAGATACTTCAACTGAAGAACACCGTCAATGACATGACGTCCAGTCTGAGCATCTTTGCTGCAGAAGTCACTCGGTGAGTAGTGGTGTAGTATAGTTAGTGCAGCGTGAATTTCATGCTGGCACTGCAGGGTTGCTCGTGAAGTCGGCACTGAAGGGAAACTCGGTGCGCAAGCTAATGTTAAGGGGGTCGCGGGCATTTGGAAGGATTTGACCGACAATGTGAACACCATGGCAAATAATGTCCGTAATTTTTTCGTCGATTTGGGTTATGTCTCCGAACACGTTCCCCTTCCAACTCAAAGCTTACCGTCCAAGTGCGCACGATATACCATACGACCGTAAGTTCATCCGCTTGCATCTTGGCATATCCCTCCGTAAAACTGCTTGCCTATATAGAGTGCAGTTGCTCGCGGTGACCTGAGCCAGAAAATTGTGAATGTCCAAGCCTCTGGAGAGATCCAACAGCTCGTGGTCACGATTAACAAAATGATCGACGATCTTGCTACGTTCGCTGAAGGCGTCACCAGAGTCGCGAAGGAAGTCGGTACTGACGGGAAGCTTGGGGGACAAGCCGAAATAAGTGATCTTCAGGGGACTTGGCGAGACATCACGTACGTCCGCTATACACGGCTCGCGGGACTTGACCTGTTAACAACCTAAATTGTTTCATAGCTCTGCTGTGAACGTGATGGCCGCCAACTTGACGTCACAAGTGCGAGGCTTTGCTCAAATTTCAGCGGCTGCCACCGATGGAGACTTCACGCAATTTATCACTGTGGAAGCAAGCGGCGAGATGGATTCACTCAAGACTCAAATAAATCAGATGGTCTACAATTTGAGGGAGAGTATTCAGAAGAATACTCAGGCTCGTGAAGCTGCCGAACTTGCTAATCGCAGTAAATCGGAGTTTCTCGCAAACATGTCTCATGAAATTAGGTGCGTAATGAATGTGTCAAGGCTTGACTCGCTTCGTTCAGGTCATATCTTCAGAACTCCAATGAACGGTATTATTGGAATGACGGACCTGACCCTGGAGACGGAATTGACGCCAGCGCAACGGGAAAATCTTCTTTTAGTGAACAGTTTGGCCCGTTCACTATTGCTCATCATTGACGACATCCTCGATATTTCGAAAAGTTAGTCTCATTTGGTGAGAGTACCCTGAAGGATGCTGATGCGTTTTACACAGTCGAGGCTGGTCGTATGACCATGGAACAGGTCGCTTTCTCACTAAGAACTACCATCTACGGAATGCTCAAAAGTCTGGTTGTTCGTGCATCTCAGAACAACATTGATTTACTCTATGACGTGGATCCTAGAATCCCAGATCAACTGGTCGGAGATGCTCTGAGGCTTCGTCAAGTCATTACCAACTTAGTCGGAAATGCGCTGAAATTCACGCCTGCCAAAGTTGATCTACGCGGCACGGTCGCTATTACTGTTAAACTTCAGAAGCTTGAAGATGGCAATGCAACGATCGAGTTTTGCGTTTCTGACACAGGTATTGGTATCCCGCATGACAAACTCGAATATATTTTCGACACGTTTGCTCAGGCTGATGGCTCAACTACTCGAGTCAGTAACTCAAGTTTGTATCGTGGCGTGTCACTCATAGTATCGTAGGAATACGGTGGAACAGGCCTCGGTCTATCGATTTCGAAGCGTCTTGTCTCTCTCATGCAGGGTGTCATTTGGGTTCACAGTCGTGTCAATGAGGGCAGTCAGTTTATGTTCACCATTACATCAAGAGTAAATGACGATGGAGAGTCACCTGCGATGAGGGAAAGGATCCAGCCATTCCGTGGGCGTACGATTCTGTTTGTGAACGTTGAACGAAGCGATCCGAATGTAGCACAGCGTATCCAAGAAATCGGTCTCCAGCCGAGAGTCGTCCACAACCTTGTCGGGATCACAAAGAAAAATTCGATGACGTTCTTCGACGCTATTATCATTGATTCATTGGAAGTGGTATGTGCCGTGGCTCCCTTGAATTTTATGTGGCGCTCACTTTGTCTGGTGTAGACTGATAGATTGCGAGATATTGATCATCTCCGATATGTCCCAGTTATATTAATGCCTCCAGTATGTGCCCACCCTGACGCCATGATAAAGTCTGATGTAGACTGGAATCTCCACAGGATAGGATGCCCGGACCGCTAAATCGTGGGTTGAGATATCCCCGATGTGCTTTCGTCCGCTGAAATAAGTTTGTAGTTAAATGGTGCTTGAACAACAGCATCAGCGCTGCCATCACATCGCCCATTTCGAGACATGATCTTGCAACAGTGCTTCTCGCTGCGTTAGAAGCCAATATCTCGCACCCAGATCTGCCTTCACATGACAGGACTTATCGAGTCCTCCTGGCTGAGGACAACGTGGTGAACCAGAAGGTCGCTATACGTATGCTGGAAAAATATGGCCACACGGTGCACGTTGTCGAGAACGGTAATCAAGCGGTGGAATCGGTCAAGGCAAACTGCGCAAGCACCCAGCGATTCGACGTCATTTTGGTGCGTGCCAGGCTCTCTTTTAGGGGTCGCATGAATTCTTCGACGTGCTGACTGTGAGATGATGTATTCAAAGATGGATGTCTCTATGCCCTTGATGGGTGGCATGGAAGCGACCGAAATGATTCGCAAATGGGAAATGACGACGGGAGCCAGGAGGACGCCTATTATCGCTCTTACTGCGCATGCTAGTATGTATAAACTTGTGGTCACTCGGAAGAAGCAGCCGTTAACTACTTCACTTCAGTGATCGGTGATCGCGAACGCTGCCTCAAAGCGGGCATGGATGATCATATTACTAGTGGGTGCCCAAAATCCCTTAGCCGACCGATGCTGATGCCTGTTCACTTCGCAGAGCCTTTACGGCGCGCAGATTTGATAAACGCGATTGCGCGACTCGTCAATGCAAACTTTGGCTAATCGATTACAATGACTTTGTGGGGATCGCAGGCGAACTCAGCACGCTTTCAAATTTCTTCATTGTTACTTTGTGTGTGATGTATCTCTATCATCTGGGTCGGTCTAGCTTTCTCGCCTTGCCTAAATGACTCTTAGCTATATGCGTGATTCTTTTTATATAATTTCTTGGTATCTCTGTGTCAATCATATCCTGTCATCCTCGCCCATACTGCCTGTACAATACATGCCATATACCCTGATACTCCCGAGGCTGGATGCGTGTGCTGCGTGACAAGGGAATGGATAAATTCAGCAGGGCGCTCGCTTCGCTCGTTGGACTCTGCAGCAGTGTTTTCCGAAGTCTCGGCAGTCCTGAGGACGTCTTGTCCAGGCGGATTCACTTCGAGTCGAGCGTGTGCCAATATTTATGTTGCAGTAATGTCGCAATAATATACTGTACAGTAGATCATCTCCAGATGGGAACGCCTGCGGAATGTTGCTCTATGGTACTAATCAATCTCAGCTAGGACAATCTACAGTTCGTCGTCAGTCAGCTCATCTTCGGCTTCAATGCCTTGATGACGATCCATCCCAGGTCTTCGAGCCCAGCTCCATCCATCGGTATAAGGCATGCACCGCGCTGGCACTATCAGCGTCCAGGCGGAACTGAGCAATGAGTCAACAAGGCGGTCAACTCGAGTTAAAATATGCAACGTACTATCCTTGCGGTCCTATATTGAAGAACATCAGAAAATTTCTTGTGAGACCGAGGTCGAAAGAATTGATGAATTCCTAAAATATCTGTCAGCTAGGTGTCACAAGGTCGGGGAGGCTGAAAGAGGCCCTTACATTCCCTCTCTTCTTAGCGATTCCAGTATAGCGGGCATTATCGTGATTTTCCACGGCTGTTTCGCTTCAACGCTGTTAACCAGGGACTCAGGATGAAACTCGAGATAAAATACCCTCTATAGACAAGGCGTAGCTGCCAGAAGAGCATGACACCTACGGCGAAACCCAGCGCGACAGCTAAAATGTACACCAGCATGAAGCACATTCTCGGTGTCAGGTGCATCCACTAAATCAAAATGAATCCTACTGATGCAGGGATTCTGAGCAGGACCTACAGTGTCAAGTTCCATGGCGGTTATGACGAGTGGCCAGCCAAGGGTCACAAAGAACGAACAGCAAATGACAAGGTACGCCCTATGTTGGATTAGTGGCTACATCGGAGAGTAGCACATTATCTTACATGAAGAGAATGAAATGACGTTCATTCCCAAGACCTACCTATACATCATCCACATCAGTCTGATTGACGAAGTATAAGGCGGAAATCAGTACACATTGATTGATCCCTGTAAACCAGCGTGTTAACTCTTTCATTGTAACCCGCAATTAATAGCCTATTGCGTACACTGAGGAGAGAATCAGTAGTGCCCAAATTCCCCGAGAATAATACGTACAGGGCAATGATGATCGTATTTTAATATGCAAGATTTACATATCCTGCAATGATGCGCCCTCTGAAATAGTTCAGAGTTGCAATAAAGAAGACTTGTTGCAACGCAAGTTACCTCTGGTCTAATCTTTGGGCACCTTCTGCACTGTATTGTGGGCGCCGGTGTCATAGTTTCCCATAGATGCACAGGGATGCAAGGGTCAGACCGTCGCAGTCTGCTTGCCCACGACGAGGAATCGGAACTCTGTATCCTGGAATATCTGTGGTCTTCTAATAACCCTGGGGATACTGTACATGCCCAGTAGTAGTGTAGCACTAGGTTCATCGCTAATAGTAAACAGCAGGGCACGGAGAGCAAAGGAGCAGATAGTGTCGGAGCGATGAGTTCGACTGTGAACAGAACATTTTGAGAATGGATAAAAAGGGACGGGAGAGCCAGCTCACAGAAGGAGAAAATGCCCATGGAAAGTAATACTGTAGCGAAGAATACGAACACTGGGCCTACGGCCCCCGTGACAGCGTCCCCGACTCTCTCCATCCACTTGAAACATTTGAATACACCCCGTGAGCACTTTTGAAGCATCGTGTGAATGATGTGTTTTCAGAGCTTCAACCTAGTCCACTTCAGAGGAATGCGAAAGACTAAACGTAGCAGTGCTAGTAGCACTGCCATCTTCAACTCATGCTTACGTTAGCAACAAACTGGCATGGATTCCGAAGCTACGCCTGCCCACCCGGCATTTCTCCAGATGGCATTCACCAAATCATATACAGATTAGAACAAATCCTCGGCGATGAACTCGTAAGTGTCATCGCGTTGGGGGCCCACAATCCTAGCTTTCCATGGTAAATTGCAGGTAGCAAACGACCTGGACTCCCTCGTTTCCGTGCTGCTTGCGGCGCTTGTCGGTGGTTACGGGGATGATATCTCCATTTCTACGCTTGCTTGCTTGTGTACGCGTTCAACGGCCCATGCAAGCTGAAGCTCACCAAGCAATTAGCCAGACCAAGTCTTCTTAGCAGAATTCTTCTTTCCAGACGCTCATTACGCTCTCGAAATAGAAATTTTCTTCGATTGGGGTCGGACAATGACGATGGTGTTACCTGCATCGATGCCTTGCTCGTGAAAATGGAGGATTGCACTTTGGCTCGGATAGAGATGAATTCCGCCACTGAAATAAGGCCACCGTCTCTTGGTCAGTCCTCCTTTAGATCTGTGGTGCACCAGCAAAGACTGCGCGCCGCTGCAAGCTTACCCAGTGAGGCCCTCTGTTTGAGGGATCTCGTGTGTGCTCACATTTGCTTAGCTGATTGGTCGAAGCTTCCAAATGTCTTGGTGTCTCAGTCTGCTTCGCCAATGGCGAAAAGGCTGTGTCTTAGCATATTATTCGCCTCATACATTATACGGCCAGACTTGTCGAGTAGTAGTCACATTGATGACTCTGCCCAAGATGGGATGAAGTGCGCGCTTCATGGAATTATAGGAACCATACGTTAACTCTGCTGAACAGCTTTTCTTCACTGAATGAGGGATTGTCCCTCTTCTTTGCCTCTCAGATAGAAACGGAGAGAGCGTTGATAAATACGGGAGAGGACATTGAACTAATGCCCCTGCAATATGCTACGCAACCTGATAAGATCGCGTATGCGATGGCTCTTAACCTCTTCGCAGTGAGTCCGCTATGTCATGCACCTGCATTCTTTCATGCCCACTCTCTTGCAGCTATCAGACACGCGAGAAACTAATAGCACGGACACACAACCCCACTTCCGACCTTACACCGGATCCAACCTCACTGTCATTGTAATGACAGTACTGTTATCAACAGACGATGGCCAAATTAGCGCGAATGATAACAGGCATCGCTCACCATGTTACTTAGATTCGGGACAGAACGCCTTGTTAATGCATGGTCCCTTCGTTCCATGGGCTTGGACAATGTGGAAAAGTGACAACCATGGCATAAACTCGATGACTGTTCGTGCTCCTGCTGGACTACGAGGTCTAAACCGTTTAATTTGCATCCTAGACGCAGCTGTGGCTCTGTGGACTATTGACTTCTGGAAGCGGCTGGGCGCAGCTGATGAAAATTGTCACGTCAGAGCCCCTTTCATGTTCAACTGTCATGGTGGTGAGCCATTTAATTTTTCGTTACACTTCTTAAGCTCATAATTGTGCGGAAGCGAACATTGGAGCTTTGTGCTGGCCACTCATCCCCTGGGGCCAATAACGGAGAATCCGCATCGCCGAACAGTTCCATTATCTCCGGAGGGATTGAACAACTGACTCTTCTGGCATCTTCCAAATTGATGAAGATCTCAACTGAGAATAAGCATGCCGTCCATGGCGATTTTAGGGCTTCGATTCTCCCGCTGGCCTTTCAATTGCTAGCGAATGAAGTGGGTCGCGATAAAGGAAACTTGATTAGTAAGTGCTATCATCTGGACTACTTGTAAATCTTACGGTCGCGACAGCGCAAAGCGAGATTGTCAACCTTTTTTGCTTGGCAGATCCGGTAAATATAAGGTCTTCCATCAGCATCACTGATCATCTGAAATGTAAGGATGCAGCTCTAATGCACGTTCCAAGTGTTCTCTAATCCTGCGCCACATCTGATGGACAGTACACGACTGGCTGGAGATTTGTGTTCGCAGGATCCCAGATGCCGATTTCACAAAGTCATCCGGCCTCAGAGCTAGCAACGTCGGTGATCATCAATCCATTTTTCTGCACACAATCATTAACATCTTGTCAAGCTTGACGACCTCCATCTGGTCAAGGTTGTGATTGAAATCTTGACCATTCTACTAGCCGTGTCAAATGTTTCTATGAACGTTTCTGACGCTCAAAGCAGGTTGATCTCTCTGAGCAGCTTGCTCAAGAAGCTGGCGGATCTTCAACGCCAACATCCTCCGTCCTCCGTCAGTTCGAGTGACGACATGCATAGGGCTATTCGGTCTGTTGTAGCGTCGATTTTCCTCTACAAAGCGGAGCTTTGTGCTTTCTACGGCCGCCATTTCCGCGTCGCGCCTTCTTCTCACTTCGATGTGTTAGCCGAGTTCGACTACATTCAAGAACAAGGCACCAAAGATATGGTAATTATCGGTGAGCTCAGGTCTGCCATCGTTCGTATGCGATACAACGTATACATGTGTACAGCAAACGTTGTCCGACTCTTATCAGCTCATGTTTCTTTGGCATCTTTGGCCCCTCTGGGAAGCTTTAGTCAACTCCTCAGTCAACCCGCTTTGTGCATCGGACTATGGAGATTTCTGAGAAGCACTGCATGTCTTCTATCGTCTTGTGTGCGCCGCCCGCACCGGACAGGGGATTTCAACATTCATAGCAAAGTTTTTGCTGATATATGCTGGTTTTGTGCCAAGCTCATTCCTTCTCTTGGGCCACGCTTGCGTCAGTATCGCTAGCATAAGCGAGTTAAGGGTCAATCTCATGGTCAATGTTCAGAGCTCGCTGTCCTCGACTCTCCGCTCAATCTTCACTTGGACGAGGCACTTAGCAGTGTCACCACTGACTTTATAAGCGATGGAAATCTAACTCGCGCGGCTACGCACCTCATAGACGTGGTGTGTAACGCTTCTAGTGCTTCCCTCTGAAAATGGATAGACGAGTTGTTTTAATAGATCAAAAAGGCCCGGCGATCAGGGTTCAAAGATACGAGCTCAATGCGTCGTGCTGACGGCAGTGTAGGTGTATGCCTGTCTGCACTGCATTCTGGCAACAATTAGTGCATTTCTTGTTCTGCAGATCGATATCGTGTTAAGGTATCTTCCAGAAAGATCCGATTTTATTTGGAGAGGTCTAGTAGCGCACAATGGGTCTGTCTCTTCTGATCACGACGGACCACATTGAGGCAAACTTTGGGCGTAGATGTTATGCGGGTTGGGCTGATGTTTGTCCCACGGAATACGGGAGCTGGTTTAGATTATGGAACATAAGGCATTGAATACCAGTGTCTCAGCGCATCTTAGGGAGAGTTTTCGCGCCGGCAACTAGCAACCTCGCGATTGAGGCTAAATATCTGCGATGTAATCATGACGCAATAGTAGCCCTTTGCTAGATAAAACTCATATGCACCCCCCCCCCACTCGTAATCAACAACAAGATTCCGCAGCAAGGAGCGCGCCACCGGTTATCTCATTCAAATCCATGCACGGGCATCAAGATAAACGATTCATATGGCAACGAGGTAGATAATGGAGTAATGACAGGGAGACTGGTCGCTCGTGCTGCGCTGGGGTTATGACTTCTCCAGTATGGCCACTGACACGGGGCTGCGATATAGCTGCAGGCACCTTCCCATATGCACTGGCGCCGCATCTTCGGTGAACCGGAACATGGGAACAGTTATTGAGTGAAAGAGAAAGACAAAAACTTTTGGAGGACCAAACCACTTAGCCGCGATTATAGCTTTCATTCTGTCTCGGAAAATCGAGTCCTCCCACTCAAAGATAAGAGCGCTTTCATGAAGCACTCGATCATTGTACAGGCCAGGCCCAATGAAACCTTCAACCTGTGTTTCGGTTCATAATGGTATCATACTTACGGAAGCCGCGCAGCTGTCAACCGTGCAGCTACAGTGAGGGACTTAGCATTTACGTTCCCAAGGCACCCCCGGGATCGCAGAAATGGGGCATAACCGGAACCCGAAGATGGAATGGGCGGAGAACGCAGGGCTAAAAACTGAAGCAGAGCATTAGAGGCCGAGGGAGAACGATGTATTTTAGGTCGAGCTGCATGAGGGCGACTCAATGTTGAGGACAGATTGCATGCGTCAGTTCGCGCATTAGAAAGTTGATATAAATGACGGGTGCGGAAAAGCAAATTAACGTAGCATAAACGTCACATCCCTGTTTCCGAGTGGGCATACGTCAAGTACAGCCTGGCATTTGGTATAGAGATCCTTTAACCGGCCAACGGGTCACGAAGCAGTATGTGATGGATTACGTCCCTCCCACGACTGGCCAGATGGCTCCAAGAGCCTTCCAACAGGAATTATTCCTGATTCCAATGGGCTCGCCAAGAAGAAAGTCCTCCCGTACCAGAATAATCAGTACATAGGCGAAGACGTGGAGGCAATATGCCGCAGATCGAAGTTCAACAACAAATGTCACGAGCGACAAGCACAGGAGGCTAAATGCAGGTACAGGTACAGTGTTGGATGGCGGCAATTATTTCCATATCCTTCGATTGGCAGTCGCTCGAGCCCTGGATGAGGGTTCGATACGATGCATCCGGAGAATTGCGAACAGTTATAGTGAACGCACGCCACGGGGAAGTGACACCCGTCATAACCCAGGCCACCCCCTCGTCTTGGCTTATGACTGTGCAATGTCGTTCCCTCCTTCAAGGTGAGAGTTGTTTCAATTCAATTTCTGAATTTGGATCACGTGCGCCTGGCCCAACTGGGTTTGTTCAACGTCGAGACCCGCCAAACTGTAAGAAACTGCTCCGTATTCTATCCCAATCCACCCAGAAACGTTGTCTATGTTCTCCTGCGGTTCTGGTTGTGCTATTCCATCTGTTCTGGAACAATTTGAACCGTTGTTTGGGCTGGATTAACTTTCGCATGTTTGGATGCACCTCAGATTGACACGCATTTTATATTCGCAGGATACGAGATGGCCATCAAGATCGTCAAGAAGCGTACAAAGCCCTTCAAGTGTGTTCTATGGACCTTCCACTGGTTAGGTTATTTTGACATGTCGAACGTTTCAGGCGCCATCATTCCGACCGTTATGATCGGGTAAAGACGAACTGGCGTAAACCGAAAGGTATCGATAACAGGGTGCGCCGACGCTTCAAGGGTCAGGTCGTAATGCCCAATGTTTGTAGTTCCCTTGCATCTAACTGCGAAAATTGTATTGAATTGCGCTCTGTCCTGGATTTTAGATTGGTTATGGGAGCGACAAGAGGACTCGTCACCTCCTACCCAATGGACTGAAGAAATTCTTGGTGCACAATGCCAGAGATCTTGACATACTATTATTGCATAACAAGACTTACGCTGCTGAGGTTGCTCATGGTGTGTCGGCGCGAAACCGGATACCGATCGTCAACCGGTATGTCAACAATGTAGTTTGAAACATTTTTTGCGTTATTCACATTTGGTTGCTCCCATAGCGCAAAAGAACTCGGGATCAAAGTGACAAACGCGTCTGCCAAGTTACGTTCCGAGGAATAAATTCTGTGCCATGACTCGGTCGATCTTTCCATCCTTATTTTACCCGTACACTCTGACCATATGCATCGAAAAGGCAGCTTTCATGTGTGTATTAGTTCATCATCCATATGATCATTATGCGTGAAGCCGAGCGTTAAGGTTCCGAGCTACAGGCAGAAATGAGTTTGATTTTCATGAATGCCAATATGGATCCTCGTCATGTCTCAGGGGTATCTACTTGCGCACTACCAGAATCGCGCTTGTCGAGCACAACTACTTTGCTCCTTGACCTCTGCTCTTCCTCCGCTTGCCCTGGTTTCAGTTCCACTCCTCGCAGGAAATCATTTGCTACTAAAAACCGTATTGCTTGGGAAACATTCGAAATGGTGATCTGCACATCATGGTTCAAAAGTGAGCGCAGCAGTGGTGGGCGTGAGGGTCTTGTAAGAGCAAAGGGGTTAGAGCGAGGTTTTGGAGGTTGAATGACTCTTCGTTTCTTGGTGTTTTTGTTCGGTTGTGAATATGTCACTGGTGTGACCGGTGGATTATGTTCAGGCTGGAGTGAAATAGAAATATCAGTAACTGGAGGGCTCGAGATGAATGGTGTTACCCGATGATCAGAATGTTTCGGGTTCTCGTCGAATCCTATCGCCTCTTCCACCATCATAGCCGCCTCAGATAAATGAGAAATCTTCACCGGCTCAATGGCCTCTGCGTCCAGTGGCGGTCGTGACGAGACAGCGTCAAGAATCGGGTCCATGTCCGAATTCGAATCTTCATTATCCACCTGGTTTGCAAATTGCTCTCTTGCGGGTTTAATAGATAAACTAGATTGGACTCGTTGTCCTCTGGTTCCCCACCCATTGTCGACAGGATCCTTGAATCTCGACACCGAAGGTTCAGCCTCTTCACTATCAAGATCCCTCTGGTGTGGCGTCACCCTACTGCCGAAATGGACCCGACCCCTACCGCGACCACGGGCACGACCAGGCACTCGCGCTCGCCCGCGACCAGACTCACTTCGGGGATGATTGGAGCCGTGAACAGTGCCCGAGTTGGAGAACGATGTGCGAACGGAGCCGAGTTCCTTTCCCATGAAAAGCTCTCCTCGAGCCTTGGCGTCCTTCGCCATCTGTGCCTGAAGTGATGCTGAGAAGATGCGTATCGGAAGTCGGTTTCTAAATCATAAGCCGAACCTTTTCCGCAATTCGTTGTGTACTTGGCCATCGTTTTTTCCGCTCTGCGACCCAATTCTCAATGGCCTCCGGGGTGTCCAGTTTCATACGGTAGATCTGGACGAACTTACAACTAGCCCAACGGATTAGCCTACGATTGCGAAGCAGTAAAGCACGAACCTGGCAGCATCCCCATCTGGTCCTTCCTCCTCTCTCTTCCGCTTTTTTTCGTCCCACCCTGGAGGGTATATAAAATGTCTATCCATCATGTGGTTCACAACGTCTTTCTTCGAGTGAGACGAGTAAGAGCATCCAGCTCTGCTGCATCGATGAGGCCCTGCCCGTGCTCCATGCGCCTTCAGAGGGGGCTGAAAGTAAGCAAAAGCGGGCGCAGGCGCCTGGGATCGGATTTGGCCAGACGAGCAAGCATTAACGATGCCAGCGTTGGATGCTGAGTGCAGAGACACTTGAGATTGCGATTGATTTGAAGCGTAGGGATTAAAAGGATTAGAATAGCCAGTCACGTAAGGAGTATTCGCAGCAGTGAAGGATTCCTGGTAGGTGATGGGATAGACGTTCTGGTGGCTTGCATGAGGATAGTAACCCGACCCAGGCCGTCCTGTTGCGCCTCTCGGGGGTCCCTGATTATACATGGGGAGATTTGTCTCCTACAGAAATGTGGCTGCCCCGGTCAGAAAGTCAGAAATTCCCACGCCCGCCCAGACTGAAAGAAGCGGGCTTGCCCAGCAGCGAAGCTCAACGGACAAACTGTTTGACGTCGAGGCATCGACCTACTGTTGTAAACGGTGTATCCGCTATATTCGTTCTGGTGACTCGCATTTCCAACCTACGCTGTTGCTAACGCTGTTGAGTGTGTGGCGTGGTGTTGCCATTCTTGGTATCTTTGTGCACCGTTCAGAGCGCTTCCCTTATAAAGTGAAATTCGTCTTTCCTCAGAGGTGAGATAGCCTTCACTCACTTTCCGTCTAATGTCTTGTTGTTGACTCGTGGCGCTTTACGCTAGATCTTTAATATAAACTCCTCGATGATCGCACCAGACTCCTACCCACTCGTCGTCACTCATGGACGCGTATACAACAACGTAATTTGCTCCTGAATTGCGAGCCTGAGGACTCCACTCTATGGCTTCGTAATATTAGATATTTACTCCGCGTGTATGCGGGAGCGGCAACGATTGGGCACGAGTCTGTGGTCGCACTTGCGGTGAGCCATTTCACAAGATACTACCATGAACCCCAGTGTGCATGCAGCTTACGTGATAATTGGGAACTTTTCTCTGATTCGCCTGCTTTCTCCTCTGTGTCAGTCACTCTCTTAGCAGGAAGCGCCTGAATCTAAGATCTAGTGTCGCTTGTATCGGAAGATCGAAAGCTCAGGGCGAAATAACCCCAGGGGCCGTGATTCCACACCTGCGTATTCTATACGAGTGTCACCAGCCCCTAGTACTTAGCTCCTTCGTCCCCCTCCGCAGCGCAACCTTATGGCACTGCTACAATCCACCACCCCTGTATCCAATCATAACCCACGCAGACGGCATGACATTTCCGCGCAGTCGTTTATTCCTGAGGCGCCAATGTAAACCTCAAATCCTCACTGCAGGCCCTAATTACAGATGAATGCGTGGATTCTCCTAGATGATCTAGTGACCCCGACCCGATCGGTGATAGATGCTGTCTCATTGTGCAGCGGTCCCATGAGTTTATTGGACGACGCCACCCCTGCGACGCCTAGTGGATACAGTAATGAGCTGGGATTTGGCTACCGGCTCGGGGAAGAAACGCCATCCCTTTAAATCTTAACACTGGTTGTCTTGATGGGTTTGGACGGAATCCGCCATATATTTAGAGAATGGATATTCCGTCTTGGAGCAATAAGAAGAACTGGATGTTGGGGCTCATGCATCTTATGTTCATAGCATTGCATTTTATAATTATATAACACCCTGCTTACTCCGTTGTGTCAGACATGATGGCACTGATTCACGGAAAGACGAATGAAATATGTAGTCAGGATCTAACAGAAAGTGAGAGGATTAGGTGAAGGAAATTATGGACACATGCTTTCCCTGTCATTTCTGCTGTTGGAAACACTGGAAAGGGCTGCAGTGGATCTTTTGGAGTGAATAAGGTGCAAGCCCTGGCTCAGATCTGGTCGCGTGACATACCTCTCTGGCCGCCATGGCGAAAACTGATCTTCAGACAAACGGTTCTAGTTTTCGTGAATCCGTATATGCCACAGACCGTACTCCAAACCGCCATGCCTCTCTGAGGACACTCAATTCCTCAGTTCGTTCATGGTTGGGAAGGCTCCTGGATACACCACTGCCCGATTCTGCCCTCGAGGCTGAGGTTAAGAACGTTGACCCGAACAACGGTAGCTGCTTCCTCACCATGCAGCGGTTTCATGTCCGTGGCGGGATTGCATTTTGCAGACTGCTGGGATCCTGCGCAGATACTACAGTCAGTACGATTCGGCGGCGTGAGCATTTCGCTTCGACTTTCCATTCACAGTACCCCACCAGCTAACCCGGCTCGAATGTGCATGGGGGATGGAGTTTGGTAGTCTGAAAATACATTTATCATGGGCTTGTCTACCGCGTAAATCTCACTCACAAGCCTGTTTACAACTGACTGACGGCTCTTACCTAACAGTGCGTCTCGATTGGGAAACTATGTTTGAAGAAGGTGAATGGGGAATGCTCCCCGAAACTTGCATCCTTGAAGAGATCCATGTCGCCTCTTTGTTGTTGCGGGACTCTGGAAACTCTCAGGCTCTCAGGAATGTATGTCGATCCATAACCCGAGCCATCCGCACATCGAACTAATTGCCATTCAGATTCTAGCATCAACCACGTCATTCCGCTACCGCATCCTCCCTTTCAAAAGTATGAAGTCACTCTACATACACCGGTTTGAACGCGATGGCGACAATACTTCATATGTGAGCAACGATCAAGCACCATCTCTATCCGTCCACATGTACCCCTATACTTCACTTGGAGCTTTAGAATCCCATCTACAGCCTCAGGTTGCGGTTTTCGACCTTGCCCGTAAACTAGAGGCACACGAATCTTGCGACCCAGGACTCTACGAGAATGACTTGAAGTTGGTGAACGCAATTTACGATATATGGATGTCTGCGCGAATCCCGCCCGGAACTCCCTCCGAGAGAAGTCTAGGAGGATGTACAACAACGTCGAGATCTACTTGTCACTTCTCATGGAGAGTGCCCCTTTGGTGTGGCGAATTCAAGAGAGGACCGAGTCCTCCACTCCAGCGCCCTTCTGAGAGACTTACAACTTCTGCCCTCATGCGGCTCACGGAGGCTCACAAAATTCAAGTTGCGGATGATATGCACGAAGAGGCTGCACCGAGGGAAGTGACGTTCGCCCCGAAGACTCTTCACTTCAGCCATTGGTTAGGGCTGCACAAATGGTTGGAGAACGTCAATAGTGCCGATCGTCTGGTAGACGTTAAAGACTGCCTTCCTCACTGGGATAACCGCCGGGGCAAGCGTCGCAACAAGCCCCACCATCAATCACAGAACTCGATCTGCACAATATTTACGTGCCGTGCAATTCGGTGGCCAAACGTTGGAAACTGGAGTGGGACCCTGAAGTGGGTGTGTTCCGCCCCCCCGCACGCTGGGTACCGAGGCGTGAACGCAATACTAGGTCTCCCTTTCGGCCATGGTGCCTCTGATCTTGTCGTTGTTCTTGGCGATAGCAATCCAGGCTGCTGTTGCCGTGATATGTCCTCATGGATAGCCAGGCTCTACAATTTCACAGTTCAGCACATTAGGACGGGTCACGATGATCCCACAAGCAAATATCACCGTCCAGTACCGCTTGGGCCTGCCAAGCTATTTTTCCATGAAAGATGCGTATTAGCAGGACTTACATTGTGAAAGCAAATAGTTAAATGTGAACTCGACTCATGTTCGGATGCAGCTCTCGAATACTGACGGCACAGGTGAACTGTGGCTATAGCTTCGTCACATCCTGAGCATTGACGGTTTGGCCTCTTGGAAATTCTGGGCCGATGACATTGCCTGTTTATAGTTGTCGTTACACTGCCATATCTATGTACAGTATCCCTGATTGATTTACGAAATTGTGCCGTTAACTGAGCACAAGTTGACCAGCTCTGTCGACTCGACCACTGGCTCTGTTCCTGATACCGAACAGTTATACGCTGAACAAATCTGCTTTGGCGCCCCTTGTGACACTATCTTGACAGCTCTATTGCTGCTGTTGTATCACAAATGATTCTGGGCCCTGACTCTCTGTAAGTGTCCGTGGTGTGCACAGCGATGCCTTCACCTCCGCCATTATCGCTTACCGCGGCTCCTACATGATTTTCGATCTGTTAGGGACTATATAGAGCCCCAGTTGGGCGAAACGAACGCTGTGAATTATGCATCATGTACGCGAATTGCGCACAGGTTCAGCTTGTGTTCATCCAAACACCTTCCAACGTAATCCAACTAGTTTTCTGTATTCTGAAAGCCTGGCCTACAGTATATCTGGCTGTCCTTGCACTTGATGTCACGGAGCGCTGACTAACAGACCACCACAAATTCAGTTACGCTGAGCGAGCTAGAAGTGATTCGGCAACTCTGAGCATGATTTATGAGCAAGCTTTCGTATGTCACAGCATCTAATGAGGCCAACTTTTATTAGTACATAAGGATTGCGGGATCCAAAGAAGTATCGAACCAAAGGACGCAACCCCCCTCTCTTTTAATCACTACAAAAACATCTTCGTTGCTCCACTCCAGGAGGGAAGTGGTGGAGTCAACGCGGGGACGGCGTGAGATCGGCCGGTAAGGTGATTCCTCACTTGCTTAATTCCTCCAGTTGTTCGCACCAGACTCATGTCCTAGATCTGGAACGCCATACCTATCTCCGCCTCGTATCTATTGTAAAATACCTCCAAACGACGATTCGTCCTCTGTTCGTGGATTTTCATCCCAAGTTATAAACGAGGGAATGCGTGGGAGTGAGGCGTTCCGAACGGATATTTAAGCGAAACCAGGCGATGTGTCCGCAGCTTTCAATGCAGAAATTGTTTCGAATCTCATGCGCCTGTGGATAGTGAGCAGCATCATGGTATTAGAAGGCATCAATGTGTATAAGAAGTGGCGTTTCCCTCTGTACAGCTTTATACGAAGAGATCCATAAGAATTGCTCTAGGAACTGGGAATAATGTGCTGAAGTGATTGGCTTTAGATTTTTGGAAAGGGTGTTGTCAAGAACATTGTGGTGATCCCGACCAAGGGTATGGCGAATCAGCGGGGTGCGCAGTTGGAGGCTACAAGCGCGGAATAAGATTTTTGTGAGTATCGAGGAAGAGATGCCCATGCCGAACAGTTCCTCCAGTTTGGGAGCCTGTGGTACTTGCTGGCATCAGAACTGGTGTGATGGGACACAAGGAGAATTACTGTAGCGAAAGGTGTCGCGCGGGGGATGATGTGACACATCCCGATGGCATGGGTGCTGATCAAACAACGTCCCACCGTAGTTTATCGCCTTCCGGCGTTACGTGAGCTCATTGGTTTGACATGCTCATTTGGGGATTTTGAGAGCTGGAGACAGGTCGACGAGGGGGGGCATGCTCGATTGGGGAGACAAATGACAAGATTCAACAGATGGAGGTCGACACGGGCAAGTATTAGTTAATTTGACAAATCCGCATTAGGGCTGTCCCTTGTCTATCCCTGGAGTATTAGAAAGGAGGGCTTTCCGGTACAATTATTAGCAAATCAGGTGTAGGGGCCGCGAGCCGCCGTATAGCTGGACGCACGCATCACTTTCTTGCGGAAGAGGGTTTGATTGATACTCGCTGCAGTATTGTGTGCTCGAAACAGACAAAACTCGGGCCTCAATTCCCGAGGCCACGCATTGACCGGCCAGAGTCTAGCCGGAAATGAGTCCAGTGTAATTTGAATGTCAGTGTTGCCGTGTGCGACATCCCAATTAGCGAAAACAACAGTGCGAGATAGGGATTCCCAATGACATCAGCACAGGAGGCCTAAGAAGCAGGTGCACATCTCCATCAATTCTGCAAGCATATATCAAACCGCGGAATTAACGCCTCAGTGCAAATATCTATCCACCTGGTTCAACTAGTGGGTACGTCGCCAACCATGCTGTGTTTGAGTCGCTTGCGCAACAGTAAGCCAACCCCTCGGCGTAGATCCAGAGGTGACGGATTCGAAGCTACCCGAGCAATGTGCAAGTGCCACCATATCGGCATGGTCACAAGTTTCTTTGCTCTTTGCAATGAAATACAAGCTTTGTACCACGAGCAACAGTTGGCCGCGCTGGTCAGCTAGAGGGAACCAAAGAACAGGCTCGTGAAGGGGGCCGATGAAGTAGACAAGAGAGAAGGCAGGGTATCAAGGGAATGGGATGAAAGATGTGCATTAAATACTCCGAATCAGACATCATGGGGCACGACGCCTTTTTCTCTTGTTGGAAACGGGTTCCACTTCGCGTTTTCCGCCGACAAGTGACTCCTCAAGGTCGCAAACCCACTCTCTAAAGATATGGCGAATTTGGCTCAAGTCATATCCAGTGCGATAGAATTCCGATGAATCGATCCTGAGAATCTTTGAGCCAAGATCATAGATGGCGAAATGAGGAAGAATGTGCGAGCGCAACGGGCCTAAATCCCGGAACGGATATGTATAACAATCTACGCCAGAGACGTCGTTTTTACTAAGAATCGGGGTCGTTCCTTGTGCTAGTCGGAGCCGAGGGATTGCAACATGCTTCATCTCCTGGAATGGCACAAGGATATAATCAAAAACTTCAGCACCTGAATAAATCTGGCCTAACGAATCAGTAAAGTGTGGAAAGAGGCCGACATAGCAGTGCTTACATCAAGGATGGGTGAGACACATCGTCTGCCTCTGATGCTTTTGACATGATCACTAACTTTGTCAATAATATCTTTGGAGGGCAGCAAACCAAATCGACCACATTCAAACAGCCAGTGAAGATCTGCCCGTACTGTGGCAAAGATGCAAGAGTGAGGAGTGGGTAAAGTGTATGACGTACAAAAGAGCTTACGCAATATGGTGTTTTTCGTGGAGGATAAGTCTAGAGAACGAAAGCTCATTCCCCACCAAAGTTCAAGTCTGAATATCTTCCAAGTCTTCAGATACCAAAAGATGTTTAGGCACGCATGACACTCACTGCGTCCGACGGTTCTGATTGACGGATAATATGGCATCTCTGAACACTACGACCATGTTGACGAGTGATCAAGCAACGGCCGTGAGTGGGGTCGACCTTGGGAGCGGGTGGTTCCATGCAAGGGGGGGGATGATACAAGGGTGATAAAATGTTCTCCAAAAAACTGATATCCCTAAAATGTCCAAGGCAGGAATCGAAACTGCTGGCCTCTTGAACTTATGAATATTACTGATCAACAAGACCAAAATCTGACCAAACGTGATCACGTGGGAGCACCGAGGCGGTTGGTTCAAACAAACTCAAACTCGGTCTCGATAACCCTATCCGCCTTTCAAAAGCATTGCATCACTCCATGCACACCGTTTCCAATGCAGTGAGGATTCCCCTGTCCCCGGCGGAGGTCGGACCCAACTGTTATGGTTATGTGGTTTTTCGTACATTAATATTGAACTGTTTTTCTCTTTACCCTGCTTAGCTCTATTATATTGGGTACCCTTTCAGCAGGCCCAAAAAAGTCGAAGTCCGTGATCAACACGTAATGAAGAAGAGGCTAGACAAGAAAAAGGAATAAGCAACATCTGACAACGAGCTAGAACCGATGGGGGGACGGTGCCAGATTGAAGGCGAGGCACTGAGGATGGAAAACTGGGAGGGCACAAGAAGTGACGGGACCAAAGGCCCGAAGTGTGATCAGCCTGGCCGTGGTTGGGGGGATTGGGGGGTTGGCCGGGTGAAGGCCGTGCCCCCGAATAGAGCGATGCAGCAACCAGAGCGAACTGTATGAGGGCTCAAATTATAACCCTATCCTTCAGTCCTGGTCGGGAGGCTACGCGCTCTGTGGATACTTCTTGATCGAGAAATGAACGAAAGCCCCTGAAAGGATACTGGTGTGCTGCCCACAATGTAATTTGCGAGGAATTGAAGACGGATGATAATTGGGATCGTGACGTCGTTGACGAAAAACAGACACATCTTCCGGGAGAGTGGGAAGAGATCCCTTGCAACGCACCAGATCCATACATATCCAATAATGATGGCTCACCATTCACATGGAACTTTGGACGCACCAGTGACAAGATCACGTAGGAACTTGCTGTCTAGCATTTTCGCGGTGAGAGTGAGAGTGTCAATACTGGCGTATAACGCTCAGTCCTGTTGTACATAAACTGAGGAAAGATGTAAAACGGAAATTTTCGCTTCATGAGCGTAGCGCCCCGGCGCCCACAGCAAGCATGGAATCCAAGGATGGCCACAGCGAGCGTTATCAGACACCGAACAAGATCCCAACTAATAAGTCTTGCCTATGTATACGTACCTCCTGCGGAGGCCGGAGTCCTGCCTGCTCGCCGCCGAGTGAGCATGATCACGCGGCGCCGGATTGCACCGCAAAGCTCCAATCATGCAAACTCCGCACAACGCCATATTTCCAAGGCTTACTCGCACACGCATAATCGGTACGCCAAATTTCCCTTTGATGTCCAATCGGACGCGCTGCGTGGCCTGCCACTGCAAGATGTGTGAAGCTCGCTGGGCTCCGAGCAGCTGTGAATGCTGGCTTGGGTGCTTTTAGATTATCTCTCGCCTTGCCCGGCGTACGCCTCTACGTGCTCCGAAACCAATGTTGCATATTGACGTTCGTGCGGGTGGATACTTGCGAGCTGCGGTGCAACTGCTGTATGCATAAGTGAGTGAATTATTCCTTAAAGCTGTACCAAGGCAATTACTTACTGTAGGCTCGGATCTCAATCTTTGAGCATTGCTATGTCCACCCCAAGTATATCCGGGGTCTACCCTGAAATTCCGTCCCCACGGACTCGATGTGTGTCGACGACATCATACAGTGTTGGGAGATCGTCGGCACAGAATCGGAACTAGCAGCCTCGTCACACATGCTTGTACTTTTGCGGGTAGCTCGACATAATGACATCGCAAATGCTAGTCAGGACTTCGTCAAACAAAATCTTATCCTCTGAGCCTCAGTCTATGTGGTGCACTTCCCCAAAGAGACTTTTGTGTACTTATACATAGTACTTGAAAGTCCCCAGTTCCGACGCTGCGTTGATTTCCTAATATGGTCCTAATTCATTTAACTCCCTATGACGTGCTCGATCGACCTAGAACACGACTGTCTGCCTGAACAATTGCACTGGCCAAATCCGTCCGACCTAGCCCCGACCTCACTGCCTAGCCTCTTTGAGGGCTCGACCCTTGCAAACCCACACTAGCAGCACTATGATAACTAATCAGGTGTTTCGAACTCTTGTCGGCCACACCATTCATCGCGGTCTCGTCTCGTCGCCACTCTTCTGGACTTAGACCCATCCGGGGATCAGAGAGGAGGCTCAGATCATCGATGCGTTTGCATGAAGTGCACACTATCTTATGCTGAAAATAGGGACTGTTATCCAGCTGAAATAGGCATTTCGTCCACGCATGAATGACAGCCAATTCTCTGAAGCATCTATTCCAGCTTTGTTCCCATGTACTGTGCACTGTAAAGTACATGTCCTAGCCCCATAAAGTTATAATTCATTGAGCGTTCGATACATCTCCACAACAGTCGTATCGCCCTATCAGACACGTCGTGGGGGAGTTCGGCCGCCACACCCAGCCTCCAGCATGTTTTCGTTCTAGCCATACCTCATGTTACTATTGCGTAATCTGATTTTCATTTAGATCCCAATTTAAATTGCGTTGTCTCGAACGTCTTGAGCTACCCGTGTACATGAGCCCCTGCATGATCCACGAATGTGCTGTCATTTTCCGGGAATACAAAATTCTTTTCCATTATCCAGCCGCCTCGCGTTCAGTCGCCCTGAAATTTTTTTCGGGCAGGACAATCATGGAGACAACATGCGAAACAGAACTCCTGAGCGTTCAACAGATTACCTTCCCGAAGTTATATTGGAGCTCGGCAACACTTAATCAAAAATTCAAATTCAGGCTGTCTGTCGTGGAAAAATCACTCTCTAACAGAGCAGAAAAGTCCTTATTCTGCGGGACCACAGGAAATCAAGGGTTCAGGATTTCCTTCAAGCTAAGTTTCCTGCACAAGGGTCCATTGTTTGAAATAGGATCGCCGAATGGAGGAAACACCGAACGGCTTACAGAGCGGTGCACGAACATGGAATGGGAGCCAACTTTGAGGTTATTTTGAAATTCTATCTCGTGATTATGCGTTGTGCCACCGAACATGAACAAGCCTCGGGGTAGGAATTCACCGGATAGTCAGCTCCAAGGGATCAACACTTGTACAAAAAGTTTCTTTACCCTTGAAAAGTTATCAATGAGCCCACACGACGGTAAACAAAGTTATGGCCAACTCAGGGAAAGCACAAGTTTTTAGCGTTGAACAAATCAATCAAAGGTAGTCAGAACTCATAGTCCGCGGCGTTTCTCCGGCCCCTCGCCACTCGACAAACCAACTTCCTTTAAAGTCAGTTTCCTGGGAAAGGGATCATCGTCTTCCTTTGTGCCGTGGCACGCGAGCGAGAGGGAAATTAACATATGTACATTGATTATATTCCCGATGCTTCCGCTAAGATTCCGCCACAATTTCCCTATCGTATCCAGTCAAAAAATGTCCGAAGTGTAATGCGAGCCGAAAGTGGCCAACTATACCTCAGTGGGCTATAAGAAGGCCCAGTTTGTACTTTGCCCCCACACCAACCCCCCTCTATAACCGGCTACAACATATCTCTTGCCAACCTAGCGCTAAGGCCCTTCAAGTGTATTCCCCCTCGTGACAACTTGCACCGCAGTGCGCGGGGTGCCTGCCACGACCCTCACACTAAGAGCTGTGCCAGAATCTAGCAATAGTGTGATGTGGGTGTTGTGCACAGTGCACCCTGCTCACAGGGTTGGAGCTGATACGCTCGGTGATTCACTGACAAAAATCCCTTTCTTCGGGGTCGAATACTCGTTTGAAACCTCGGGCGACGGACCACTCGTGTAGCGCTGGACCCTTGTCGGATCCTCCTCCTGACGAGTCAGACGACTCCCGCCATGATGCATGGGGCGCTCTGGCACAAACATTGGACTAGGAACCGCGCCAAGAAAGTTAGGGCGGTATAGTGCGATGCGAGTGTTGTGCACAGTCGCCTCGTTTATTGTGCGGGTGCCGAGCCCATCGTTCGATTACCTCCAAGGCCATGAAGACATGAGATGGAGGTCCATCCAATGACTAGCCGTGGAGCTGCAACGGAGAGGTCTCACCATGCGTTCGACGGGATGGTCATTGGCGGGACGAGAGGAATACTGGGATAATCCCCAGGTAGCTTGCCGTATCGATCGCGCATCTAAAGAAGGATTCTTCTAGGGCATGTGTGCCTGGTAAGTTCATGGGGCGTACACACCTTCCTTCGCGATGGCTACGAGGAAAACGATGTAAATAAAGTCGACAGATGGCACTCAGCGGCACCACTACTGACAGACAAAAAGCCCCGGCCTCTATACAAGTGGATCCCCAGATTATCCTGTACCGTTCCGCCGCCCCATGTCAACAATTGTATGAACGGAGTTAGCCGAAATTCTAGTTTGTACCACGCTTTGTTCTAATATTACTAAGTCATTGAGGCTGGAGTTCTGCCTAACGCTTTGTTATCGAGCGACTCACCCTGCTCCCGTCGTTTGAGGTATCACTAAAGAAAGAAATTGTATCTAGTTATCACACAAGAGACGGTCCACATTCCACCCCTGACCAATCTTAAGAGTCTCGATACTGCTAACAATAAGAGTGGCCACTGGCTTCCCTTAACTAACCTGTCTAGAATAAAGCTCACGTATATCACAATATATACCCAAGATCTCCACCAGTTGTGTACGTTAAACCCGATGTTTTTGGCATAAGAAACTATGCCATGGCGTCATAAAGTATCGGTGAAGAGGGCACGCAGCAAAAGTCTGGATGTTAACAAGGGGCCGTTAACAAAGGGCCATAAGTATGGCTCGTGTTTCGTGCTCGTGCATGCACTTACGGACGGGTCGGAAGGGGACAACTCGACGTCGGTGCTAACTGTACATCCATACAAGATGGGCAGCAGACCGAAGCGGGCTCAACTGCCAAGGAGAAAATTTGACCTTATCTGCTACCGCCTACGAGTACTCGCCAGGATGGAGGTGGAAACTTAAAAACGACGATCATCTAGACCCACTCAATTTTTGGGTCGTAGAGGAAATTGTCCATGGAGACGTCCTCGCGACCGAAAATCCGTTTCTCGTTCTCGAGACCAACCTGGCCCTTAGCCTTCCCTGGGAGACATGACAATGCCTACAGCGACACGACAGTTGAAAGTACATGGATTGCAATAGAACTGAAATGCTCTTGATCAATTTTTTATAGCATTGTAGTCGACAAACGGAACCGCCTCCTCCATATTGAAAAACGAATGCTGGATGCATCCAACGGGGCTAACTTTGTCGTCGTTCGGGGAAATCAGGGACGAGCGTCATCTCAACAATCAGCCCGACACCACGCTCCCGGATAGAGTTCTTGGCAAATCCAGAGCAGGAGTGGAAATGTCTATGGTGTCCGGGTCTGGCCACATAGTGGAATGTGTTGCAACACATGCTCCATTGAGACCCTTGCCCAACTTTCCCCGCAGCGTTAGATCTAGGCGTGACGGATTTGAAGCCATCCGAGAAGCAAGCAGGTGCCCTTATGTCGACATAGATGCTAGTTTCCTTGTTCTGCTTCAGAATGGAATAGACACCGGTACCACGAGTAGAACTTGTCCGTGCTGGTCAACCGGAGAGTACCTAGCCTTATCGAAGGGGAACTATCAAACCATGGCAATAACTCTCCCAGCGTTCTGATCGGGGTTGGACGGCAATAGTATATCCGTAACGGAGTACGTCTTTCCAAGGGAATAGGACGAAGGATGTGTACCAAGTGCTTCCGGGGAGGATGCGTTTTTCTCTTTTTGGAAGCGGGTTCCACTCTGCGTTTTCCACCGACAAGTGACTCGTCAAGAAGCCAAGCCCACTCTGTAAAATACGGCAAACTTGGCTCAAATCATATTCAGTGGAATAAATTCTTGAAAATGTTTGAGCCAAGATCATAGATGGCGAAATGTGTGAGCGCAACGAGCGTAAAACCCGGAACGGATGTGTAACAATCCATACCAGAGTCTTCATCAAGCGCCGGAGTCGTCTCTTGTGGAAGTCGTGGCCGGGGATTACGACATGCTTCATCTCCTGGAAAGGAGTATCCTTTGGGGCACCACTCCGACTCGTATACATTCCTGCTTCCCTGAAGACTGACATGATCTTGTTTTGATCGATGAGAACTGTGGACGTAAAAGAAGTTGCCCGTCCGCTAAATGTCTATACGTTCCTTGACGGTAATAACAGCGTTTGATGGAGTACTCTCCTAACCACCGGTCGTCGTCTTGGGCACAACTAATCACGGGCTTGGGGCTATCCAGTTGTAGTCCCGCCCCATAGGCGATTATTTCTGCTTTTCCAACACTAAAGAGTGAGTATGGCGGAGGAACGTGAAAGCCCTTTTTGCCACATGAGATGTCTGACACACGCTCCGGCAATCTGCCATTAGACTCCACAATGGTGGCATGGGGACACTCGGGCATGATTGCTGCCAAGAGTCCGCCGCGCACCTGCGGTGTCACCACTTCGGCTGATCACCTATGCCTTCCTTTTTCACGCTCTATTGGCGAGAGTGGTGATTGTAGGTATATTGTGGCCGTACACAAGCACAAATCATTACCACTGGGAGTTGCAGGGATGACGGAGAGATCCGAGTAGCACTGGAGTTCAACAGCGACAACGATTCTTACAGCACCTCAGAACCCACTCGCCGCTCCTGAATGTCTGTGGCACCGGAAATCCCCACCAACGGGAACGGCCGGAGGCGTGACCAACAATGACCTTTTGGAGCTCGATTACAGATTGCGGGCGTCATCTAATCTGACCTCCTCTATCATAGGAACAGTACCGCCCCACGCCGCCATACTTGCGGACACAGAGTTCACGAGTAAGTACTCCCGAGAGTGTACAGATATCCATTGAGTGTATCGATTTCGATCTCGCACCCGTATCCTTCCCCGACTCCCAGCATTTGCACATTCCTACACAGCCCTCGGCTTACAACTTACTGGGTCCCATGACTTCTGCATCAGCGTTCGTTTCCTTGTATGTTCCCATCGCAGCTATCCAGAACGTGCCCTACTCAACCTAAACACCGACTGCCTGAATATGAATTTCATCCCACCGGCCTGATGTAGTCCTAACCTGCCAGGCTGAGCAGACCCAAGGGCCAAGGGCTTGGCACCTGCAAATCATGCTAGGCATCTCATCCGTTCCGCACCCTCGTTCCATCCACCAGATCGACAGAGGACCTTCTCATCGCTTGGTTTTTCAATCTTGTTCGCTACTCGAGATTCGCCTGTTGACTGGATGAAGTTGGGGAGGATTTTTACCTATCCCATCTATACATTTCCATGAATAGCATGCTCTCGCGCACCGAGAATGCGAGCCGACGTCGGGATTTCATTTATATGTGAGCGGTAGCAAGTTCTATGAAGTATTTCACCTTGCGCTCTTCGAAATACATGGTTCCCCCTCCTATAAAGTAGGATGGTTTGTCGAACTCCCGTGTATCGCCATCTTACTAACCCTAAATGTGGTCTCTTGAAGTCCCATCAGACGCGCTGTGAAGGGAAATTCGGCCCCATACCTAGTCTCCTGTTTTCATTCCAGTCATATCTCATGTCACTATTTCGTAATTAAGTTTTCGCTTAGACATGCCAATGAACTCGAACGTCGCAATGTCCTGAACTGTTCATGTACACAAATCCCTGCACCCAAACCATTTTTCTGGGAAGGGAGATGCCTTTCCCGTCATCCCACCTCACGTCTGATACACCCACACGATGACAAAAATACCTTGTTGCACAGGCTCCATGCTCACCAGATCACCATCTCCGAGTTGATATCCCCACGGAGCCAAACTCTAGAATAACCGGTATTCGCGCTTGCATAACTCGGATTTTTGGGTGGAAATCCCGTGGCGGACTACTGGCAGCGAGGCACAGTCTTATACATTGCCAAAGTTGTCTGTGGTCGCCAAGGTCAGCTGAGTGTATGCCGCATCGAGTCTTTACAAACTGACGTCTACGTAATATCCCATGTACGTTGGCAGTGGACCAAGGGACATCGGAGCCATGATCCGCGGATAAATCACGGAACCGAAGATTCAACCCCTGAGTCGCTGTGATTGTGGAAAAGCCACGTAACAGAAAGATTCTTGGAGAATATTCAAAGAGGGATGCGAGGCAAGAGGAATCTCCGGTCCGCGAGTTTTCTCGAAATACGGGAGGCCCGTTGGATAGCAAACGACGACGCTCTCTGATTTGAGATTCTATCTCGGCAATTTTGCATCCCTGGACCTGCATCCCAGATATGCATGTGCTAGCGAACGTGAGACAACCCCGGATACGGGATATCATCGGTCACCTGGCCCCGATCATTTGCAAAGAAATTTTCCTTCATCGTCATTGAAGAAATTAACAATGTGCCCACACGATGACAAACAAACACGTTGTAGGGAACCACGCGGTCAGCGAGGAAGAGGTGAGACAGGGACCCTCAATCCGCAGCGTCTCAGCGAACTTCCGTTAAAGTCAGTTCCCTAAGAAAATGCGGGCCGCGGGCAATTGGGAAGACTAGGGAGGATTAAATGTATTGATGCTTCTGCAAAAATTTCATCCCAGGTTTTCTGCACATATCTCGTCAGTAGAATGCTCAATGTGAGCTGAAATACCCCATGGGCTCTAAGGGCCCAGTTTGCAGCTCCCTCTGCAGGTCCCAACAGCAATTCCTTCCTCCTTTTTAGACACAACTACAACATTATAACTCCATCTTATGCCTTGCTAATCTAGCGCTGAGGTTCTTATACATTCTCCACCACGATGGTTCCGCTGTAGTGTGCAGGGCGAACTGTCACAATGTTCATACTATGAGCTGCTAGTGTGATGTGGGTGTTGTGCACGGTACGCTCTGCTCATAGGGTGGGTGCTAACGATCCACAAATTTCTTCGGCGCCAAATCCTATATTGAAAGTTCAGACAACGGACACTTGTGTAGTACCATACCCTTCTTCCGACAACTCCCGTTGGATGAGCGAGACTTCTGTCACAACCCCCGCACCAAGAGTCGCGCCAGAAAGTTGGGGCGGTTGGTGCGGTGTGGGTGGCACAGTCGCCTTGTTCACTACGCAGGAGCATGTCTCTCGAAGATTCAATAATAAAGGCGCTTAGCCAGCTCACTTGTTCTGGGAACACACGAAACCAGGTCCAAACGCTCTTTTCGCAAGACTTGAAAGGTCGCCCACAGGCTTGTTGCACCCATTGAAAGCCTTCATGATAGAGCGTCCCCGATCAGGTAAGTGGGATCATTAGCTGTTCTCCATGGGAAAATTGCAATGAAGAAGGAGTAGGTCAGGGCCGCTCCACAGCAGGTTGCGCAGCTGCGCACACCTCAACACCCTTTCCAAGTCCACAAATAAGTAACACGGCGTGAGCGCAAGTACAACTGAGCGCATCACGGCAGAAACAGTGTGTTCGGCAAACGCTGGCTCCCCAGAAGTGGATATCCCGCAATCTTCCAGACATTCCGTACCCTTCCGTAAGCATACATTCCTTCCGAAACTTATGTCTGGCGAGCCGATGAGAGAGCTAGAAGCGAGACGCCGAGTGGGGCGTGCCTCCGTGGTTGTAATTTACCGGAGTCAGCCGAAATCTCAGTATTACCACGCTTTGTCAGCTCGTGACAAGTGCCTCGAGGGGAACCGTTTGCGTATAATTGTCCTACCGATCTGAGAAGTTTCACTGATCGTGAGAGTGGTGGCTGGCCTGGCCTTGCACTGGGGGACCTCACGTTCCCGAGCCAGGAAGGAAAATCCTTTTGGCTTCTCGCAAGAACAATGATTACGGATCTTATTCGCTTGCCATAGCGCGAGCTGAGCTGATACCACGCGTCGCGCCCGATGCGTTGCAACAATGAAGGCAGTCTTCGATAAACGTGTGGGGTGTACCAGAACAATCATTAGTAGACACGTACCGTCTTTACATGGGCCGACGTTGCAATTCATAAACGCTTCCGTAAGCTTTCCTAGGCTTGGAGTAACCTAAGGCCGGCCGTAAACCAGCAGAGAATCCGGGTGAAACTGTACAGTTCTATTTTGCAAGTTGATTGATGGAAATTTTGCCTCACAGACGCGCGAATGAAAAGGAACCTTACAAACCCTGTTTCTATCCAGGCTTTTCTAGAAAGATCGTCTCCGCATGAGCGTTCCGGGGCGGCGCCGCGTTTCTACCAGTATACTACTATACAGTTCCTTATGAATTACCGCCTCTACCCGCAGCCGCCATTTGTGATGCCCGGCAGCGTGCATATTGGAGATCGGTATCTGGAATGTTCATTCATTTCAGGAACAGGGAGTTGGTGGGTAGAGGCATTTGTGTAACTGAGGTACACCTCTTAATATATCTTGGCCACACACTGTGAATTGAATTTATGGTTGTTGATTCTTGGCGGCTACACTCGCATTATAACGAGAGGTTTATGAGATAGAAGACCATTCTTCCTGCGGCTAATGGGCTTTATAGTACATGCATCGATCGGCAGAGGCACGACGCGTCAGGAGTGGGGTGTCGCGCGCTTGACTTGCCAGGAAACTGATTCCTATGTATGTTACATGAAAACGAATGTAGACAATAGTGCCGGATGCGAACTGGAAGCGTCAAGCGAAGTCCTAGCCTTACATACCACATACACTACAGAGGCTGCCTATTGTGCAACTCTCCGGACTCGGCCTGATGGGGGCTAAACCCAATTTCTTCGCCACGGCCGTTTGTTTATAGATGGGTTTTCGTACATTCGAACTTCCCCTACTCCCCCAAGGAAATATTATAGAGGTGGAAGTTTGGGATCAATATTCAACGAGGATTGGGGATGTAATATGGAGACTCAGTCAGCAGCCTCCAGCGATAGTTGGCTCGGGAGATTGTGCTTACACTGCATGCAATTGGTTCTCTGATGGGTAAAGAAGAAATCGGACAGAGAGCCAGATGTGGATGGAACATTACCAGACGCCAGATAAGGCTTCCATGCCAGTCCGCCGGAACGAATAAACTAGGGGTGTGGCTTCCTGGGCGGGAGCCGGGGTGAACCAGATGAGGGCTCAAATGGAATTATGTCGCTCGAGAGCGAAAATCAATGCAACGATACCCGAGTATCTAAAGTTCAGGACAAGCACTAGTCAATATTTGATCGGGTTGCAGGTGGCAATATTGGCAAAGACCGTTATTCCTCGCCACAGAAAAAGCAGATCTGGATCAAATACAGTCTAGTAAGGGCGATTAGAAACTGCAATGTCCTGACGCACCTCTAAGAGTCATGATATAACTCAAATAGGGATTTGTTGTCCACAAAGACAGAGTCAGTCCGAACGGTACGAAGAGAAAGAACCGATGGAAGCCATACGATTGGTGCATTCATCTCCACGAGTCGCGCAAAGGATGGTGCAAATAAACCCCAGCTTGTGGAATCCCGTTCTTCGTCGAGTAATCACTGTGTTGGGCTTTGCCACCGGCGCACGATGGCAGCGAAGGAGCTCAACGAAAGATGGTCCTGAGATGTGGCTTCGTGGGGGGGAACCAGAGTGAACTGGACAGGAACCCAAATGGAACTTGTGGAAGGTCGCACCTTTCGGGGGCACAGGTCAGGGTAGTGAAATGGCCCTTCTGTCGAGAAGCTACACGCTCCGCGTGGGCTGATGGAACAAACGAACGCATTTTCCAGGAGAGGGTCGGGAAGCTCTTGCAATGGACTACGTATTTAATAATGATGGATTCACACAGAGCTTCGGATGTACTGGTGGCGAAATCGTGTGGGGACCCAAACGCACCGATTATTCTGGTTGCTTTTCTCCGAGACGATATTCAGCGGCGAATAGTCATCTCATGGTTAATATTGTCGAATAAGGCAATCGCTGCAGGTACGTGGCCCGTTGGGCGAGAGCTACGGCCCAGAATAATCTCCCCACGCGGGAGGGTGGTTCTGTCAGAATAGCACGACACAAGGAAAAGTCTGGGCAGAGTCTAGCAGGTTACCAGCCTCCATTTGGATAAGGGAAGAGTCCAAATCTCTCTCGAAATAGCCAGCGACTCAGGGCAGATGATTGGCGTCCAAGTTATGGAATAACGAGGCGGCCGGTGTTTGTAGAATCCTTGCAAAATGGCACAATGTAATGATGAGGTTTAGGTCCGCCTGGACAACATGTTAGCTCGTGTTGCCGGTGACAATAACAGAGGGAAAGTAAAAGAAACAGGGAAACCAGACAGAGAGCTGGAAGTGGAATGGTATGGTATTGGAACGGGATTAGGTTCCCGTCCCAGTCTACAGTGGAAAAGTGGGCAGGGGCTTTCCGAGCTGAGGGGGGTATCGAAGTATGATCAACCCTAGTAAGGGCCTGCACGCGCCCATTTCCGGGTGTTTGGAATGTAGGCGAGAAACAACCGGAAGAACCATGTGAGGGATAACCCGTTTCCCTGGAGAGCAGAAGTCAAGGCAGCGAGGCGGCGCTTCCGACGAGAAGCTACACGCTCTGTAGATCTACTAAAGATGAAAGAAAACCAGAAAGGATAGAGCACTGCCCACGATGTGATCCGCAACGATGTTCTATAACCGCTACCCCCGTGGCGACAGGCAAGTATTGAATGGGATTGCGATGTTGGTTGATGGAACAAACGGACGCATTTTCCAGATGCGTCCGAGCTCTTTGGGAGTGTTGATGCGGGCAATCGCATTGAGTACATAATATGGATCTGATGCATTGAAAGGACTTTCCCGGCGCTCTCCTGTGAAAAGATTGCCTAGGGACAGGGACGTATGGATCGCTTCAGGTTGTTTTTCTCCGTGATATTTTCCGGCTGCAAATGAGCATGTCGTAGTCAATATTGCGGCACCCCATGACCGAACAGGTCAAGTTTCCCGCCGTTCGGGGGACAGCCCAGATAGTCTCCTCAGATGACAGGAAGGTATAGAGAGGTTTAGCGCACACGTCCTATCGAAGTGGTACGATACAGGAAAAGATACCCAGCAATTCTAAATCCCTCTTAAAATGGCCGGTGATTCGAGGCCAGTGATTAGCGCTCAAGCTGGTGGACACGAGGTAGCCAATATCTGTACAATCCTGGAAAGTGGCGCAACGATGACCGGAGTGGCTGGGTTAATTTTGGGTTCAGAAAAAGCGAGACAAAATGTTTGATTGTGGGCAACAATATGCCTTTTTTGTGGCGAAGATTATTTCTCGCCAACAAAAAAGAAGATCTGTATCGAATACAGTCCAGTAAAGACGGCTGGAAACTCCTAAAAGAGCAGTGTCTTGACACACCTTTAAGGGTCGTCCGCTAATATCATGAGCTAATTTGACTTAACAATTTTTCCCCTAATATAACTTGAATAGGATTTTGTTGTTCACGAGGGCAGGGTTAGTCCGAATTGCACGAAGACAAAGAAGGGATGGAAACCATACATACAATTGTTGGGTTCATCTCCGCGAATCGCATGAAGGATAGTCCAGACAGAGACCCAGCTTGCGGGTCCCTCGTTCTTCGTTAGCAATCACTATGTTGGGCTCCGCCACCAGCGATATCAGTCTAAGCAAGAGACTTAGCACAAGTTGCCGGTACTAGTTCGTGCCTACCGTGGTTGCTCTAATGATCAGACCGTTCCCGGATGTATAGCGTTCGTGACTGTCAGTAATGTTTACGAGCCGTGCGCAGCGGAAGTCCTTCCACCTTGTTTCGCCCGGACACACTGCTTCAGGACAGGGCCAGACCACTTCTTTCACTCTTCTGTCCCTCCTGTCCCGCCTGTGAGCCCATATTCTCGCCGCGTTGCGAAGGCCCGCTCATTCCCCGTTTAACGCGCCGCCCAAGCCGGAAGAGGCTGGCCTGCGTGTCCCCTCCTATCCCTCTGCGCAAGGCACACACTTCCGCTTGACGTGGGCTCTGCCACGCTTTCTGGAGCGGAACCGCTGTACGACTGTGGCACTGAAGCAAGCACTAGAAGACCAACATGCTTCAATGAGTAACACGCAAGAATCTACTCAGCCATGGCGACACCATGTTGAACCACCACAACATTATAGATAGGCCTTCGTCTGGCTGGTACCCAAAGAGAAGGTTCACTCAAGAATATCTTTCATTATACTACTTACAACTCATATACGGTTTTGCTTCCTGAAGACCTACATCGATGAGAACTGTCGACAGGAGAGAAGTTGTCTGTGTGGTGGCCCAAACGCGAACTTGGGGCCATCCGGTTGCTCACCCGTACCAGAGGCAATCATCCAGCCTGTTCCAGCCTGTATGGGCTTGCAACGCTAATACGGGCATGTGATGATGTGTGAGGGGTGTTTTTCTACCACACTCCGATCTGCCGGGCGCTCTAGATGACAAGCAGTGAACGACTGTGACCACATATCATCAATGACCACAGCTGTCAAACCCAAAGTAGTGGCATAGGGGAGCACTAGGCACGATCCAGCCACTGTCAAGAGTCCGCTCATCTGCGGTGCCACCGGTTCGACCGGTGATCCAGCGATAGTGGTGATTGTGAACTCTTGCTCGGTAGGAGGTATGTATCTACCACAAGAACGTGAATTAACACTATATCGCTAGATCGATGCCTGGATAACAGAGTCTTGCCGATCCGAGCTACACCACCGAAGAACTGGACCCCCAACCATCCTATCATGACATCCCAGAAACCTACTCATTCACCAACTACAGTGCTCTTGAATGTCTGTGGCCTTCCCAGTACTTAAAAGTTGAATGCGGAGGCACGATCCTCTAATGCCGATTCTGACATTATGACATAACCCCCTGACATTACAAACCCCGAGAAGGCGGAGGGTTCCTTAACCCGACAGCACCAACCACTGTCCCCTAGGTGCCATGTGGAAGCGATCCCTTCATGTGCGCGACGTTGCGGTAGCCACACTGCCACGTATATCGGCCAATGCCGATTCCGACGTATAGTACGGCTTGCGACCACCTTTTGGTGCTGGTTTCTGGTTTCTGGACAGCTGGGAGTCGTCAGTCCATCCTCTGTCATACGGATCCTTACCTCTTGTTGCTGTCATAGTGCATGTGTGCCGTACTCACTAGAGTTTCGCGAGTGTATACACATTATATCATCACCACACTGTCGCATCCTTCTCTGGCCCACAGCATTCAAGCATTCTCGTATTTGTATACAGTGCACCCCCGACGCGACGTTGGTTGCTTTGTACGTTCGCAGCTGAGCCGCCTGCAACGTACTCTAGTAGAGCTAGAACACGACTTACTGCTTGAATGCATTCATTCCATCCTACTGGCCAATGCCTGCCAGGCTCGAGGCTCTTTGAGCGTTTGACTTCTGCGTGCTGCCATCTCGTTATTTCTTCCTGATTCTTACTTCATCTGCCAGATCTACAGAAGAAATTCCATCACGTACTATTTCAGTCCTGCTCGCTACTCTTGGGTAGCATCAGAACTCCTCACCAGCCGCGGTCGGGAACCTCAGTGCAATTGAATGTGGAGGCATGACCTCGGAGGTCTCGTTCTTCGACACTGTTTTTCATGGCTTGCGGCTCTGATTTTTTGTAGGCTCCCGGGTGTCGTCTCACTCCGCCACACAAATATTTATCCGCTATCGATCCCATCCCTACAGCGTGGCGTGCCACTTTCTCATCCTGTTGGATTACCTTGCTTTTCACGCATCGGTCCCTATTTTACGCTATTCAGGCATTGCCACACTCACAGATAACGTCCCGTTTGCACCCATCACCTTGCACATTGATATTTGGATTCCCCATCCAGCCATGGTTCCGTTATGTATGTGATCGCGATTCAACTGCCTGCGACGTGCTCTGCTTGACACTGACTGCCTGAACACATGTGTCGCATGCCGCTGACCAATTGTACCCAACCAGGCTCGAGGCTCTTGGGGAATTGACTCCAAATCCATCGTAACCTGCTAGCCATCTTATCATGCGTTACAGCCCCTCCCCTGTCCACCAGATTCGTAGAAGATTTTTCATTGTATGACATCTAACTTCGGTGCTGCAGGATTCCGGGTTGGGTTGGTTAACACCAGAACGGGGATCGGCCGGAATCTTTAGAACTGGATGTTGGAGCGTGGCCTCCCTCGTCAACATTCCAGCACAAAATACGGCTTGCGACCACTGTTTCTTGAATGGAGGTCGTCATAGGAACAATACTTTACATTGCCACCGCTGCCATACCCTGGGCGGAGTTTCGCGAGCACGTACGCATATCTATTGAGTGGCATCGATTTCCACCGCTGCATATTAATAATCCTTGACTTCTGCATTTCCCAACGCAGCGTTGGCTTCCTTGTATGTTCCCAATTCAACTACCTACGACGTGCTCTGGTCGACCTAGAACACGACTGTTGAATGCATGCATTCCCTCCCACATGCGATGCGATCCTAACTTTACAGCCTGCGAAGCCCGAGGCTTTTTGAGGGCTTGACTCTTGCAAAACATGCTCGTTGTCTCATGTGTTGATCTCGCCACTCTGGATTTACCCGCTGACTAGATGGAATCGGGGAGAATTTTGATCCAACCCATCCATACATTGGTATACTCATACACTGAGAATGGGGCCGGACATCCATTCACACGAGTTTTATGAAGCATTTCGACCCCACGTATTTGCGCTTCGTAGTCCACCCCCATAAAACAGGATAGCTTGTCGAACACCCGTGTATCGCCACGAGACTAGTTTCTCTTATCACCTCAAAACTTGGGACTTGAGCTCCTATCAGACACACGCTATAGAGGGAATTCGGCTCCCATACCTAGTCTCCAGCGTGTTCTCACTCCAGCCATATCTCATGTTACTATTTCGTAATCGAATTTTCATTTAGATCTCAATGGAATCGCATTGTCGCAAACGTCGCAACTTAAACTGCTCGTGTACATAAGTCCCACAACATGTGCGTCGTCATTTTCCTGGAATGGAGGTGCCTTTTCCGTCATTCCATCTAATGTGTAGTACTGCCAGGGAACGGGTGGAAAGTTTTGGATAGTATAATGACGGAGACAGCCTGTTGCGCAGAAATTCGCCTAGGAATCCATGACGGAGGGAACCGTTCAATACCCAACCTAGATACAATTGCCAAAGTTGTTTACAATCACCAAAACCAGCTATATAATACCACATTGAGTCTTTACAGATCTGGATGTCAACGTAATACTCCATATTAGCCGTGAATCAAGGAACATCGTGAGCGGGTAATGATCCGCGGATATTGACGGCAGAAAAATCATGGAACGCCCCAAAAGCGCTCAACTTTGACCGAAGATTCTCGACCCCTGAGTAGCTATCATTGTGAAGGTCACTCCTGGCACGCAACAGAAGAATTCTCTGGAGAATATTTAAAGAGCGCGAGGCAAGATGATTTTAAGGGTTTGCGCTTTTGTTTTCTTCAAGGTTTACTGTCACAAGCGGGAATGAATGTTTGGGACTGAAAACATGAGCCGTCAAGGCTAGCTGACTGAAGCAAGGGATCGGAGACTTACCGGGCGGATCGCCAACATGGGAGGCCTGTTGGAAAGTACCAACCCGTTCCCAGTCGAGATTCTATTTCGGTGGTTCCACATTTCTTGACTACATCATAGGAGAGTCTAGATCAATGCGTTTCCCGGTGAACGCGGACCAAACCCCCGCACGGGAAAGCATCGGCCACCGCATCTACAACAAAATTATCTTCGTTGTGATTGAAAAAGTTAGCCGTGGGCCCATACGGCAGGCGACAAACAAACGCGTTGTGGGTGATTTAGGGGGCCCACGTGTTCAGCGTGTTCAGCGAGGGACAAATCAATGAGAGGCGAGGCAGGGTCCCTTAGTCCGCAGCGTCTCACTACAATAAACTTTCTTTTCACTGGGAAAATGAAAAAAAAAAAAAGTATGGATCAACGGCTTTCTCGCCTTTCTTGAAGGCTACAAGTAATTAAATTTATCGGTTTCGTTTCTGATGCTTCTGCAAATTTCTTTTTTTACAATATTTTGTCAGTAAGTCCCGAAGGTGAGATGCAGGCTGAAGCGATCATCCGTACCTGATTGGGCTATAAAGGAGCTCAAGTCCCCTCTGCCGTTCCCCACAGATGCATCCCTCCTTTCTAGACGCGACTACAGCATTGTCCCATCTCGTGTCTTGTGAGTCTCACTTTAGTGTGCAGGGCACCTGCAACACCGCTCACGCTAGGAGCTGCTAGCGTGATGTGGGTGTTGTGCACGATGTGCTCTGCTCACAAGGTGGGTGCTAATGATTCACCGATCCAAGTTCTTTCTTGAGTGCCAAATCAACAGCTCAGGCGATGAACACTTAAATAGCGCTAGAGTATTCTCCTTCCCGATGACGTCCGATGTGGTGAGCAAGACGACTAGCACACCATCGCACCAGGAGCCGTGCCACCAAGTTGGTGCGGTGTGGTGCGGTGTGGGTGTTGTGCACAGTCGACTTGCGCACTGCGTGGGAGCATCGGAGATTCACTTGTCAAGGTCAAGGTGCTTAGCCAAGTTCTGGGAACACCACAGAGCCGAGACGACGAGGTGTAAGCACTATAGTCACAGGGCTTGAAAGATCGATTGTCATATCGACTGAGAACTTGAGATGAGCATCTTCCGGGAGCGTCACAATCAGGTGCGCAAGATCGCCAGTTGTCTATGGGGCTAAGGCCACACTGAAGTCCGATACTAGTGTCCCTGTTCCGCGGTACTGTAGCATCGTGCAACCTCAAGTCCCTTTATATAGGAGCGGGAATTAGCTGTCAAATAGTACTGCTGAGCTTACCACTGCCCAGCGAACACTAGATGTTCCGCAACTCCGTGCCTTTCCGTAGTCCCTTCATATTCGGGCTGTTATGTCCCGGAGTTAGCCGAAGTCCTAGTACGTGTAATTGAATGTCGAGGCGTGACTTTAGAGGTCTTTCTTCCACGTCATATTTGATGCCAATTTGACGCAATTTGCGATGGGTTGGGCTCCCAGGTGTCGTCTAGTGAAACCTTACTCTGTCACTCGAACATTTACCGACAACATCCCTGCAGCGCGGCGTGTCCGTTTGGCTCCCATCACCTAGCCTTTCACACTGCACATTGAATGTCCCATCACGCTATCTGGATTCTCCCGAACACATGCGACACATGCTGCTGACCAACTGTGGCCCAACCAGGCTCGAAGCTCCTTGGGGATTGGTCCCTTCAAATTCATCGTAGTCTGCTAGCCATCTTATCATGCGCCACAGGCCCACTTCATCCACTAGATTTTCAAGTTACCCTCTAATTACATGGCCTCTCAGTATCACTCTCTACGCCGCCCTTTTGAATCTAGATTCATTTGCTGGCTGGATGAAGTCAGGGAGACTTCGACTCGTCCCACGCCTACAGTATATTATAGCGTGCTGAAAATAAGGACCGGTCCCCATCGAAAGAGAGAATCAATTCATGTACGAATGGTAGCGAGTTCTTTGAAGCATCTCTTTCCGTCTCATCCCCATGTACTGTGCATTTCGAAGTGCACTGCCCCTCCCATACTTAGCCTCAAAGTATACATACATTTTCGAACACCCGACACACTGTAAAAATTTTTCTTGAGATGGAACTTCCTGAGGCCCTATCGGGCACACGTTATGATGAGGATTTCGGTCACATCCCGCCACTAGCATGACTTCATTCCAGCTTCTCATGTCACTATTCCATAATCAAATCTTCATTTGGATTTCAATGGGATCGCGTTGTCTCGAAGGCCTCGATGTCCTGAACTACACGTGCACATGCCCTACATGATCCATTAATGTACGCGTCGTCATTTCCCAGGAATCGCGATGCCCTTTTCATCAGTCTACCTCGCGCCTGGTCAACCACAGGGAATAGATCTAAAATTCTTGGGCAGCATAATGACGGCAATGATAATTCCTAGGATAACCATCTATATAATACGTTAACGCCGCCACGAAGCCGAACCGACGTACGCGCGTGGAATGGTTGAACGACAAGCCCATCTTCCCTCAAGGCTTGCAAAACTCGGAAGTCTGTTGCCGTAGAGTTGAGCATAGGAAAAAAGAGGGGATTTTCCATTGGTGGACTACTGGCAGTGCGGAAATATTTCACACTCATCCTAAATACAGCCACCTCGAAGGCTGTCTACGATCACCAAAACCAGGTGTAAACTAATATTGAATGCGGTCAAAATTAACTTCGGATTGCCCAAAAGCCCTCGTCTTTTACCATTCAACCCCTGACTTATAGGCGTTGTGAGAAAGTCGTTCATTGTAACTAACAGAAAGATCCTTTGGGGAATATTCAAGATCGACAGTCGCTACAACTTGGATATAGTTCTGCTTCGCTGAAGACTGGCATGATCCTGCTTCGATCGATGAGCACACTGTCGACAAGAAAGAAGCTGTCTCTGCCGCAACCTCGATACGTTCTTTGAAAGTAATCACAAGCGGTTGATGAAATGTTCCCCCTACTCCCAGTTTTCTTCTGGCATAACTAATTGCGAACTTGGGGTGACCCGGTTGCTCTCCGCGGCAGAGGCGATCATTCGGCCCATATCTACTTCTCCAACGCTAAAAGCATGCGCGTGACGAACGAATGAAGCCCTTTTTTGCTACATGAAATGTCCGATACACTCTGGTGACTGATGGCTGCCATGTGAGAAAATATTGTGAATGACCACAACAGGTAAGCCCTAACCCTATAATAGTGGAACAGAGTGACACCAAGGCGTGGTTCAAGCCACTGCCAAAGGGTGCGGCGCCACCGGTTCAACTGATCATCCATCGGCGAGAGTATGGAGACTGTCCAAAGCTCGAGAACGTCTCGACAGGACTCGGGGGACCAAGCGACCCCACTTGGTAGGTCAAAATATGCAACCTCCCTCGTAACCGCCAACGGCACAACAGCACGATATCGATGCCAGGACAACAGAGAGATTCAAGCTGCAACGGCGAAGAAGTGGACTTCAGAGGTGATGATCACCCACAGAAGTTACTCTTCACCGACGGGGATCGGCCGGAATCTTTAGAATTGAATGTGGAAGCGTAACCTCTCTCGTCAATCATCGAAAACGACTCACGCACCCACAGGCCGTCAAACATAGTATTCTACTCAGAAAATACGAATGCGATCGGTCGCATCTTCCAAGGGAAGCCCAAGAACACGCCCGGAAGGCTTCTGGACGGCAAAAAGGTGGTGCCCCGGCCACAGTGACATCAAGGGGCAGCAGACGAGCTCACATCAGCCCAGACAGAGATCCCACTATCATTCACTATCCTACGGCAAGCAGGACATGGAAGAATGGAAGGAACGTTGAGCAAGCACGCCCAACCCGATCCGATCAGGGTCTCACGCAGCGAACCAGAACCCCCCATTAATTGAACCCACCGCCAGGTTCAGTTCGCTAGACTGGACAACCTTTAGCAGGCTGGTCCAGTCCCGCACCGGCCAGCACACCAGGCGAATACTACCACGGGTTCGATATCCACACAGAAAGCAGAGAGCGCGCATACAGAGCAGCCAACCAGATGAAAGAGCATATCCTCTAGGTATGCCCATAGTTTAAGAAACATGGACACGTACTGGGCCTCAGTCGTCAGAGCAGGTTTCCGACCCTCATGGGGAAGCCCAAAGGCATCCTTGGACTAGCAGACTTCATCAAGAAGTGGTGGGCCATCGATAAAATGGGCGGACGGAGACCGACGCAAAGCGGGGGAACAGGGAACAGGAGTACCCAGGAACCCCACGTATAGAGAGGAATGGCGTGGGCACTGCACCGCCACGCACACCGAGACACTACTAAAAACCAGACACCACAACTTAGAAAACCCCGTCAACCCGACCACACCAATCAGACAACCCTGCCTTGTATTGACGAGCCCCTCATGTACAGTCAGATGTAACGAGTCGGGCTAGCCGCAACTGCCACGTACAAACCCGCGGGGCAACAAAATAGAGTACAACAACCTCCCTCGTCGACATTTGCACGGCTTGCGACCACGTTTTGGAGTTATTTCTTACGGAGGTCCCGGGCGTCATCTAATCCTTCTCTGTCATAAGATAGACGACGTTCATAAGTCGTCACTATCCGGAAGCAAATCACGGCACAACTTGCACCTCACCTCATCCCTGACACTGCACTTTTGATGCAAATGTAGAACTGAGAAGTTGTAGGAATGATACCACTTTATGACTTCTTGGTGCCCAAACTTCAGTATCTATCGTTATCATCAAATGAGAAGCAAAATACTTCTGGACATCAGAATCAAGAATATCTTTCAACCCCGACATGATTTTGCGATCAAAAAAAATGAACGGGTTTCAAGTTGGCCGGTTATGCTGAGTATAATTGAATTGAGGAGACTGCCGAATACAAAAAAGGAAACTATTTTATTCATTCTTCATTCCCTTTTCCCTCTGCATGCAAAGCGCTGTTGTGCAAATAATGGAGAGGAGGTGATGTGCTATTTAGTCAAATTCTGATGGGCATCAAAAATATAAAGGGTGTCATAGACTCCTACCTGAGGCAATGCAACCCCTAGGAATATTGAAAGGAATACATAAATAGTACATTTAACACATGGTCCAGCTTGCCACGGAAATATTGGCCGCTCGTGACCTGCACTGCCACATTCGGCAATTGCCACCATAGTGACGACTTATGAACGTCGTCGCAGTTGCAGTAATCAATCGGTGATTCGGGACACGTGATCTAATTGTTATTGTATCATCGTTCATTTGAATTCCCCTCTTTTTTCCCTCAATTCTCGTTCTCGAGACTGGCGTTAGTTCCTTTCGTATAATTCGCCTCCTAACTTACCTTGAGATTAGCCGTTTAGATATTTTATCACCTGTCACCGTTGCCACACCTGTGGAGTACTCGGAGTTTCACAAGCACTTACACATAGCTATTGAGTGGCGTCGGTTTCCACCGCTGCATATCAATGGTCCCTGACTTCTGCATTCCCCAACGCGGCGTTGGCTTCTTTATGCGTTCTTAACACAACTGCCTTTGACGTGCTCTGGTCGACCTGGAGCACATTGAGGCGGTTTGGCTGACATCGTACAACGCGGCCAGCGACCAACGTTGCGTCGGAGATGCAGTAGTTATGGGACCCTCGACGTGCGCACAGGGTGACGAATTTCAAATCGAGTACTGTGTAATGCAATCTCCTTGAGATGACGCACGGACATTGATCACACGATGTCGCTGAGGGATAACAGGTTACACCGCGAATTCCTACCACAGTCAATGAATCGTTCAAAAATCCTATCACGACATCGCAGAAACCCGTTCACCCATCAATCATGGTGCTCTTGGATGTCCGTAGCACCACAATCTTTTCGGTTGGGAACCTTAGAATTGAATGCGGGGGGGCGTGACCTCGGGTTCTCATTCAGCTCCGCAACCACCTTTTATTCTAGGCAAAACTCCAGCCTCTATGACTTCGTAATATTAGATAGACTTTTACTCTGTTAAACGAACCTTCACCTGTCACCCTGCCATGTGGATTACGGGTACTCACATAGAGTTTTGCGAATGTATACACATTCTATTGGATAACATCGCCATGCATTCGAGGTGGTTGTTTTGTGTGCGGAACATTCCCGTACTCCTGTTGGTCCACCGAAGTAAATTCCTCTCTTTTGTCCATTCAACACGCGTCGGTTTTGGCTTCGTGGCGGCGTTAACGTATTTATTTGTTGAGCCTTAGGAATCTTTTTCCGCATGTCATTATGTCCCAAAATCTTAGATCTGATCCCTGTGGGTGACCAGGCAGTAGAATGATGAAAAAAGCATCTCGATTCTGGAAGCATATATTAACGGACCATGCATTGTCAGGAACTCATGTGCACGTGTGGTTCTGGACGTTCGAGACAACGCGAATCCATTGAAATCCAAATGAAAATTTGATTATGGAATAAATTCCTATCATAACGTGTATTTGATGAAGTTCCATTTTAAGAGAAATTTTCATACAGTGTGTCGGACGTTCGAAAAGGTATCAAGTTGAGTATGGGAGGGGCAGTGTGCTTCGAAATGCGTAGTACATGGACTCCAAAGAACTCACTGCCATTCGTACATGAACTCCCGATGGGGGCCAGTCCTTATTTTCAGCGCGCTGTAGTATAATATTCGCAAACGTAGCTAGGTATGCAACGAGTCGAAGTCTCCTCCCCGACTTCATCCAATTAGTAAATGAATTTAGCTTTACATAACGGCGCGGAGTAGAGAGCGAGACCGAGAGACCACGCAATTAGAGGGTCTTCTTTGGTGGATGGAGTGAGGGTCTGACTGATAGAAATTTCTTTGGAGAATATTCAATAGGGAATTCGGGACGACAGGGATATTTTTGAGAATTTACGATTTCCCCCAAGATTTATTGTCACGAGCGGGAATGAACAGCAAGGCCGATTGGGAAGCGAACATGAATAACTTACTGAGCAGACCCCCAACACGAAGAGCCCCATCGGATAACAAACCACGACTTGATTTGAAATTCAAACTTGGCAATTGTATTTTTCGAAGTGCATCCCAGATGTTTGCATATGCTAGCTAATGCGAAACAGATCCCTAGCATGGGAAATCACCAGCAACCCTACCCACAAGGATCAGCGCTTGCAAAGGAAATTATCTTCATTATCATTCAAGAAATTAGCAATATTGAGCCCGCAACGAACCCGTTGCCATTGTATCTAGCCTTCTCGGATATATGCTTCTGCAAAAATTCCATCAAAATCTTTTCCGCCATATAGAGTGCCCAGGGAAAAGGCTAACACGGCCACTTATACCTAGGTGGGCTATAAGGGAGCCCGGGTCTGCGCCTCCCTGTCCTGTGCACTGCAGTAATTCCCTCCCTCTTCTAACCACAACTGCAGCATTGTAGCTCCCATTTATATCTTTCTAACCTGGCGCTAGGGTTCTCATGCATTGTCCGTCGTGACGGCTCCCGCAGTGGTGTGCGGGGTGACTGTCACAACGTACATTCACACCAGAAGCTACTGGTGTGATGTGGGTGTTGTGCAAGTGCACCCTGCTCACAAAGTGGGAGCTGCTGAGCATTGTTTATTCAGTGTATTGTCGCTTGAAAGCTAGGGCCATGCTCGCGTAGCGCTACACTCACTCTCAATCCCAAGTTCTTCATTTACGGAGACTGAGTTCCCGCGTTAGCTCTCCTATTAATCGGTATCTGGAATGTTCATTCATTTCAGGAATTCCAGGAACAAGGAGTTGGCGAGTAGAGGCATTCGTGTAATTGGGGCACACCTCTTAAGTTGGCGACACACTAGCTGTGAATTGAATTTATAAAATGTTGTTGGCTCTTGGCGGCCACACTCGCGTTATATCGATCGGCAGGGGCATGACGCGTCAGGGGGTGTCGGGTTAGTGGGGTGTCGCGCGCTTGACTTGCATTCCAACAGGAAATTGATCGCTATGTATGTTACATGAAAATGAATGTGCACAATAGTGCCGGATGCGAACTGCAAGACACGTCAAGCGAAGTCATAGCCTTAAATACCACGTACACTACTGAGGCTGCTTATTGTGCAACCGGCTTGATGGGGGCTAAACCCAATTTCTTCGCCACGGCCGTTTGTTTATAGATGGGTTTTCGTACATTCGAATTTCCCCTACTCCCCCAAGGAAATAATACAGAAGTGGAAGTTTGAGATTTGCTTACACTGCATGTAGTTGGTTTCCTAAGTAAAAAAGAAATCGGACGAAGAGCCAGATGTGGTATGGAACGCAAGTTAAGGCCTCCATGCAAGTCCACCGAGAATGGATAAACTAGGGGTGTGGCTTCCTGTGCGGGAACCGGGGTGAACCAGATGAGGGCTTATGTCCCTCGAGAGCGAAAATCAAGGCGCAACAATGACCCAAGTACTCGAAGTGATCTAAAGTTCAGGACAAGCGCTAGAGAAAATATTTGATCGGGTTGCGGGTGGCAATATCTGGCAAAGACCGTTATTCCTCGTCGACAGAAAAAGCAGATCTGGATCATGGCTACTGCGTTCTCCGCGAATATAACTCGAATAGGGATCTGTTGTCCACAAAGACAGGGTCAGTCCGAACGGTACGAAGAGAAAGAACGGATGGAAGCCATACGATTGGTGCATTCATCTCCACGAGTCGCGCAAATGATAGTGCAAATAAACACCCAGCTTGTGGAATCCCCGTTCTTCGTCGAGTAATCACTGTGTTGGACTTTTCCACCCGCGCACGATGGTAACAAAGGAAGCTCAACGAAGGAAGGTCCTGAGATGCGGCTTCGTGGGGGGGGGGAACCGGAGTGGACCGGACGGGAACCCAAATGGTACTTGTGGAAGGTCGCACCTTCCGGGGACACAGGTCAGGGGTGCGAAGTGGCCCTTCTGTCGAGAAGCTACACGCTCCGCGTGGGCTGATGGAACAAACGAACGCATGTTCCAGGAGAGGGGAGGGAAGCTCTCGAATGGATTCACACAGAGCTTCGGATGTACTAGTGGCGAAATCGTGTGGGGGCCGAAACGCACCGATTACTTCTGGTTGCTTTTCTCCGAGACGATATTCCAGCGGCGAATAGTCATCTAATATTGTGTCGAATAGGGCAATCGCTGCAGGATACGTGGCCCGTTCGGCGGGAGCTACGGCACAGAATAATCTCCCCACGCGGGAGGGCGGTTTAGTGGACACCCCCTGTCAAGATAGCATGACACAAGGAAAAGGTTTGGCAAGTCTGGGCAGAGTCTAGCAGGTTACCAGCCTCTATTGGGATAGGGGAAGGGTCCAAATCTCTCTCGAAATAGCCAGCGACTCAGGGAAGATGATTGGCGTCCAAGTTATGGAATAACGAGGCGGCCAGTGTTTGTAGAATCCTTGCAAAATAGCACAATGTAATGATGAGGTTTGGGTCCGCCTGGAAAACATGTTAGCTCGCGTTGCCGGTGACGGGAAAGTAAAAGAAACAGAGAAAACCAGACAGAGAGCTGGAAGTGGAATGGTATGGCATCGGAACGGGATTAGGTTTCCCGTCCCAGTCTACTGAGAGTGGGAAAGTGGGCAGGGGCTTTCCGAGCTAACGGGTGGTGCAGCTGGGTATCGAAGTATGGTCAACCCTAGTAAGGGCCTGCACGCGCCCATTTTCCGGGTGTTTGGAATGTAGGTTTGCGAGAAACAACCGGAATGAACCATGTGAGGGATCATCCGTTTCCCTGGAGAGCAGAAGTCAAGGCAGCGAGGCGGCGCTTCCGACGAGAAGCTACACGCTCTGTAAATCTTGGCTAAAGATGAAAGAAAACCCAGGAAAGGATAGAACACTGCCTACGATGTGATCCGCACCAACCGCTACCCCCGTGGCGACAGGCAAGTATTGAATGGGATCGCTTTTGGTTGATGGAACAAACGGACGCATTTTCCAGATGCGTCCGAGCTCTATGGGAGTGTTGATGCGGGCAATCGCATTGAGTACATAATATGGATCTGATACATTGCAAGGGCTTTCCCGGCGCTCTCCTGTGAAAAGATTGCCTAGGGACAGGGACGTATGGATCGCTTCTGGTTGTTTTTCTCCGTGATATTTTCCGGCTGCAAATGAGCATGTCGTAGTCAATATTGCGGCACCCCATGACCGAACAGGTTTAGCGCACACGTCCTATCGAAGTGGTACGATACAGGAAAAGATACTCAGCAATTCTAAATCCCTCTTAAAATGGCCAGTGATTCGGGGCCAATGATTAGCGCTCAAGCTGGTGGACACGAGGTGGCCAATATCTGTACAATCCTTGGACAGTGGCGCAACGATGACCGGAGTGGATGGGTTAATTCTAGGTTCAGAAAAAGTGAGACAAAATGTTTGATTGTGGGTGACAATATGCCTTTTTTGTGGCGAAGATTATTTCTCGCCAGCAAAAAAAGCAGATCTGTATTAAATAGTCCAGTAAAGACGGCTGACTCCTAAAAGAGCAGTGTCTTGACACACCTTTAAGGGTCGTCCGCTAATATTATGAGCTAATTTGACTTAACAATTTTTCCCCTAATATGACTTGAATAGGACTTTGTTGTTCACGAAGGCAGGGTCAGTCCGAACTGCATGAAGACAAAGAATGGATGGAAACCATACATACAATTTTTGGGTTCATCGCGTGAAGGATAGTCCAGACAAAGACCCAGCTTGCGGGTCCCTCGTTCTTCGTTGAGCAATCACTATGTTGGGCTTCGCCGCCAGTGATATCAGTCTAAGCAGGAGACTTAACACAAATTGCCGGCACTAGTTCGTGCCTACCGTTGTTGCTCTAACGATCAGACTGTTCCCGGATGTATAGCTGAAGAAAGCCTTCGCGACTGTCAGTAATGTTTACAAGCCGTGCGCAGTGGAAGGCCTTTCACCTTGTTTCACGCCCGGACGCACTGCCTCAGGACAGGGGCCTAGCCCATATTCTCGCTTTCCCCGTGTTGCGAGGCCCCCACTCATTCCCCCTTTCCTGGCACTCACTCACTCATCTCCCCCGTCTATCTCGCCACGCAAGCCGGAAGAGGCTGACTTAAGTGTCCCCTCCTATCCCTTCTCTGTGCAAGGCACGCAATTCCGCTTGATGTGGGCTCTACCATGCTTTCTGGAGCGGAAACACTGTATGGCTGAGGTGCTAAAGCAGACCACCAACATGCCTCAAGGTGAGAATACGCAACAATTCACTAGCGACATCATGTCGAGCCACCACAACATTGCAGATAGACCCTCGCCCAGCTGGTACCACAAGGAGAAGGTCCGCTCAAGGAATATCTCTTCATTATACAACCCATATGCGTGCCTCCCTGAAGACTTACATCGATGGGAACAATCGACAAGAGAGAAGTTGTGGACCTCTACCAGCCAACGCGAACTTAGGGCTACCCAGTTGCTCGCCCATACTAGAGGCAATCATCTGGCCCGTATGTGCTTTTCCAATGCTGGTATGTGGGCATGGCGGATGAATGTGTAAGGGACTTTTTTGCTACATGGACACACACTCCGATCTGCGAACAAACTGTTGACTGCCATATCGTCAATGATCACAGCAGATGTCAAACCGCGACAGTGGCATAGGGCACGATCCAGCCACTGTCAAGAGTCTGCTCATCTGCGGTGCCACCGGTTCGACCGATGATCCATTGGCAAGAGTGGTGATCTGTACAGATCTTGCTCGGTAGGGAGGTATGTCATCTACCCATAATAAACGTGAATGTTAACAGTACAATATCGCTAGATCGATGCCTGGGATAACAGAGACTCGCCACATCACCGAAGAACCGCACCCTCAGCTGCAATAACCCTACCATGACATCCCAGAAGCCTACTCACTCGTTGGCGACAGTGCTCTTGAATGTCTGTGACACCGGGATCCTTCACCAGTAGGGGATCGGTTCAAGGTTGAATGCGAAGGTAGGATCTTCTAATACCGATTCTAACATCACGATATAACCCCTACAAACCCCGAGGAGGCGGAGGATTCCAGCACCAACCACTGTTCCCTAGGTGCCGTGTGGTCTTCGTGTGCGCGGCGCCGGGTGGGTAGCCGCACTGCCACGTATATCACGAGGCCGCGGGTGCCATTGAGACAGAACCATCACAAAGTACAGCTCGCGACCACCTTTTGGTGCTGGCTCCTGATTTTTGGACAGCTGGTCGTCCAGTCCATCCTCTGTCATACGGTTTCTCGCCTCTTGTCGCTGCCATAGTACATGTGGAGTACCAGTACTCACTGGAGTTTCGCGAGTATAAACATTCTATTGAATAACATCTATACACTCTCGTGTCCTTCTCTGGCCCACAGCATTCAAGCATTGTCTTATTTGTATGCAGTGTTTGATTTATAATTTGTCACCCTGCACATCGAGGTTCTATTACATCCCCGACGCAACGTTGGTTGCTTTGTACATTCCCAGCTAAGTCAGCTGCAAGGTACTGCAGTAGACCCAGAACACGACTTACTGCTTGAGTGCGTGCGTTCCGTGCCACTGGCCAGGCTCGAGCGTTTAACTTCTGCGTGCTGGCCATCTTACTTCATTTGCCAGATCTACAGAGGAAATTCTCATCACATACTCTTTCAGTCTTGCTCGCTACTCTTGGATAGCATCAGAATTCTTCACCAGCCGCGGTCGGGAACCTCAGTGAAACCAAATGTGGAGGCGTGACCTCGGAGGTTCTTCGACACTGATTTTGACGCAAATCATAGCTTGCGGCTCTGATTTCTTGTAGGCTCCAGGGTGTCGTTCAGTGAAGCCTCGCTCCACCACTCAAATACTTACCCGTTATCGACGCCCATCCCTGTGGCGTGGCGTGCCATCTTGATGGATTACTTGGCTTTTCCAAAATATTCACGTATCGGTCTCTATTTTACACCATTCAGGCATTGTCGTACTTGCAAATAGCGTCCCGTTTGCACCCATCACCCTGCACATTGAATTTTTCATCATGATATCTGGATTCTCCCATCCAGCCATGGTTCCGTTATGTATTTGATCGCGATTCAACTGCCTGTGACGTGCTCTGCTCGACACTAAACACATGCGTCCCATGCCGCTGACCAATTGTACTCGACTGGCTCGAGGCTCTTGGGGGATTGACTCCTTCAAATTCATCGTAGTCCGCTGGCTATCTTATCATTTGTTATGGACCCCCACCCCGTCTACCAGATTCGTAGAAGACCTTCTCATTGCATGGCATCTAACTTCCGTGCCGCAGGATTCCATGGTTGGGTTGGCCGAATTTCTGTAGCACCAGAAACCCTATCAACGGGGATCGGCTGGAATCTGTAAAATTGGGTGTGAGAGCGTGATCTCCCTCGTCAATGTTCCAGCACAAAATACGGATTGCGACCACCTTTTCGGTTGGTTTCTTGAATGGAGGTCGCGGACATCGTCTGATCCTGCTCTATCATAGGAAAGATACTTACCTGCCACCGCCGCCATACCTGTGGAGTACTGGGCGGAGTTTCGCGAGCACGTACGCAAATCTATTGAGTGGCATTGATTTCCACCGCTGCATATTAATAATCCTTGACTGCTGCATTTCCCAACGGAGCGTTGGCTTCCTTGCATGTTCCCAATTCAACTATCTACGATGTGCTGTGGTCGACCTATAACACGACTGCCAATGACTGCCTGAATGCATACATTCCCTCCCACATGCGATGTGATCCTTTACAGCCTGCTAAGCCCAAGTTTTTTTTGAGGGCTTGACTCTTGCAAATCATGCCAGTGTTCCGCACCCTCGCTCCATCTATCAGATCCACGGAGGACATTCTCATCACGTAGTATCTCAGTCCTGTTCGCCGCTCTGGATTTACCCGCTGACTAGATGACATCGGGGAGAATTTTGGTCCACATCCATACATTGGTATACTCTCGTACACTGAGAATGGGGCCGGATATCCGTTCTATGGAGCATTGAGACCCCACGTACTTGCGTTTCCCGTAGTTCCTCGTATGCCCCACTCCCATAAAGCAGGATAGCTTGTCGAACACTCAGTGTATTGCTACGAGAGACTAGTTTCTCATATCACCTCAAAACTTGGGGACGTGGCCTGTTGAGCTCCTATCCTATTAGACACACGCTGTGAAGGGAAATTCGGCTCCGGTACCCAGTCTCCAGCATGTTTTTAATCCATCCATATCTCAATTTGTAATCGAATTTTCATTTAGATCTCAATGGAATCGCATTATCGCAAACGTCGCCACGTCCTAAGCTGCTCGTGTACATAAGTTCTTACAACGCATCGTCATTTTCCTGCAAATGGAGGTGCCTTTTCCGTCATTCCACCTAATGTCTAGTACTCCCAGGGAACGGGTGGAAAGTATTGGGATATTGTAATGACGGAGACAGCCTGTTGCGCAGAAATTCGCCTAGGAATCTGTAACGGACTACCGGCAGTGGGGACCGTTCGATACCCAACCTAGATACAACTACCAAAGTTGTTTGCGATCACCAAAATCAGCTATATAACCACATCGACAGATCTAGATGTCTACATATTAGCCGTGAATCAAGGGACATCGTGAGCGGGTAATGATCCGCGGATATTATGGCAGAAAAATCATGGAACGCCCCAAAAGCGCTCAACTTTGACCGAAGATTCTCGGCCCCTGAGTAGCTATCATTGTGAAAGGTCACTCCTGGCACGCAACAGAAGAACTCTCTGGAGAATATTCAAAGAGAGTGAGGCAGGATGATTTTAAGGGTTCGCGCTTTTGTTTTCTTCAAGGTTTACTGTTACAGCAGGATTGAAACTGAAAATATGAGCAGTCAAGGCTAGCTGACTGAAGCAAGGGAGAGACTTACCAGGCGGACCGCCAACATGGGAGGCCTGTGGGAAAGTATCAACCCTCCGAAAATTCTCAGTCGAGATGCTATCTCGGTGGTTCCGCATTTCTTGACGGGAGTCTAGGTCAATGCATTTTTAGGTGAACATGAACCAAACCCTCGCACGGGAAACCATCGGCCACCCAGGCCCAAGGGATCTACAAAAAAAACTATCTTCGTTGTGACTGAAAAAGTCAGCCACGGGCCCACACGGCAGGCGGCAAACAACCGCGTTGTGGGCGATTTAGGGGGTCCACGTGTTCAGCGTGTTCATCAGGGAACAAATAAATGAGGGGCGAGGCAAGGTCCCTTAGTGTCTCACTATAACAAACTTTCTTTTACTCTCATTAAACTAGAAAAATAAATAAGCAAGGATCAACGGCTTTCTTGCCTTTCATGGCATACAAGCAATTGGGGGAATTAAATGTATTGATTCTGCCTGATGCTTCTGCAAAAATTCTACCTCAACTTTTTTTGCAATATCTTGTTAGTAAAGTTCCAAACGTAAGGCGAGCTGAAGCGATCATCCATGCCTCATTGGGATATAAGGGAGCCCAGGTTCTCACCTCCCTCTGCTGTCCCCCATAACAGATGCTTCCCTCCTTTCTAGATGCGACTGCAACACTGTCCCATCTCATGTCTTGTGAATTCAGCGCTGAGGCCCTGATACTCCCACTGTAGTGTGCAGGGCATCTGCAACACCATTCATGCTAGGAGCTGCTAGCGTGATGTGGGTGTTGTGCACAGTGCACTCTGCTTACAAGGTGGGTGTTAACGATTAAAGTGCCAAATGCCAGATTAGACCATTCCCTTCCTGACAACTCCCACAGTGGTGAGCGAGATAGAGTACCACAGAGCTGAGACAAGGTGTAAGCGCTGATATCCACAAGACTTGAAAGAATCGCCATTGATTGTCAATCGACTGTCTACTTTAGTAGAGGCTGGCCCGGGGGTCCTACCTAAATCGACTGAGGATCCGAAATTATATAATATCTGGAGCGTCCTTGTCTATGGGCATCAGCAAAAGTCTGTTATGCTCCGGAGCATCAAGAGTGGCTGGAGCATGTGGGAGACAAAACAGCAGATTGGGCACTCCTGGAGCCAATAGTGTTCTCCTGGGAGGGGGTTCAGGAGCAGCTGGGAGTGGCGAGGAGTATGTAATGTGCCAGGAGCAGTGGGAGGAAAATTTTGGTCTCTAAAAAGTTGAAAAAAAAAAATTAGGGAAAAATCAAAAAAAAAAATCAGGAACTATAGTGCCTTTAAAGCGCTTTCAGGACATATAATTATTTGCAAAATTGAGGAAGAAATGATGGAGAAAAATGGAAAATACTTTCGGAGACCTGAGAAATAATGAGAACTGAATTGATGAAAATTGAATAGGAAAGTGAGGGGAAGCCTTGTAAGCATTGTTATTTTCTGCTGTTCTGATTTTTCCTGATTGTTCTTGGTCTCACTCCCAGCTGCTCCTGGACCCTCTGTCAGGGCAATAGCCCTGAACCCCGAGTCACATGTAAATTAGATACACATAGTCACGTGGGCAAGCGGGAACCTCCGGGTAACCGCTTACACACCACCGTAAAATACACTATCTTGTATCACTTACGGCCTTGTGTGCTGAGCAACCCTAAGACCTCACACTTTTTTAAGTGCATGAGGTGTGTTTTACAACACAACCCACAACTACACAATCTTAACATCTGACTTGGAAGTGCCTATGGCGCCTAAACACGCCCGCAAGGGCAAGGTCACATCTGCAGCGACACTAAAAAGAAACAAGCAGTTTATAAAGAAACTGCAATCTCCCATCAAGGGAGATTCAAACCAAAAGCCATCATCAGACGACGACGAGGATCAACATGATCCGGCATTAGCAACCACTTCAGGGCTGGTCCCTGAAGGTTCTAGAAACTTACATGGAGTAAGTGCGGGGCGAAATACCCCCAGAACTCCACAACATACTGATCTAACCCAAGCTGGGGAAGATCCATCACCTCCTCACGAGGTGATTGACTTGTGTGAAAAACGCGTAAGCGCCGAACGATCAGCCCAAAAAGCTGATCGGATAGAGTCGCAGGAAACTCCAGGGCCCCACTATCCCCTGGAGTCCCCCCTCACATCCCCAAGTCAAGCCCCAAAGGCAGACAAAGGGAAACAAAGGGAAGAGCCCCCGCGTCGGCTATCCGAAAAACTACTGGACTTGTTCCAGGTTCCGTCTGAATGGAGGACGGAAAGTGAAGATCAACTTCTTCTCAGGCTGAAAGCCCGAGAAGGTGCGAAAATACGCCCTGAGAGCAGGATCTCCCAGAGCACAGAAGCTCCAAAAGAACTTCCGCTGTTTACACTCCCACACACCATGCCAGACAAGGCAAGGTCGCCAACTTCGGAGGAGGTCTCCAAGATAATGAAGAGGAGGCGAACTGAAATGAGGGAGTTTGTGGAGGAAGCCTTACATAAAAGTAAGGAGAAACCAGCGAACAGACCCCTCTATGAAAGGGAAGCACCCTCCGCAACGGCCTTGCCTAAACAAAGTGAGTGTGGAGTGTTCACTCCAAGAACCCATTCTGGAACCCCCAGAAGCGGAAATGTCAACTGGGGAGAGTCGCTGCTTGCCCAACCAAACTTCCTCCTGGAAAACCAGGAATTGCGCATAATAAACGCGATAAACTTGATCCAAAAAAAGATCGAGGAAACGAACCATAATAGCATGGCTCATCTAGAGATAACTCTAGAAAGAATGGCCAACGCAATCGACGCATTGACTGAAAAAATCAGCGAACAAACAGATTTGCTGAAGGAAATAAATTTCTCACAAAAAAGTGAGGAAACAAATAAACACCCCTGGACCACGGTCCAGGACATAAATAGAACTCGTGAAAAATTCACAAAAAGAACTACCAGTGAAAGCACACTGGAATATCATCAGCAACTTGACAGAGACGCTAAGGCTCTGTATGGGTTGAAGAAACAGGTTTCTTCCGCCCGTTTCTTTTCGTTTCTTTCAGCAGTTTCTTTTAAGAAACTGCATGCCCCGGGGCATCCCGCACATGCTTGTAGATTCTCTGTCCTGTTTTTTTTTAAAAGTGAATATAATAATGGCCGTTGGCCGCAAGACTGGTAATACCAAAGAACATCGCACCAAGTATCAACGGAAATTTATTGCTCTGCTTATTTCTCAATGGGCACTTTCTGCGGTGGAAGTGTACCACCATCGCTATCTTCTGAGATGGCCTTACCATGACTCACCCTATAGGGGCAAAGATTGGGTTTGTGATCTGCTAAATGGACACCCAGATCGGTTTTATGGCCAATTTGGGGTCCACAAGCATGTCTTTCGTCATCTGGTTGCGGAGCTTCGATCCCTTGGTATGAAAAATTCAAAATATCTCGCTGTTGAAGAACATGTTGCTATCTTCCTATACTCCTCTGTAACCGGACTCTCTGTAAGACTCATTGCAGAGTGCTTCCAGCACTCATTTGAAACAATTTCAACGTCAGTGTCACCTGCCATATGTCTCGACTATATGGTACAACTGATGATTCATCAGCTACTTCAAGAAAGTGCTTTACATGCTGTCATCACCCCCCTTCTACCCGAGATGTGTCCACCTACCCAAACCTGACTTGCCAACGCCAATTGAGATATCATCCAATCCTAAATTCTTTCCTTTTTTCAAGGATGTCATCGGTGCCATTGATGGCACACACATACCCTGTAATCCATCTGCAGAAGAGCACAAAGCATCACGCAACCGAAAGGGTGGTGTATCCCAGAATTGCCTAGCAGCCTGCTCATTTGATCTCTATTTTCAATATGTGCTTAGCGGATGGGAGGGGTCAACTGCCGATATGGCCATGTACCATGATGCACGCGCAACAGATTTCCCTATTCCAGAGGGAAAAATGTATCTTGGAGATGCTGGCTTTGGTGCATGCGATACCCTCCTAGTTCCTTATCGAAAGGAAAGGTATCATCTGCAAGAGTTTGGCCGGAGCCAACATCGGTTAGTTCAAGTTCATTTTCCATCAAGTATTCTCTCATACTGTCATATCCATACAATCCCGACCTCCACTCCAGGCTCCTGGAACTCCGAACTCCGACTTCCGGAGCCCTACTTCCCTTCCATCACTTTCTCCTTGCCGACTCCCAAGAGGTTATCCCACCTCCGGCTCGGACACCACCTTCGGTCCGACTCCGGAACATTCCGGGTCCGACCCCAACCTCGACACCTTCCAGACGAGTACACAAAACCTATGCTCCCGACTCCGGACCTCCGCTCCGGTATCCCGTTCATGTC